TTGTGCATTTATCACTTTTTCGAACCACGTTATAGATACTGTTGAGCAAAAGCTTTCGGTCATCAATCCGTGTTTCCGGAAAATTTCCGATTGTTTTAATTTATAGGAGTGATATCAGAGGACTAATATGAAATATATATGACAGGGATGTTGCGTTGGACGAGGGATAAATTACTCTGAAAAAAGCGTACGAAGGTTTTTCGGATTAGAAAATCACGGCAATTTTTCTCGGGATTTTTTCCCAAAATTTAAGGAATTTTCTGATTTTTTTTTTAGATTCTTTTCAAAATATTTTCCCTTATTTTTTTCCGCCTAACTTTTTCCGCAATTTTTTTCAAAATATAACCCATCGAACTTTTTTAATTAAAGGAAACCAACGAAGGGCATTGTAAAATACAGCAAATATAGTTTTATATAAAGAAATAATTTACTATTTATAATTCATTTTATTTATTTAGTCAGCTAATAGTCATTTAATATTTCAACAGGACTATAACCCCACTCAACAGTCAAGTAGTCAACTCATGTTAACAATGACTAAACAGATTATTGTCACAATGTCACATGCATGTTAAGTTGATATAATATAGTTTTTTCTGTTTCAATTCATTCCGCTCTTGATATTTATATTATACTGAGGTCTTAGACTTAGCTTGCATTTACTGTTTCAGGTTAAGAAAACGTTTACATATATATTTCATGTTTATCTGTGACAATGAACTTAAACTTAAGTTACTTAACAGCTGTTTTACAAACTTATACAAATTAATTTAATTATATAATAAAATAATGCATGAGTTATTCTGAAACTATTTCGCACTATACAAATGAACAACAATTGTCCAGTCACTGGTCTGTCGGTCTCACTATACTCAGCTCGTATAATAAATTTGTTCAATAAATACCTCATTTCATCTCATAACTTATAAAGACGGGATGTGAATGATGTTTGGATTCTGGATGCATAATTTGATACTGCTAAGCATTTTATGGATGGTTCTTACTGTAACTGGTAGACAACAATTTTGCCAACTGTCCACTCATTACATTCTTCGACTGTGGTACAACTATTACTAATGATGGATCAGTTATATGCACCTACTTATATTTTCGGTACTTTGATATATTTTAGAAATATCTGAAGTGACTGTCGTTCTGCTATGTGCAATCAACAAATAGACTGATAATATCGTCTGTTAGTGTTACTAAATGCAAGATGAAGTAGTGAAGTAGCTATGTATATCATTCACTCGTCCACAAAATATCCCAAATAATGAATAAATACAGTTAAATAATTGTGTCAGTAAATTCACCAAATTGTTCCTGTATTTAACTATTATCAATAAAATGTTAAAACGGAGCTTTGATTAACTGATTCACCATTTATACTAGTGAGCTATTAGACTATCGTGATTTACACGATTTTTGCATATTTACCAGACGATGCCCTATGCACCGACCCGAGGTTAACGCCTAGCGGGCGTCTTGTTAATATTTAAATAGCATGGTTGAATGACTGAACTGAAACGTTGCTATTGGATGATTCGTTCATTATACTGAAATACAATGTGTTGTGACCGTGCACCGTGCACCGTGCACAAAACTGCATAAACGCGAACAAGAATATTGAACAAAGACTTTAGCGGAGTTTCCAAACCATGTTTTGAAAGACTATGGTTTGAGACGTGCGTATAAATATTAAAGTTGCCAACGACAAATTTTAATTATTTAATTAAATTACATTTTCTTATAGTTGTCAACAAAATAAAAAAATGTTGCAGCATTTTGCCAAAGGCTCGTCAAAATTAAATAACTAAGCTAAGGGGCCGACCATTTATCTTTTAAGGGGAGGGGGGGTGATTTTGAAAAAATAATTCCTCCAAGGCTATACTGAACAAAAGAATACCTGCACCAACAAACTGGCGGGAAAAATATCCTGCCCCAGTATTTGGTGAGGAAAAAATGTTGCAAAACAGAAGATCAGCTGGTTTGAATTTCAGGGATTAGTGTAAGGTTAATTTCTTGTTGGAAAACTCCTCAAAATGCTGGAAATAGCTTATCTGAGCTTCACGAAATCCAAAATTTTCTGGTGGGCGAATGTCCCCAGACCCCTCTACAGGCTCGTACCTTCGGTGCTCGACCTGGTTGTCTCAGAATCCAAGTTATGGCCTGATCTGCTGCCCTAATACGTATACTTCTTAGTTAAACTATGCAAATATATGCTGGTAGCTGCAGTGATACAGACTTGCCGACTGGAACTTTTCCAGGTTCCCCGCTAAATATGTCCTCTCCAGTTACACATCCTTAAAAGAGGCCCTGAACCAAAGGTTATACCTCGATAGCAATGTGTATTATTAAAAGCAATGCATGAAGCTAGAAAACTATTATTAAAGAATCTAAATAGCATAAGCTATTGAAAAAAAAATGCTGCGAAAGAGAGAGCGGCAAAAAAATATCGTACGTGGTGATGGGATAGGACAAAAAATCTTGCACATAACGATCCCAGCAGTAAATCCCCTCCCCCCAAAAGTTAAATGGTCGGCCCCTAAGGCTTTCCATGCTACATAGTAACAAATTTTAATTAATAGAGTTCGGTCTTGAGAACCTGACAACAAATCTAAATTAAAAGTTACTTATTCCAATCTCCACTCCATATACAACAAGCCAGCTTTCATTTCATGCATGATTAATAAGTTAAAGAAAATTAATTCAACGGCAAAATATTCAACAAAATTTATAGCATATATAGTATTCCGACAGTATTCTGCTTCGGAATAATTGGTAGTTTATTCCGACATATCTGCGCAGAATACTACGAGTATTCCGGATTTTATGGGCATGGGGCAATAAAGAATAAGACGAAAGAGTCGAGGGACGTAATTTATATTGTACATATTCAGTAGGGAGTCCTGACTAGACTTGCACAAGTCGCTCGCTAGGGACCGCGCGTAGCAAGAAGGGAGCGCTTGAGAAAGACGGAAGCGAGCGACTTGTGTCACTTGCCCGATTTTGAATCTTACTGAAAAATTTGGCGCGAAAATCAATTATGACATAGTGGGCGTTCACCATGTCGATTTCACTAGTTCATTATTGTGGCGTCGTTAGTACAGAATAATAATGAGCATTCACTGACGTCAACGGAGCAAAAATGCACCGGTGAGTTTGGCGCGGTTGCGGGTGACAAAAGTGCGTCGCTTCCAGGAACCACGAACCGCGGACTTTGGAAAGTCTAAGTCCTGACATGCAAAGTATAAATACTAGTATCTTAACTGTTTTTGGTTTGAGAAATTGAGACAACCGTCAGCGCTTTAAATAAGTAAACGCCTGTTGTTGTTATAAAAATAGAATGCATTAGATCATTTGAGATTGACGGCAAATCGTGTGATGGCTTACCTCTGGTTGGCCAATGCCCATTGGCATTGTTTACTAAGTAACGTAGTAAATTTTTAACGAAATTGATTTGTATTCAGAGTGGCAAATGTAGTGGTCCGTAGTTAGTACGCTACGGCAAACCACTCCGTTATAGTGTAAACACAATATAGTCTCAATACTAGAAACGTAGTAAATTTTTAACGGAGTGTTAACCGTATCGTCCTTAATTAGAATACACCATTTATCTCGACTTGACTAAAGCCTTCGACACGGTTCCACATAATCTCATGTTAATGAAACTAGAACATTATTGAGTTAAAAGGTCTCTTCTTGCTTGTTTTACTAGTTACCTTTCTGGCAGACAACAAAGGGTTGTTATGGGCGGTGTCTATTCCGACTGGCGTTCCGCAGGGCTCCCTCCTAGGTCCCCTGCTTTTTTTTGGTTTGTATAAATGATGCTCCTGATTATTTTCAGCTTGATTCATCAATTGCTCTTTATGCAGATGATTCTAAATTATTTAGATCAATCAAACAGCAAAGTTATCACACCGTCCTGCAATTAATCAGATTTGGATTTTCTTTATCAATGTAGCCAGGATTGGACTATGTTGTCCAGTTCAACAAGTGTGAAACTATGCACTTTTCGAGGAAAAGGAAACCGTGTAGACGTGTAGTCATCTGGAAAAGACTTACAACTTGGCAGGACAATTCTCGGAAATTCTTACACGTGTCTATACTATCTAAAGGAAAGATTGCGTTGGTGGTGGCGTTTTGTTATCAGTGAAATCAAGCTCGTTTGGTTCATCCCGTGAAATTGCAGGCCCGTCTGATCTCGAAGTGACCTCACTGGAACTAAGAACTCACTCGAAACTAAAGTTCATGCTTTCCTGCTGCTACAGATCTTCTAATAGTGAGAGAAATTGGTTGGACAAATTCAACTAGTTTGGCTCAATGCTCTTCATGCTATGAAAACATCTTAATTTGTGGTGACTTTAACCTCCCTAAAATTAATGGGAAACCCGGTTCAGATCACAGGTGTAGATGAAGTTGCATTTACAGAACAATTATACGATTTCTACTTAACCCAGGTCAACAACTTATCGACAAGAGGTGATAATATTCTTATCAGCAGCGTAGCAAACCAGGTAGGAAATATCACAACTCTTGACATGACTCAAAGTGGATTATTTACTCACCACGCCCGATTATTTTCCATCTAAAAACTTCCATAAAAGCGACCACGAAGCTGAATAGGAGTGTTCTTGACTACCGCAGGGGTAATCTTGATGGCTTCCGTACTGTTCTTGTCGCAATTGATTTAACCAGTTCAGTTCAATTAAATAATGATATCAGCACCAGCTGGCAATATTGGAAAGATATTTTTCTGAACGTAGTTAAGGACTATATCCCGACTAAAAAGATCAAAGGTTTCACCTCCGTCGATAGATGGTGACATTATCCACGTAATACGGAAAAAAACCCAGCAGTACGTCGAAAGCTGAGGTCATCTCCAACTGACGCGCTGAAAGTCAAATTCAAAGAAATGCGAGCCAACGTTAAAAAGTTGATTAGTATTTGCCGAGCAAATTTCTTTGACTCCCTTGAAGATAACTTTCTGTCAAACCCAGAGAGATTCTGGTCGATATTCTAACTTAGCAGCAAAGAGTCTAGAATTTCAGACACCGTGTCACTTGGAAAGGATGATGGGTACAGTGCTCAGTCCCAGATTCGCTCCGCATCCACCCCTGCTATACTATCTCAGAAATTTTAATGACTACTTTGCGTCTGTCTTCAACCGCACTGAATTGGAAGATCGAGCATCTGTCCTCGTCTCTTCTTACGTCTCCAACTCCAGACTACGCTTTCTCTCATGATATTTCCTTAACAACCGAGGAGGTTCTAAATGCACTTCTAGCTCTCGACCCCGACAAGGCCACACTAAAAGAGACTGCGCAACAGATTGCACCATCACTGACTGGGTTTTTAATAGATCACTCAGCTGTGGCGTTTTTCCTGACGACTGGAAGCGTGCGAACATTGTGCCTGTGCATAAAAAGGGGAATAAACGTTATGTTGAGAATTAGAGACCCATCTCACTCCTCAGCCTTATATCCAACGTCCTAGAACGGTGTGTGCTTAGAAATGCAAGAGATCACTTACTACAGTAGATTTGATCAACTGTTTTCAACACGGCTTCATACCGGGAAAATCATGTACAACCCAACTATTAGCGGTACACAATTACATTAGGTCCTTACTGGATGGTGGTAAGAAAACAGATGTTATCTATATGGACATGTCAAAAGCCTTCGATAAAGTTAATAATGAAACTCGACTACTTAATAAGCTAAACAGCTGCTTCAACATTTCTGGTAACTTGCTTTGTTGGTTGAGGACCTACTTAGGCAATGCGTTGTGCTAGGCGCCACCTTCTTTGAAAGACCTGTATTGTCAGGAGTGCCACAGTGTATGTTCTATATTAGGCGCTACTTAATTTTCCTCCTCTAGGTGAACGCCCTTCTTACTAAAGTATTCAAGTGCGTTGACTCCATCTCGGATGCTGGCTTGCGTCAGAGTGACCTGAGTAGTCTGGGCAGTTGGTCAACTAATTCAGGGCTTGTATTTAATCAAGAAAAATGCAAGCTTCTGCGAATTATCAGGAAAAAGAACCCGATCGAATTCCTCTACGTGATAAAGAGGAAAACACTGGACATTTCATTGGAAGAGAAAGACCTAGGCATATGGGTTACTGGTGCGCTTATCTGGTCAAAACACACCTTTGATTGTTGTGCCAAGGCTAACAAGTTGCTTGCATGGTTTCCTGCGCAGATCTGCTGTGGAAATCAAAAATCCAAACACCCGCCGCACGCTGTACCTGACAAGTGTCTGTCCTGCATTAGGCTCACGCCATCCAAGTCTGGTTCCCACAGTGAATTGAACTAGTCAGAAAGTGTCCATAATCCTACAAAGACAGACTGATGTCTATAAATCTGTTATCACCAGTCTCTTATTGGCATCTATGTTATCCTTTGCTTTGGGGACAGAATGCATACACGAGCCAGTCGAGCTACAGTACATTGCTTCATTTGCAACAGACAGAGGTCGCGGTATGCATTCAAATATATATAACCATATATATTTGCTACATTTGCTACAGATAATAGTTGCCGTGCATGACTATATATTTTGCTAAGTTGCATGCTGCAGATAATATAGTTGTTGTGCATGACTATATATTTGCTACGTTGCTACATTTGCTACAGATACTAGTTGGTATACATGACTATATATTTGCTACGTTGCTACATTTGCTACAGATAATAGTTGGTATACATGACTATATATTTGCTACGTTGCTACATTTGCTACAGATAATAGTTGGCGCGCATGACTATATATTTTGCTACGTTGCTACATTTGCTACAGATAATATAGTTGATGTGCATGACTATATATTTGCTACGTTGCTACATTTGCTACAGATAATAGTTGGTATACATGACTATATATTTGCTACGTTGCTACATTTGCTACAGATAATAGTTGGCGCGCATGACTATATATTTTGCTACGTTGCTACATTTGCTACAGATAATATAGTTGATGTGCATGACTATATATTTGCTACGTTGCTACATTTGCTACAGATAATAGTTGGTATACATGACTATATATTTGCTACGTTGCTACATTTGCTACAGATAATAGTTGGCGCGCATGACTATATATTTTGCTACGTTGCTACATTTGCTACAGATAATATAGTTGATGTGCATGACTATATATTTGCTACGTTGCTACATTTGCTACAGATAATAGTTGGTATACATGACTATATATTTGCTACGTTGCTACATTTGCTACAGATAATAGTTGGTATACATGACTATATATATTTGCTACGTTGCTACATTTGCTACATATACTAGTTAGTATACATGACTATATATTTGCTACGTTGCTACATATGCTACAAATAATAGTTGGCGTGCATGACTATATATTTTGCTACGTTGCTACATTTGCTACAGATAATAGTTGATGTGCATGACTATATATTTGCTACGTTGCTACATTTGCTACAGATAATATTTGGTATACATGACTATATATATTTGCTACGTTGCTACATTTGCTACAGATAATATAGTTGGTATACATGACTATATATTTGCTACGTTGCTACATTTGCTACAGATAATAGTTGGTGCGCATGACTATATATTTGCTGCGTTGACACATTTGCTACATATATTAGTTGGTGTGCATGACTATATACTTGCTACGTTGCTACATTTGGTACAGATAATATAGTTGGTATACATGATTATATATTTGCTACGTTGCTACATTTGCTACATGTCTGCATGTAACGTGTCCGTTACGTATAATTGCTACATTTGCGAAGACGGTATTCCTATTGTGAAATTCCCTGGAAGGCAGGCGAGGAAAAGGCGAGGCCGGTACACCAGCCAGCATGCAGCATATTGGCCTGCCATTTAAGTCGATCAGAAATTAGAAACTATTGATAATTAACGGCTTCATAAGGACCTCAACCAATAGAAATCGTCCTTCTTGGGGCTGCAGGTTAGCTCTCTCCTCAGGGTGAGGTACCTTCTCCTCAGTGTGAGGTACCTTGTCCTCAGTGTGAGGAACCTTGTCCTCAGCGTGAGGAACTTTGTCCTTAAGGTGAGGTACCTTGTCCTCAGCGTGAGAGACCTTATCCTCAGCGTGAGGAACCTTGTCCTCAGCGTGAGGAACCTTGTCCTCAGCTTGAGGAACATTGTCCTCAGCGTGAGGAACCTTGTCCTCAGTGTGAGGGAGCTTGTCGTCAGTGTGGGCTACCTTGTCCTAAGCGTGAGGAACCTTGTCCTAAGCGTGAGAAGCTTGTGCTCAGCATGAGGAACCTTCTCCTCAGCGTGAGGAACCTTGTGCTCTGCGTGAGGTACCTTGTCCTCAGCTTGAGGTACCTTGTCCTCAGCGTGAGGAACCTTGTCCTCAGCGTGAGGAACCTTGTCCTCCGCGTGAGGAACCTTTTCCTCAGTGTGAGGTACCTTGTCCTCAATGTGAGGTACCTTGTCCTCAGCTTGAGGAACCTTCTTCTCAGAGTGATATACCTTGTCCTCAGCCGTGAGTAACCTTTTCCTCAGCGTGAGGAACCTTGTCCTCAGCGTGATGAACTTTGTCCTCAAGGTGAGGTACCTTGTCCTCAGCGTGAGAGACCTTATCCTCAGCGTGAGGAACCTTGTCCTCAGCGTGAGGAACCTTGTCCTCAGCTTGAGGAACATTGTCCTCAGCGTGAGGAACCTTGTCCTCAGTGTGAGGGAGTTTGTCGTCAGTGTGGGCTACCTTGTCTTAAGCGTGAGGAACCTTGTCTTAAGCGTGAGAAGCTTGTGCTCAGCGTGAGGAACCTTCTCCTCAGCGTGAGGAACCTTGTGCTCTGCGTGAGGTACCTTGTCCTCAGCTTGAGGTACCTTGTCCTCAGCGTGAGGAACCTTGTCCTCAGCGTGAGGAACCTTGTTCTCTGCATGAGGAACCTTGTTCTCACCATGAGGAACCTTGTCCTCAGCGTGAGGAACCTTGTCCTCAGTGTGAGGTACCTTGTCCTCAGTGTGAGGTACCTTGTCCTCAGCGCGAGGAACCTTGTCCTCAGCGTGAGGAACCTTGTTCTCAGTGTGAGGTACCTTGTCATCAGTGTGAGGTACCTTGTGCTCTGCGTGAGGTACCTTGTCCTCAGCTTGAGGAAACTTGTTCTAAGTGTGAGGTACCTTGTCCTCAGCGTGAGGAACCTTGTCCTCAGCGTGAGGAACCTTGTCCTCAGCGTGAGGAACCTTGTCCTCAGCGTGAGGAACCTTTTCCTCAGCGTGAGGAACCTTGTCCTCAGTGTGAGGTACCATGTCCTCAGCATGAAGAACCTTGTCCTCAGCGTGAGCAACCTTGTCCTCAGTGTGAGGTACCTTGTCGTCAGTGTGTGGTACCTTGTCCTCAGTGTGAGGTACCTTGTCCTCAGTGTGAGGTACTTTGTCCTCAGTGTGAGGTACCTTGTCCTCAGTGTGAGGTACCTTGTCCTCAGCGTAAGGAACCTCGTCCGCAGCGTGAGGAATCTTGTCCTCAGCGTGACGAGCCTTGTCCTCAGCGTGAGGAACCTCGTCCTCAGTGTGAGGTACCTTGTCCTCAGCGTGAGGAACCTTGTCCTCAGCGTGAGGAATCTTGTCCTCAGTGTGAGGAACCGTGTCCTCAGTGTGATGTACCGTGTCCTCACTATGAGGAACCTTGTCTTCAGGGTGAGGAACCTTGTCCTCAGTGTGAGGTACCTTCTCCTCTGTGTGAGGTACCTTGTCCTCAGCGTGAGGAACCTTGTCGTCAGCGTGAGGAACCTTGTCCTCAGTGTGAGGTACCTTGTCCTCAGTGTGAGGTAACTTTTCCTCAGCTTGAGGAATCTTGTCCTCAGCGTATGGAACCTTTTCCTTAGTAATAATAATAATAATGATTTATTCATTTAAATAAAGCGCATATGTTATATTATATACTCGAAGCGCTGTACATTATAAAAATCTAAATATATGCTATATAAAACATGGTATTGTATACAATTAGAATATACACTAATGTATGTATCTATAATAAGAATGATAGAATCCAATATGGTCTCAACCTATAAAGGGTTATAAGCCTTATTAAAAATAAATGTTTTCAAGCGTTTCTTAAACACAGAAATGTTTTCACAGTTCCTGACATCCAGAGGCAGAAAATTCCATAATTGTGGAGCAGCATGTGCGAAAGCCCGATCTCCTAGAATCTTACAGTTTGTTTTCGGGATGTATAATAGACCTTGACCATCCGATCGTAATGTCCAGCGATCACTTGATTGTTTTGGGGTAAGCATTTCAGAGATGTAGATAGGGGCAATGTTATTAAGAGCCTTGTAAACCAGTAAAGCAATTTTGAATTCCACCCGGAATTTTACCGGTAGCCAGTGAAGTGATCTCAAAACTGGGGTGATGTGGGAAAATCTTGGACAGTGGTAGATTAATCTAGCAGCGGCATTAAGAACTCGCTGAATTGGCTGGACTTGATACTGAGGTATGCCAGCCAACAGAACATTACAATAGTCCACGTGTGATGTCACGAAAGCATGTATCAAAGTTTTCGTTGTATTAGTAGATAAAAATTTTCTAATTTGTCGTATTTTATAAAGTCCTCTGAATGCTTTACTGCACATCTTGCCTACATGAACTGACATTGACATATGCTTGTCAAACCAAGATCCCAAGTTTCGAACACTATCAACCGGCTTAATTTGGACCCCACCAACGTTAACGGATTCAATGTTTATTTTCAAAAGTTGTTGTGGTGTACCAATTACAAGAAATTCCGTTTTCGAATCTTTGAACATTAATTTATGAGACAACAGCCAAGTACGAACATCAGAAATACAATCTTCCAGTGCGGCTAGGGTACTTTCTGAATTATCTTCACAATCTGGGCGAAAGGATACATAGAGTTGCGTGTCATCAGCATATCAATGAGAAGAGGGTAAGTGCCTGTCAATAATGTCATATAGTTGGGATACATAAAGCAGAAAAAGTATGGGGCCAAGACAACTCCCTTGAGGCACTCCGTACTTAACATCGCAGTCTTCAGAAAAATTGTTATCCAGATCAACTCTCTGTTTCCTGTTCAATAGATATGATTTAATCCATTCAAGAGCCCTATCCGTCACTCCAAATTGATACTCCAATACGTCAATGATAGTTTTATGATCAATTGTATCGAACGCTGAACTTAAGTCCAAGAGCACAAGAAAACACACTTCCTGCCTGTCCATACTCAAAAGAATATCGCTTTGCACCTTTAGCAGAGCCGTCTCTGTCGAATGATATTTCCTGAAGCCAGATTGACAGATAGGGAGAGGTGCATGTTTTTCACAATGGTTCAGCAATTGGTTGGCGGCTGCCTTTTCAGTGATCTTAGAAAGAAATGACAGATTGCTCACAGGCCTAAAGTTCTCAAATACTGGGTGCAAGCTAGACTTTTTCAGGTTTGGTTTCAGCAGAGCAATTTTCCAGTGATCTGGGACACGACCCTCCTGCAAGGATAAATTTACAATTTTGGTGATAGAGGGAATTAGTTCCAGACAACAGATTTTAACAAGCCATGATGGGATCGGATCAAGCTTGCAGCTGGCACTGGACAATTGCATAATAACATCATGAATATCCTGGGAAGAAAGTATCTCAAAAGATTTTAATTTGACTTCAGGGTTACGGTAATGCACCAACGGAGGATCGACATGGATACTGTCCACATTTTCCCTAATCAATTCAATTTTGCGGAAAAAATATTCGTTGAACCTATTTGCTAATTGACCAAGATCGTCATGAGGTGGTAAGGGATCTTCATGCGGTGTATTACAAAGGGAGCTCACAATTCTGTAAAGATTCTTTGGATCGTTGGAGCTATCACTGAAAAGGGAAGTATAATAATCAGTTCGGGCTTTATTCAACAAGTAACAATATCGGTTACATATTTTCCGATAGGCAGTCCAATCTACTTCTAATTTTGTTTTCCGCATCTTTCTCTCTAGTCTCCTACGCTTTACTTTCAATTGTCTTAGTTCGTCATTGTACCAAGGAGTTGAACGCTTAACTTTCATTAGCTTTCTTCGGACAGGGGCATGGGTATTTAAAATACGTGAAAGTACGTCATCATAGCAATGCACTAATTCATCAAGATGTGCAATGTTTTCGCAATGTGAATTCACATTGCTTAGATCAAGTTTAAAGTCAACAATGTTAATCTTTTTCAGTTCACAATAAGAAATTAGCTTTTTGGAGTCATTCGGACGAGGAATAGATAATTTACATTCTACAAAACAATGATCGGACAGAAAGAAAGTACTCTCAATCGAAAGGATATTAATGTCACTTGTAGATCGACTTATCAATAGATCCAGTGTATGATTGGACGAATGTGTTGGAGTACAAACATGTTGTTTGAGGCCAAATGTTTCAAGCATCTCATTAAATTTTATCGTGTTTCTGTTAACCGTATCATCCAAGTGAAAATTAAAGTCCCCGGTAATCAATAGAATTTCTGGACATAGAACAATATCCTCCAAATAGTTTGAGAATTCTTCAAAGAATTTTCCAGGTAGAACAGGGTGAGCCGCGCAATAAGGTGGACGATAGATAGCAATAAGTTTAATAGAATATTCAAGTATGGAAAAATTCCACTCTGAATATTCAAAGGATTGCGTTTCTCCACCACCAGAAAGAGAGACATATAAATTGGTGTTAAACATTACGCCTGTGCCTCCTCCTGATCTGTTAGATTGACGGGGAAATGATTTAAATGAATATCCAGGGAGACAAACGCCTGCAATACTTGCTGTGTCCATGTCCTTCAACCAAGTCTCAGTTACAACACAAACATCAATATTTTGATCAACAATATAGTCGGAGAATACAGCTACCTTATTTCTTAGTGATCTAGCGTTAATCGTTGCAAAACGTAACATATCTGGTCTTGGATTTGAGACAACGTTTACACATACTAAGTTGTTGACATTAACTTTCCTTGCATGAGTTCTCGGCCTTGTCTTGGCACATAAGTTATTTCGACGAACTGTAATTCTAGTAGGAATTTTGCAAACAAGTTCAATAGACGGAACAGAATTCAAATTATTTTTATTACTTCGCTGCGTTATTATATTGATATTCTTTGGATAGTTAATATCAGCAGTATTTGGACTAATTACGCGTTCATTAATTGACGGACAAGGACTAGGTGATTTAGCCATTCTGGGGATCGCTGGTGGAATCGAACAATCGAGGGGGGTGGCTTCCGTCCCGGATTTTCCTGAAAAGGACGTTTGAAATCAACAGGAACTTGATGACTGTATTCTAGGGATTCGTTGAGACTGATTAGGGGTAAAAATTCTATGTCTTTAAGAACATTAAAAGTTGATGAACTGACGTTCCTCAAATGGCAGTGGTGACCATCGATAATGGGATATGTGTCAACCTTGTTGTCGACTTCATTCATAGTAGCTGACACTCCAGGGACTTGAAGTAGGGATTTGAGTTCGGTAATATTTGGCAATTTCCTTGCATTCAAATTACCTTTCATGTGCTGACCGTCGCGAGATTTGGCGCCATTGGTCAGGTTATTATTATGGGTTTGTAGTAGGTCGGCTGGGCTGTTATCACTATTTAAAATTAACTGATTATCCTTAACTGATAAGTCTTTGTCGACGCGTCTATTGTTGGAAACGACTAGATTGGGAGTCACGTGCGACTTCTGTGCAAGGTCGGTCAGGGAGTTTTTCTCACCCAAAACTCGATTAAGGGCAAGATTGCTTTGTTCTACATGATTGACCGCGCATTGTTTATCGTTCTTTGTGGCAGTGTTGCTAGGGAAAATTTCATTCTGCTTTGAATTGGAGATTTTGGTCTTAAGTAGATCTCTCAAGGAGACATTAGTCGCCTCAGTGGCCTTAATTTTAAATTCAAGAGAGGCAATAACATCGTTCAATTCACTAACCTCACATGATCTTCCTTTGATTAGAATAGACAGATCAGCTTCCAAGCGCTTGCATTTCTCCCTCTCGCTAGAAATGTCCTTTTTAAGCCGGCTTACTTCATCTTGGTACCGTTTAGTTTCGCTTGGATTAACTTTATCGATCACGTTTGAATATTCAAATGTTGTCGAATGTTGAAACGTGTCCCTCTGAATTAATACTTCGGTTATTTTCTTGTATTCATCGAACTGTAGACGAAGGTCTTCGTAACCAGTATTTATCTCGTGTAGATTGCTCTCAACTTTGCTTATAGCACTCTTATTTACTTCTATTTCCCGCTCTGCTATCGTTACATCGAGTTTAATGCCTTCCACCTCGGTTGATAGCTCGCTTAACGGCGCTCGCATAGGAGAGGTGGACCGGCATTCAACATTCACAGTCGTAGTTTCTTCGCACATATTCCCTTTATTGAAGTCGTTCGCACAGATCATCCTGCAGAGTTTACTTTTAAATTTATCCCGATCATCGCCGTCGATCAGTAAGGCTTTCTTATTTTTTCGCCACGAAATAGATATGTAGCCATCGTTAAATAATTTCTTATCGCCTCCTGGACTAACCCATTCGCCGTTTAGATTAAGTTTTTGCTGACAAACTGTTTCAGTGAGTCGAAATCTCCCATCCAAGCCAGTTGCAATTCCTCAGCCATTATCAGTACGAATTCCTCGACTTATTCCTTATAGTGTGAGGTACCTTGTCCTCAGCTTGAGGGACCTTGTCCTCAGCGTGAGGAACCTTGTCCTTAGGGTGAGGAACCTTGTTCTCAGCGTGAGGAACCTTGTCCTCAGTGTGAGGTACCATGTCCTCAGCATGAAGGACCTTGTCCTCAGCGTGAGCAACCTTGTCCTCAGTGTGAGGTACCTTGTCCTCAGTGTGTGGTACCTTGTCCTCAGTGTGAGGTACCTTGTCCTCAGTGTGAGGTACCTTGTCCTCAGTGTGAGGTACCTTGTCCTCAGTGTGAGGTACCTTGTCCTCAGTGTGAGGTACCCCGTCCGCAGCGTGAGGAATCTTGTCCTCAGCGTGACGAGCCTTGTCCTCAGCGTGAGAAACCTTGTCCTCAGTGTGAGGTACTGCGTCCTCAGCGTGAGGAACCTTGTCCTCAGCGTGAGGAATCTTGTCCTCAGTGTGAGGAACCGTGTCCTCAGTGTGATGTACCGTGTCCTCACTATGAGGAACCTTGTCTTCAGGGTGAGGTACCTTGTCCTCTGTGTGAGGTACCTTGTCCTCAGCGTGAGGAACCTTGTCGTCAGCGTGAGGAGCCTTGTTCTCAGTGTGAGGTACCTTGTCCTCAGTGTCAGGTACCTTGTGCTCTGCGTGAGGTACCTTGTCCTCAGCTTGAGGAACCTTGTCGTCAGTGTGAGGTACCTTGTCCTCAGCGTGAGGAACCTTGTCCTCAGCGTGAGGAACCTTGTCCTCAGCGTGAGGAACCTTTTCCTCAGCGTGAGGAACCTTGTCCTCAGCGTGAGGTACCATGTCCTCAGCATGAAGAACCTGTCCTCAGCGTGAGCAAACTTGTCCTCACTGTGAGGAACCTTGTCCTCAATGTGTGGTACCTTGTCCTCAGTCTGAGGTACCTTGTCCTCAGTCTGAGGTACTTTGTCCTCAGTGTGAGGTACCTTGTCCTCAGCGTGAGGAACCTTGTCGTCAGCGTGAGGAACCTTGTCATCAGTGCGAGGTACCTTGTCCTCAGTGTGAGGTAACTTTTCCTCAGCTTGAGGAATCTTGTCCTCAGGGTGAGGAACCTTGTCCTCAGCGTGAGGAACCTTGTCCTCAGCGTGAGGAACCTTGTCCTCAGTGTGAGGTACCTTGTCCTCAATGTGAGGAACCTTGTCCTCAGCGTGTGGAACCTTGTCGTCAGTGTCAGGTACCATGTCCTCAGCATGAGGAACCTTGTCCTCACTGTGAGGAACCTTGTCCTCAATGTGTGGTACCTTGTCCTCAGTCTGAGGTACCTTGTCCTCAGTGTGAGGTACCTTGTCCTCACTGTGAGTTACCTTGATCTCAGCGTGAGGAACCTTGTCCTCAGCTTGAGGGACCTTGTCCGCAGTGTGAGGTATCTTGTCCCCAGTGTGACTTACCTTGTCCTCAGCTTGAGGAAACTTGTCCTCAGTGTGAGGTACCTTGTCCTCAGCGTGAGGAACCTTGTCCGCAACGTCAGGTAGCTTGTCTGCAACGTGAGGAACCTTGTCCTCAGCGTGAGGAACCTTGTCCTCACCTTGAGGGACCTTGTGCTCAGTGTGAGGTACCTTGTCCTCAGTGTGAGGTACCTTCTCCTCAGCGTGAGGAACCTTGTCCTCAGCGTGAGGAACCTTGTCCACAGCGCCTGGAACCTTGTCCTCAGCTTGAGGGACCTTGTCCTCAGCGTGAGTAACCTTGTCCTCAGCGTGAGGAACCTTGTCCAAAGCGCGAGGAACGTTCTCTTCACCGCCAGAAACCTTGTGCTCAGAGTGAGGGACGTTGTCCTCTGCTTGAGGAACCTTGTCCTCAGTGTGAGGTACCTTGTTCTCAGCGTGAGGAACCTTGGCCTCACCGTGAGGAAGCTTGTCCTCAGTGTGAGATACCTTGTCCTCAGCGTGAGGTACATTCTCCTCAGCGTGAGGAACCTTGTCCTCAGTGTGAGGTACCTTGTCCTCTGCGTGATGTACCTTGTCCTCAGCGTGAGGAACCTTGTCCTCAGCGTGAGGAACCTTGTCTTCAGCATGGGGAACCTTCTCCTTAGCGTGAGGAACCTTGTTCTGAGCGTGGGGAACCTTGTCCTCAGTGTGAGGTACTTTGTTCTCAGTGTGAGGTACCTTGTCCTCAGCGTGAGGAACATTGTCCTCAGCGTGACGAACCTTGTTCTCAGTGTGAGGTACCTTGTCCTCAGTGTGAGGTACCTTGTCCTCTGCGTGAGGTACCTTGTCCTCAGCTTGACGAACCTTGCCCTCAGTGTGAGGTACCTTGTCCTCAGCGTGAGGAACCTTGTCCTCAGCGTGAGGAACATTGTCCTCAGCGTGAGAAACCTTGTCCTCATTGTGAGGTACCTTGTCCTCAGTGTGAGGTACCTTGTCCTCAGTGTGAGTTACTTAGTCCTCAGCGTGAGGAACCCTGTCCTCAGCTTGAAGGAACTTGACCTCAGTGTGAGGTACCTTGTCCTCAGTGTGACTTACCTTGTCCTCAGCTTGAGGAACTTTGTCCGCAGCGTGAGGTACCTAGTCCGCAACGTGACGAACCTTGTCCTCAGCGTGAGGAACCTTGTCGTCAGCGTGAGGAACCTTGTCCTCAGCTTGAGGGACCTTGTCCTCAGCGTGAGGAACCTTGTCCTCAGCGTGAGGAACCTTGTCCAAAGCGCGAGGAACATTCTCTTCACCGCCAGGAACCTTGTGCTCAGGGTGAGGCACGTTGTCCTCTGCTTGAGGAACCTTGTCCTCAGCGTGAGGTACCTTGTCCTCAGCCTGAGGAACCTTGACCTCACCGTGAGGAAGCTTGTCCTGAGTGTGAGATACCTTGTCCTCAGCGTGAGGTACATTCTCCTCAGCGTGAGGAACCTTGTCCTCAGTGTGAGGTACCTTGTCCTCTGTGTGATGTACCTTGTCCTCAGCGTGAGGAACCTTGTCCTCAGCGTGACGAACCTTGTCCTCAGCATGAGGAACCTTGTCCTCACCAAGAGGAACCTTGTCCTCAGCGTGAGGAACCTTGTTCTGAGCGTGAGGAACCTTGTCCTCAGTGTGAGGTACTTTGTTCTCAGTGTGAGGTTCCTTTTCCTCAGCGTGAGGTAGATTGTCCTCAGCGTGACGAACCTTGTTCTCAGTGTGAGGTTCCTTGTCCTCAGTGTGAGGTACCTTGTCCTCTGCGTGAGGTACCTTGTCCTCAGCTTGACGAACCTTGCCTTCAGAGTGAGGTACATTGTCCTCAGCGTGAGGAACCTTGTCCTCAGCGTGAGGAACATTGTCCTCAGGGTGAGGAACCTTGTTCTCAGTGTGAGGTACCTTGTCCTCAGTGTGAGGTACCTTGTCCTCAGTGTGAGTTACCTAGTCCTCAGCGTGAGGAACCCTGTCCTCAGCTTGAAGGAACTTGACCTCAGTGTGAGGTACCTTGTCCTCAGTGTGACTTACCTTGTCCTCAGCTTGAGGAACTTTGTCCGCAGCGTGAGGTACCTAGTCCGCCACGTGACGAACCTTCTCCTCAGCGTGAGGAACCTTGTCCGCAGCGTGAGGAACCTTGTCCACAGCGTGAGGAACCTTGTCCTCACAACCAGGAGCCTTGTCCTCAGGGAAAGGGACGTTGTTCTCAGCTTGAGGAACCTTGTCCTCAGTGTGAGGTACCTTGTACTCAGCGTGAGGACCCCTGTCCTCAGCGTGAGGAACCTTGTCCTCAGCTTGAGGGACTTTGTCCACAGTGTGAGGTACCTTGTCCTCAGAGTGACTTACCTTGTCCTCAGCGTGAGGAACCTTGTCCTCAGCGTGAGGAACCTTGTCCTCAGTGTGAGGTACCTTGTCCTCAGTGTGAGGCACCTTGAACTCAGTGTGAGTTAACTAGTCCTCAGCGTGAGGAACCTTTTCCTCAGCTTGAGGGAACTTGGCCTCAGTGTGAGGTACCTTGTCCTCAGCGTGACTTACCTTGTCCTCAGCTTGAGGAAACTTGTCCTCAGTATGAGGTACCTTGTCCTCAGCGTGAGGAACCTTGTCGGCAGCGTGAGGTACCTTGTCTGCAACGTGAGGAGCCTTGTACTGAGCGTGAGGAAACTTGTCCTCAGCGTGAGGAACCTTATCCTCAGCTTGAGGGACCTTGTCCTCAGCGTGAGGAACCTTGTCCTCAGCGTGAGGAACCTTGTCCACAGCGTGAGGAACCTTGTTCTCACCGCCAGGAACCTTGTCCTCAGGGAAAGGGACGTTGTTCTCAGCTTGAGGAACCTTGTCCTCAGCTTGTGGGACCTTGTCCTCAGCGTGAGGAACCTTATCCTCAGCATGAGGAACCTTGTCCACAGCGTGAGGAACCTTGTCCTCACCGCCAGGAATCTTGTGCTCAGGGTGAGGGACGTTGTCCTCAGCTTGAGGAACCTTGTCCTCAGTGTGAGGTACCTTGTCCTCAGCGTGAGGAACCTGTCCTCTCCGTCAGGAACCTTGTCCTCAGCGTGAGGAACCTTGTCCTCAGCGTGAGGTACCTTTTCCTCAATGTGAGGTACCTTGTCCTCAGCTTGACGAACCTTGTCCTCAGTGTGAGGTACCTTGTCCTCAGCGTGAGGAACCTTGTCCTCAGCCTGAGGAACCTTGTCCTCAGCGTGAGGAACCTTGTCCGCAACGTGAGGAACCTTGTCCTCAGCGTGAGGAACCTTGTCCTCAGTGTGAGGTACCCTATCCTCACTGTGAGGTACCTTGTCCTCCGCATGAGGAACCTTGTCCTCAGCGTGAGGAACGTTGTCCTCAGTCTGAGGTACCATGTGCTCAGCATGAGGAACCTTGTCCTCAGTGTGAGGTACCTTGTCCTCAGTGTGAGGCATCTTGTCCTCAGTGTGAGGTACCTTGTCCTCATCGTGAGGAACCTTGTCCTCAGCCTGAGGAACCTTGTCCTCAGCGTGAGGAACCTTGTCCTCAGCGTGAGGAACCTTGTCCTCAGCGTGAGGAACCGTGTCCTCAGCATAAAGAACCTTGTCCTCACCATGAGGAACCTTGTCCTCAGCGTGCGTAACCTTGTCCTCAGTGTGAGGTACCTTCTCCTCAGCGTGAGGAACCTTGTACTCAGTGTGAGGTACCTTGTTCTCTGTGTGAGGTACCTTGTCCTCAGCGTGAGGAGCCTTGTCCTCAGCGTGAGGAAACCTGTCCTCAGCATGAGGAACCTTGTCCTCACCATGAGGAACCTTGTCCTCAGCGTGAGGAACCTTGTCCTCAGCATGAGGAACCTTGTCCTCAGCGTGAGGAACCTTGTCCTCAGCGTGACGAACCTTGCCCTCAGCGTGAGAAACCTTCTCCGCAGCGTGAGAAACCTTCTCCTCAGCTTGGGGGACCTTGTCCTCAGCGCGAGGAACCTTGTCCTCAGCGTGAGGAATCTTGTCCACAGCGAGAGGAACCTTGTCCTCACCGCCAGGAACCTTGTCCTCCGGGAAAGGGACGTTGTTCTCAGCTTGAGGAACCTTGTCCTCAGTGTGAGGACCATGTCCTCAGCGTGAGGAAGCTTGTCCTCAGCTTGTGGGACTTTGTCCACAGTATGAGGTACCTTGTCCTCAGTGTGACTTACCTTGTCCGCAGCTTGAGCAACCTTGTTTTCAGTGTGAGGTACCTTGTCCTCAGTGTGAGGAACCTCGTCCTCAGTGTGAGGTACCATGTCCTCAGCATGAGGAACCTTGTCCTCAGTGTGATGTACCTTGTCCTCAGTGTGAGTTACCTTGTCCTCAGCGTGAGGAACCTTGTCCTCAGCTTGAGGGACCTTGTCCTCAGTGTGAGGTACCTTGTCTTCGGAGTGACTTACCTTGTCCTCAGCTTGAGAAACCTTGTCCTCAGTGTGAGGACCATGTCCTCAGCGTGAGGAAGCTTGTCCTCAGCTTGTGGGACTTTGTCCACAGTATGAGGTACCTTGTCCTCAGTGTGACTTACCTTGTCCGCAGCTTGAGCAACCTTGTCCTCAGTGTGAGGTACCTTGTCCTCAGTGTGAGGAACCTCGTCCTCAGTGTGAGGTACCATGTCCTCAGCATGAGGAACCTTGTCCTCAGTGTGATGTACCTTGTCCTCAGTGTGAGTTACCTTGTCCTCAGCGTGAGGAACCTTGTCCTCAGCTTGACGGACCTTGTCCTCAGTGTGAGGTACCTTGTCCACAGTGTGACTTACCTTGTCCTCAGCTTGAGGAAACTTGTCCTCAGCGTGAGGAACCTTGTCCTCAACGTGAGGAACCTTGTCCACAGTGCGAGAAACCTTATCCTCACCGCCAGGAACCTTGTGCTGAGGGTGAGGGACGTTGTCCTCAGCTTGAGGAACCTTGTCCTCAGTGTGAGATACCTTGTCCTCAGCGTGAGGAACCTTCTCCTCACCGTGAGGAACCTTGTTCTCAGCGTGAGGACCCTTGTCCTCAGTGTGAGGAACCTTGTCCTGAGCGTCAGGAACCTTGTCCTCATCGTGAGGAATCTTGTCCTCAGTGTGAGGTACCTTGTCCTCAATGTGAGGTACCTTGTCCTCAGCGTGAGGAACCTTGTCCTCAGTGTGAGGTACCTTGTCCTCAATGTGAGGTACCTTGTCCTCAATGTAAGAAACCTGGTCCTCAGTGTGAGTTACCTTGTCCTCAGCGCGAGGAACCTTGTCCTCAGCTTGAGGGACCTCGTCCTCAGTGTGAGGTACCCTGTCCTCACTGTGTCTTACCTTGTCCTCAGCTTGAGGAACCTTGTCCTCAGTCTGAAGTACCTTGTCGTCAGCGTGAGGAACCTTGTCCTCAGCGTGAGGAACATTGTCCTCAGTGTGAGGACCTTGTCCTCAATGTGAGGTACCTAGTCCACAGCGTGAGGAACCTTGTCCTCACCGCCAGGAACCTTGTCCTCAGGTTGAGGGACGTTGTCCTCATTGTGAGGAACCTTTTCCTCAGTGTGAGATGCCATGTCCTCAGCATGAGGAATCTTGTCCTCAGTGTGATATACCTTGTCCTCAGTGTGAGTAACCTTGTCCTCAGCTTGAGGAACATTGTCCTCAGTGTGAGGTACCTTGTCCTCACCGTCAGGAACCTTGTCCGCAGCGTGAGGTACCTTGTCCGCAACGTGGGGAACCTTGTCCTCAGCGTGAGGAACCTTGTCCTCAGCGTGAGGAGCCTTGTCCTCCGCATGAGGGACCTTGTCCTCAGCGTGAGGAACCTTGTCCTCAGCGTGAGGAACCTTGTCCACCGCGTGTGGAACCTTCTCCTCACCGCCAGCAACCTTGCCCTCAGGGTGAGGGACGTTGTCCTCAGCTTGAGGAACCTTATCCTCAGTGTGAGGTACCTTGTCCTCAGCGTGAGGAACATTGTCCTCAGCGTGAGGAACCTCGTCTTCAGTGTGAGGTACCATGTCCTCAGCATGAGGAACCTTGTCCTCAGTGTGATGTACCTTGTCCTCAGTGTGAGGAACCTTGTCCTCAGCGTGAGGAACCTTGTCCTCAGCTTGAGGAACCTTGTCCTCAGTGTGAGGTACCTTGTCGTCAGTGTGACTTACCTTGTCCTCAGCTTGAGGAAACTTGTCCTCAGTGTGAGGTACCTTGTCCTCAGCGTAAGGAACCTTGTCCACAGCGTGAGGAACCTTGTCCTCACCGCCAGGAACCTTGTCCTCATGTTGAGGAACGTTGTCCTCAGTGTGAGGAACCTTGTCCTCAGTGTGAGGTTCCATGTCCTCAGCCTGAGGAACCTTGTCCTCAGTGTGATGTACCTTGTCCTCAGTGTGAGGAACCTTGTCCTCAGTGTGAGGTACCTTGTCCTCAGTGTGAGGTACCTTGTCCTCAGTGTGAGGTACCTTGTCCTCAATGTGAGGTACCTTGTCCTCAGTGTGAGGAACATTGTCCACAGTGTGAGGAACCTTGTCCTCAGCGTGAGGAACCTTGTCCTCAGCGTGAGGAACCTTGTCCTCAGCGTGAGGAACCTTGTCCTCAGTGTGAGGAACCTTGTCCTTAGCGTGAGGAACCTTGAACTCATCGTGAGGAACCTTGTCCTCAGCGTGAGGAACCTTGTCCTCAGCGTGAGGAACCTTGTCCTCAGCGTGAGGAACCTTGTCCTCAGCGTGAGGAACCTTGTCCTCAGTGTGAGGAACCTTGTCCTCAGTGTGAGGTACCTTGTCCTTAGCGTGAGGAACCTTGACCTCATCGTGAGGAACCTTGTCCTCAGCGTGAGGACCCTTGTCCTCAGCGTGAGGAACTTTGTCCTCAGCGTGAGGAACCTTCTCCTCAGCGTGAGGAACCTTGCCCTCAGTGTGAGATACCTTGTCCTCAATGTGAGGTACCTTGTCCTCAGTGTGAGGAACCTTGTCCTCAGCTTGAGGAACCTTGTCCTCAGCGTGAGGAACCTTGTCCTCACCGCCAGGAACCTTGTCCTCAGGGTGAGGGACGTTATCCTCAGCTTGAGGAACCTTGTCCTCAGTGTGAGGTACCTTGTCCTCAGCTTGAGGAACCCTGTCCTCAGCGTGAGGAACCTTTCCCTCAGCGTGAGGAACCTTGTCCTCAGTGTGAAGTACCATGTCTTCCGCATGAAGAACCTTGTCCTCAGCGTGCGTAACCTTGTTCTCAGTGCGAGGTACCCTGTCCTCAGTGTGATGTACCTTGTCCTCAGTGTGAGGTACCTTGTCCTCAGCATAAGGAACCTTGTCCGCAGCGTGAGGAACCTTGTCCTCAGAGTGACGAACCTTGACCTCAGCATTAGGAACCTTGTCCTCAGCTTGAGGAACCTTGTCCTCAGTGTGAGGTACCTTGTCCTCAGCGTGAGGAACCTTGTCCTCAGCGTGAGGAACCTTGTCCTCAGCGTGAGGAACCTTGTCCTCAGTGTGAGGTACCATGTCCGCAGCATGAGGTACCTTGCCCTCAGTGCAATGTACCTTGTCCTCAGTGTGATGTACCTTGTCCTCAGTGTGAGGTACCTCTCCTCAGTGTGAGTTACCTTGTCCTCAGCGTGAGGAACCTTGTCCTCAGCTTGAGGGACCTTGTCCTCTGTGTGACGTAGACCTTGTCCTCAGTGAGACTTTCCTTGTCCTCAGCTTGAGGAACCTTGTCCTCAGTGTGAAATACCTTGTCCTCAGCGTGAGGAACCTTGTCCTCAGTGTGAGGTACCATGTCCTCCGCATGAAGAACCTTGTCCTCAGCGTTAGTAACCTTGTCCTCACTGTGAGGTACCTTTCCTTCAGTGTGTGGTACCTTGTCCTCAGTGTGAGGTACCTTGTCCTCAGCATGAGGAACCTTGTCCGCAGCGTGAGGAACCTTGTCCTCCGAGTCACGAACCTTCTCCTCTGCGTGAGGAACATTGTCCTCAGCGTGAGAAACCTTGTCCTCAGCGTGAGGAACGTTGTCCTCAGTGTGAGGTACCATCTGCTCAGCATGAGGAACCTTGTCCTCAGTTTGAGGAACCTTGTCCTCAGTGTGAGGTACCTTGTCCTCAGCGTGAGGAACCTTGTCCTCAGCGTGAGGAACCTTGTCCTCAGCGTGAGGAACCTTGTCCTCAGCGTGAGGAACCTTGTCCTCAGCGAGAGGAACCTTGTCCTCAGGGTGAGGGACGTTGTCCTCAGCTTGAGGAACCTTGTCCTTGCTCGCACTGAGGACAAGGTTCCTCCCACTGAAGACAAAGTTCCTCACGCTGAGGACAAGGTTCGTCACGCTGAGGACAAGGTACCTCACAGTCTCACACGGAGGACAAGGTTCCTCAAGCGGAGGACAAGGTTCCTCAAACTGAGGACAAGGTTCCTCAAACCGAGGACAAGGCACCTCACACAGAGGACAAGGTTCCTCAATATGAGGACAAGGTACCTCACGCTGAGGACAAAGTTCTTCACTCTGAGGACAAGGTTCCTCACACTGAGGACAAGGTTCCTCACGCTGAGGACAAGGTTCCTCAAGCTGAGTACAAGGTACCTCACACTGAGGACAAGGTACCTCGCACTGAGGACAAGGTGCCTCACGATCAGGACAAGGTGCCACACGATGAGGACAAGGTTCCTCACGATGAGGACAAGGTTCCTAACGCTGTGGACAAGGTTCCTTACGCTGACGTCAAGGTACCTCACACAGAGGAAAAGGTACCTCGCGCTGAGGACAGGTTACCTCAAAATGAGGACAAGGTACCTCGCACTGAGGACAAGGTTCCTCACGCTGAGGACAAGGTTCCTCACGCTGACGACAAGGTACCTCAAACTGAGGACAAGGTTCCTCAAGCCGAGGACAAGGTTACTTACACGGAGGACAAGGATCCTCACGCTGAGGACAATGTTCCTCACGCTGAGGAAAAAGTACCTCACATTGTGGACAATTTACCTCAAGCTGAGAACAAGGTACCTCGCAATGAAGACAAGGTTCCTCACACTGAAGACAAGGTTTCTCACACTGAGGACAAGGTTCGGCCGGCTGAGGACAAAGTACCTCACACTGAAGACAAGGTTCCTCACGCTGAAGACAAAGTTCCTCACGCTGAGGACAAGGTTCCTCACGCTGAGGACTAGGTTCCTCACGCTGAGGACAATATTCCTCACGCTGAGGACAAGGTTCCTCACGCTGACGTCAAGGTACCTCACCCTGAGGACAAGGTTCCTCACGTTGAGGATAAGGTTCTTCACGCTGAAGACAAGGTTCCTCACGCTGAGATCATGGTACCTCACAGTCTCATACGGAGGACAAGGTTTCTCAAGCTGAGAACAAGATTCCTCACGCTGAAGACAGAGTTCCTCACGCTTCGGACAAGGTACCTCGCACTGAGTACAATGTTCTTCACGCTAAGGACAAGGTTCCTCACGATGAGGACAAGTTTTCTCACGCTGTGGACAAGGTACCTCACACTGAGGACAAGGTTCCTCAAACTGATGACAAGGTACCTTACACTGAGGACAAGGTACTTCACGATGAGGACAAGGTTCCTCACGATGTGGAAAAGGTTCCTCACGTTGAGGACAAGGTTCCTCACGCTGAGGACAGGGTTCCTCAAGCTGAGGACAAGGTACTTCACATTGAGGAGAAGGTACCTCACACTGAGGACAAGGTACCTTAGACTGAGGACAAGGCCCCTCACGCTGAGGACAAGGTTTCTCACGCTGAGGAAAAGGTACCTCAAACTGAGGACAAGGTTCCTCAAACCGAGGACAAGGTACCCACACTGAGGACAAGGATCATCATGCTGAGGACAATGTTCCTCACGCTGAGGAAAAAGTACCTCACGTTGAGGACAAGGTACCTCAAACTGAGGACAAGGGACCTCGCACTGAGAACAATGTTCCTCACACTGAAGACAAGGTTCCTCACACTGAGAACAAATTTCCTTACGCTGAAGACAAGGTTCCTCACGCTGAGACCAAGGTTCCTCACGCTGTGGAAAATGTTCTTGACGTTGAGGACAAGGTTCCTCACGCTGAAGACAGGGTTCCTCAAGCTGAGGACAAGGTACCTCACATTGAGGATAAGGTTCCTCACATTGAAGACAAGGTACCTCAGACTGAGGACAAGGTTCTTCACGCTGAGAACAAGGTGCCTCACGCGTGAGGAAAAGGTACCTCAACCTGAGGACAAGGTTCCTCACGCTGAGGAAAAATTACTCACATTGAGGACAAGGTACCTCAAGCTGAAGACAAGGTTCCTCACACTGAGGACAAGGTTTCTCAGGCTGAGGACAAGGTACCTCACACTGAGGACAAGGTTCCTCACGCTGAAGACAATGTTCCTCACGCTGAGAACAAGGTTCCTCACGCTGAAGACTAGGTTCCTCACGCTGAGGAGAAGATTCCTCACGCCGACGACAAGGTTCCTCACGCTGAGGTCAAGGTACCTCACCCTGAGGACAAGGTTCCTCACGCTGAAGACAAGGTTCCTCACGCTGAGGACAAGGTTCCTGAATATGAGGACAAGGTACCTCACGCTGAGGACAAGGTTCCTCACACTGAGGTCAAGGTACCTCACACTGAGGACAAGGTACTTCACGATGAGGACAGGGTACCTCAAAATGAGGACAAGGTACCTCGCACTGAGGACAAGGTTCCTCACGCTGAGGACAAGGTTCCTCACGCTGAGGACAAGGTACCTCAAACTTAGGACAAGGTTCCTCAAGCCGAGGACAAGGTACCTCACACGGAGGACAAGGATGACAATGTTCCTCACGCTGAGGTAAAAGTAGCTCACATTGAGGACAAGGTACCTCAAGCTGAGGACAAGGTACCTCGCTGAGGACAATGTTCCTCACGCTGAGGTAAAAGTAGCTCACAATGAGGACAAGGTACCTCAAGCTGAGGACAAGGTACCTCGCACTGATGACAAGGTTCCTCACACTGAAGACAAAGTTTCTCACACTGAGGACAAGGTTCGCCAGGCTGAGCACAAAGTACCTCACACTGAGGACAAGGTTTGTCACGCTGAAGGCAAAGTGCCTCACGCTGAGGACAAGGTTCCTCACGCTGAGGACTAGGTTCCTCACGCTGAGAACAATATTCCTCACGCTGAGGACAAGGTTCCTCACGCTGACGTCAAGGTACCTCACCCTGAGGACAAGGTTCCTCACGTTGAGGATAAGGTTCTTCACGCTGAAGACAAGGTTCCTCATGCTGACGTCATGGTACATCACAGTCTCACACGGAGGACAAGGTTCCTCACGCTGAGGACAGGGTTCCTCAAACCGAGGACAAGGTACGTCACACGGTTCCTCAAACCGAGGACAAGGTACGTCACACTGAGGACAAGGATCCTCAAGCTGAGGACAATGTTCCTCACGCTTAGGAAAAATTACCTCACATTGAGGACAAGGTACCTCAAGCTGAGAACAAGGTACCTCGCACTGAGGACAAGGTTCCACACACTGAAGACAAGGCTCCTCACACTGAGGACAAGGTTCCTCAGGCTAAGGACAAGGTACCTCGCACTGAGGACAAGGTGCCTCACGCTGAGAACAAGGTTCCTCACGCTAAGGACTAGGTTCGTCACGCTGAGGACAAGATTCCTCACGCTGACGACAAGGTTCCTCACGCTGAGCTCAAGGTACCTCACCCTGAGGACAAGGTTCCTCGCGCTGAGGACAAGGTTCCTCACTCTGAAGACAAGGTTCCTCACGTTGAGGACAAGGTTCCTCACTCTGAAGACAAGGTTCCTCACGTTGAGACAAGGTTCCTCACGCTGAAGACAAGGTTCCTCAAACCGAGGACAAGGTACGTCACACTGAGGACAAGGATCCTCAAGCTGAGGACAATGTTCCTCACGCTGAGGAAAAATTACCTCACATTGAGGACAAGGTACCTCAAGCTGAGGACAAGGTACGTCGCACTGAGGACAAGGTTCCACACACTGAAGACAAGGCTCCTCACACTGAGGACAAGGTTCCTCAGGCTAAGGACAAGGTACCTTCCACTGAGGACAAGGTTCCTCACGCTGAGAACAAGGTTCCTCACGCTAAGGACTAGGTTCGTCACGCTGAGTACAAGATTCCTCATGCTGACGACAAGGTTCCTCACGCTGAGGTCAAGGTACCTCACCCTGAGGACAAGGTTCCTCGCGTTGAGGACAAGGTTCCTCACGCTGAAGACAAGGTTCCTCACGTTCCTCACGCTGAGGACAAGGTACCTCACAGTCTCACACGGAGGACAAGGTTCCTCACGCTGAGGACAAGGTACCTCACAGTCTCACACGGAGGACAAGGTTCCTCAAGCTGAGGACAAAGTACCTCAAACTGAGGAGAAGGTTCCTCAAGCCGAGGACAAGGTACCTCACACGGAGGACAAGGATCCTCACACTGAGGACAATGCTCCTCACGCTGAGGTAAAAGTACCTCACATTGAGGACAAGGTACCTCAAGCTGAGGACAAGGTACCTCGCACTGAGCACAAGGTTCCTCACACTGAAGACAAAGTTTCTCACACTGAGGACAAGGTTCGCCAGGCTGAGCACAAAGTACCTCACACTGAGGACAAGGTTCCTCACGCTGAAGACAAAGTGCCTCACGCTGAGGACAAGGTTCCTCACGCCGAGGACTAGGTTCCTCACGCTGAGAACAATATTCCTCACGCTGAGGACAAGGTTCCTCACGCTGACGTCAAGGTACCTCACGCTGAGGACAGAGTTCCTCAGGCTGATGACAAGGTACCTCAAACTGATGACAAGGTACCTCACACGGAGGACAAGGATCCTCACGCTGAGGACAATGTTCCTCACGCTGAGGAAAAAGTACCTCCCATTGAGGACAAGGTACCTCATTCTGAGGACAAGGTCCTCACGCTGTGGACAAGTTTCCTCACGCTGATTGCCAGGTTCCTCATTGTGAGGACAAGGTATCTCACGTTGAGGATGCCAGGTTCCTCATTGTGAGGACAAGGTATCTCACGTTGAGGATAAGGTTCCTCAAACTATCTCACGTTGAGGATAAGGTTCCTCAAACTGAGGACAAGGTACCTAACACTGAGGATAATGTACCTCACGCTGAGGACAAGGTCCTCACGCTGTGGACAAGGTTCCTCACGCTGAGGACAAGGTTCCTCACGCTGAGGGCAAGGGCAAGGGGCCTCACACTGAGGACAGGATTCCTCACACTGAGGGCAAGGTTCCTCAAGCTGAAGACAAGGTTTCTCACACTGAGGACAAGGTGCGCCAGGCTGGGGACAAAGTACCTCACGCTGAGGACTGGTTCCTCACGCTGAGGACAATATTCCTCACGTTGAGGACAAGGTTCCTCACGCTGACGTCAAGGTACCTCACCATGAGGACAAGGTTCCTCACGTTGAGGACAAGGTTCCTTACGCTGAAGACAAGGTTCCTCACGCTGAGGTCATGGTACCTCCCAGTCTCATACGGAGGACAAGGTTCCTCAAGCTGAGGACAAGGTTCCAAGGTTCCTTACGCTGAAGACAAGGTTCCTCACGCTGAGGTCATGGTACCTCCCAGTCTCATACGGAGGACAAGGTTCCTTACGCTGAAGACAAGGTTCCTCACGCTGAGGTCATGGTACCTCCCAGTCTCATACGGAGGACAAGGTTCCTCAAGCTGAGGACAAGGTTCCTCACGCTGAGGACAGAGTTCCTCACGCTGAGGACAAGGTACCTCGCACTGAGGACAAGGTTCTTCACGCTAAGGACAAGGTTCCTCACGCTGAGGACAGGGTTCCTCAAGCTGAGGACAAGGTACTTCACATTGAGGATAAGGTACCTCACACTGAGGACAAGGTACCTCAGACTGAGGAGAAGTTTCCTCACGGTGAGGACAAGGTTCCTCACGCTGAGGAAAAGGTACCTCAAACTGAGGACAAGGTTCCTCAAACCGAGGACAAGGTTCCTCACACTGAGGACAAGGATCCTCACGCTGAGGACAATGTTCCTCACGCTGAGGAAAAAGTAGCTCACATTGAGGACAAGGTCCCTCAAGCAGAGGACAAGGTTCCTCGCATTGAGGACAATGTTCCTCACACTGAAGACAAGGTTCCTCACACTGAGGACAAGGGTTCTTCCTCACGTTGAGGACAAGTGTCGTGCCGCGAGCGTAAATGGGGCGAAGTCTCAACCAGACGGGTATGAAGTATGATTTAATACCAATCGGTGAAAAACTACAAAACGATTTACAGTAAACTAAAGTATTTACATATGAACCAGACAATACAATAGGCTGAATAATACACTTTGAGATACAAACAGCGAACACACACACGAAAAGACTTACGTTTATGCTCCGATTAAGCAAACTGCAGGTTATAACAAGCTAGTGATTCTCCTATTCCCCAAGTAAATATTTCCCCTGTTCTCCAGATGAATGTGAACGAATTATAAAGTTATCATTACTAAGTTTTAGGCGGTTATATACTCGCCACTTGTTCAGCCATGCGATATGCATGCATAATTATAATGATAATGTCAAGAGTCATCACACTCCTCGCCCAAGAGTAAAACATAAGTTTTGTTCTTGCTACTGTTTATGTACTCATTATATATACTAATTGACTTATCGGTCTAAGATAATATTTCTTTTCTCCGTCTCTCCAGATCACAATTTTAACCTTTCTGTCTAAACCGTCATTACTACTTTCCACGGCGTCCACAACTCTTCCGAGAGGCCATTCATTGCGATGTGCTTCTTCTTTCAGGGTAACTATGTCTCCTACGGCCCAGTTATGACGACGTTCATTCCATTTCGATCTTCTCTGTTGGTTTTGTAAATATTCGTTCTTCCATCGGCTCCAGAATTGATCTGCCAAATACTGCGCTCGCCTCCAATGTCTGCGGGAATATAGGTCAGAAGAGGTAAAGGTTCCTGGTGATGATACGAGTGGTTTTGTCTTCATTGTCAACAACATGTTAGGAGTTAGGGGTTGAGGTTGGTCTGCATCGGATGGTATTGTAGAAATAGGACGGGAGTTTACAATTCCCGACACCTCAGCCATGAGTGTTACCAAAAGCTCGTGCGTAAGTTGGCAAGGACCGAGATCAGAAAACATTCCGTTAAGGACTTGCCGAATGGTGGAAATTTGGCGCTCCCAGACTCCGCCAAAGTGGGATGCGTGGGGAGGGTTAAAAACCCACTCACAGTTCTGTTCGACGACATATTTTGCTATTGCTTTATGATCCATCTCTTTCAACGCTTCGTCTAATTCTGACTTTGCCCCGACGAAATTTGTCCCTCGATCACACCTCAATAACGATGGTGGCCCACGAATGGAAAAGAAGCGTCTTAAGGCGCAAATAAAGGAACTTGAGTCCATTGTTTCCAAGACCTCAATGTGGATCGCTCTGCAGTTCAGGCAAGTAAAGACTAAACCCCATCTCTTAGCGTTTGCAGCTCCCCCTCTTAGTCTTCGAGTACGTATCTGCCAAGGGCCAAATACATCAAACCCCACATTTGTGAATGGCGGTGGCGTTTCTAGTCTGTCTGGTGGAAGATTAGCCATATGCTGCGTTATAACGTTCCCTCTGAGTTTTCTACACGTGATACACTGGTTGATAATTTTTGAGATCATTCGTTTGGCTCCGATAATCCATAATCCCCCTTGTCTTAATGCACCATGGGTAATCTGTCTTCCTTGGTGATGCACTTCACTATGGTAATGGGTGATTGCTAGTCTCGCCAAATGACATCCTTTGGGTAATATTGCTGGATGTTTCTCTTGGAACATTTGGTCTGCTTGCCTTAGTCGACCGCCAAATCGAAGGACACCGTCACCGTCGACGAATGGGTCTAGACGATATATACTGGACTTCGGAGAAAGGCTTTTCTGAGACAGTTGGTTTTGCTGAAGGGTTTCGATTTCTTCCGCGTATGCTTCGCTCTGTGCGGTTTTGATCATCACCACTTCGCTCTGTCTTAGTTCTGCAGCAGATGGATTTCTTGGCAGCTTTCGGACTGGTAGTTTGACCAGATGTGTTTGGTGGGCATTCCTTTTGCGGGGTGTTGAAATTTGGTTTTGGCTTTTCAATATCTTTGCTTTGATGATCAGATTGGCAATCGCTCTTCGAAGGGAGTTCCACTTGGAAAATCGATTGAATCTTTCTGAGGTCAGACCTTTGATTACACGCAGTTGGGTAGTGTAGATTGTAGCCTTAACTCGAACTTCTGGATCGTTGTCAGCAATCAAGAAAGGTTCGGGGCTGAGTTCCATTTGTGCAGGTGGATCAACGTTTCTCAGGAATTCTGGGCCTTTAAACCAAACTGACTCCATCAAATCTTTGGAAGATTTTCCTCTTGTTGCTATATCAGCTGGGTTTTCCTTTGTCTCCACGTATCTCCATTGAGAAGGGTCAGTGATACTTCGGATGATTTGAATTCTGTTGGCTACGTAGACGTAAAAACGACGGCTCTCGTTCTGGATGTAGCCGAGTACTACCTTAGAGTCGGTGTAGAAAATGACTTTGTCTATTCTGAGCTTAAGTTCTCGGGTTATCCACTTGACCGCTTTGCTTGCAAGTACGGCTGCACATAGTTCTAATCTTGGGATCGTTGTCGCTTGTTTGGGAGCTAGCTTTGCTTGAGCGAACACAAGTGAAACTCTACTGACTTCAGCTTGATTGGTTAGCTTCAAATAGACAGCAATACCGATTGCGTAGTGGCTGGCATCGGAAAAGGCATGGATTTCTGCTTTTCTGACCTCGTTTGAGTTCTGTGGAAGATAACATCTAGGAATCATGATATCTTGCAGATCGTATAGACCAACTGTCCACTCGTGCCATTTCTTCCAGAGTGAAGTGGGTAAAGGGTCGTCCCACCCTAATGGTAAACTGTCGTTTCCTTTCTCATTTCCTAGTATCGTCAGCTGCCGTAGTAGGAGTCTTCCAATTGTCAATTGTCAATTCGATCTTCTGGTGGAAGTGCTTGCATTACCTCTACCGCGTTTGATGCAATCTTGTATAACTTAAGATTTGCCGTTGCTAACATTGTTTGGGTATTCTTGACGAGATCTATAGCTTCGTCGGGGTTAGAACAAGATGTCAGGCCGTCATCGACGTAAAAGTCGTTGCATACAAAGTCGTTTGCAGCGTGCCCAAACTCCTCCTCGCCGTCATCGGCCGTCTTCCGCAGGCCAAATGTTGCAACTGCTGGGCTAGACGTATTACCAAACAGATGTACAGTCATTTGACACTCGATAATGTTCTTCGTCTTGTCGTTGTTCTCGAACCACAAAAAGCGTAACAGATTTTGATGTTCAGGATTTACATAGAAATTATGGAACATTTGTTCTATGTCACATGCGACAGCTACGTTGTTTCGCCTAAAACGAAGGAGTATCCCCAACAAGGAATTCAGCGTATCAGGACCGGACAGCAGTTCTTTATTAAGCGAGACTCCATGAAATTCTGCAGATGAGTCAAATACAACGCGAATTTTGTCGGGTTTTCGTGGATGGTAAACGCCAAAGTGTGGTAGATACCAAACGTTTCCTGGCTCATGAGTTGTCTTCGTTACTTTGTTGAGCGGAACTGGTATGGCGTGTCCCCGTTTTAGTAGTTTCTGCATGAATTGAAAGTAGTCCTTTTCCATTTGAGGTTTGCGTTTGAACGAGAGCAACAGATTATTCATACGACTTGCGGCTTGACCTCGATTGTTTGGGAAAGTGACATTGGTCTTTCGAAGGGGAAGTGGCATCTCCCAATTTCCAAATTTGTTTTTATGGATACCTGTTTCCATTATTTCTATGAAGCGCCGATCTTCTACGGACATACTCTGCTCGTTATCATGACTCGTTGTGCGAAAGACGTCATCCCGGTTGTCCTCCAATTTTTCGCGAGGTTCTTTTATCTCGAACATGTTTGGGCATGGAATGTATTCATGATGCAGGATCTCGTGGGAGGAATTGGCCAATGGTTTTACTTTGGGTTCCACGTGGATATTGTCTATTTCTGGATAGGACGACTTTTGACACACGGTACGATGCGTTCGCACATGGACAGGCCCACCTTCACGTCTTAGACACAGTTCTCCACAGACAGTCCATCCAATAGCCAATTTGTGTGCCCAAGGTGTTCCTATCGGTCCGTTACGAACTTCTCTGACTTTCATCAGTTCAGGAGCGTCTCGGCCAATGAGTAATGCAACCTCGGCTTTCCGGTCCAACGGTGGGATTTCTTTAGCAATATCTCGCAGATGATGGAATTTCTTAACTAACTCTGGTGTTGGTATTTCCCGTTTGTCTGTAGGAATATTCTCGCATTCTACCAAGGTCGGCAATGGCATTGAAATTCCATTCGTTGACTTTACCACCAATCCAGGCACACGTCGGCCATATCTAGTTTCTTTTGATCCACCGCAGGTAGATAAGAAGTACTTCTCCTTGGGTCCAACTATTCTAAGCTCATCTGCTAACTTCGGACATATCATGGAGGAATTGCTTTGCTCGTCAATCAAGGCATATACTTTAATAACGTGATCAGGTTCATCTTGTTGGAAAACTTCGAGTAACACAATCTTGCTACAGGAGACTCTAGATATTGGTTGGCATTTGACGTTGGTACGGGCTGATGTTATATCTTCTTCCGTGTTGTCTTTCTTCTTTAACTTCTCCATATGAAGTATATCTAAGTGACGCTTGCTTCCACATTTGTTACACTTAATGCTGGCTTTACATTCCCTAGCTAGGTGTTTTGATTGCAGGCATCGAAAGCAACGTCCAGCTTGTCTCAACCAGTCCGTCTTCTCTTGCAAAGTCTTACGTTCGAAAGCTCTGCATTCTGATAGATTATGTCCTTGTCTGTCATGGAAGGCGCAATGTTTAGTAACATCTTCCTGTTCTTCCGTTTCGATTTCTCCCTTCAAGATGGTATGGTGGTCTTCGAATTTCGATTTCTCTTTCCACTTTCCAGGCATATCTGTGGCTGTGACGTTAGGATGATTCCGTAAGCAAGATTGGCTTTTCATCATGTTGGCGAAAGCATGGAAATCAGGATAAGTGTCAGCGTTTTTTTCAGCAAACTCCACAACTCGTTTCTCCCATTTTGAACGAATAGATGTTGGCAAACTAGTTAAAATTGGTCGGATGGTGTGTGGATAGTTCAGACAGGCAAGTCCAGGAAGTTGCTTAATCTGGGAAGACACATCGATACACAGATCTGAAAACGCCTGCAGACTTTTCTTATCCCTGTCAGTGAATTTTGCAGCCTCTTTCAATCGCGTCAGTAGTGTATTGGTTATGATCGCTACGTTGCCAAAACGATTTTCTAGCTCCACCCAGAGTTCTTTCAACAACTTGTTCGAGTCGCCATATTGTCTTTTGCGAAAACTGTTCACCAATTTCTGTGGTGCTCCCCTTGTGTACATGTGCAAATAGTTCATCTCTTGTTCTGCGGTTATCTCAGAGTCGCTAATCATACCCTTGAAAGAGCTTTTCCACGGATGAAACATAGTCGCATCGCCGAAGAATATATCGGGGTGACATTTAGGAAGACTTATTCTTGCTAAACTGGCGGTCAATTTATCGTTGGTTGCTGCGACGGCCCCCAAACATTCGTTTACCACTGTAGCTGGGTCGTGTTCCACGGTTGTATACGGTGGGTAAGGTTGAACAGGGTTGTGTTGTGGATGATGGGGATGATGGGTGTACTCGAGGGTATGTTGTGGATAGTGGGTGTACTCGAGGGTATGTTGTGGATAGTGGGTACCGATGGGGATTTCTGGGTACCATGGATAGTGGGTACCGATGGGGATTTCTGGGTACCAATGGGGACCGATGGGGATTTCTGGGTACCGATGGGGACCGATGGGGATTTCTGGGTACCGATGGGAACCGATGGGGATTTGTTGTGGTAACTGCTCTGAACCAGGATCAGTCGCTTGTGGTAACTGCTCTGAACCAGGATCAGTCGCAATTGGATCCGTCTGACGAGGCTGATCATCAAATCGAACGCCGAGCTTTCTCCTACTGGTGACATTGGTTAGATTAGTGTCTGGAGCCACGTTTTGTTGCTGGTCTTGCACCCACGTTTTGGTACGTTGTCTCGAAGTGGCACTTGTGTCTTCGTCAAGTTTGCTTGGAGAGGATATTTCGTTTAATATAGTTCGTTCGATGGCATTTAGTTTTGCTTCTGCCACGGCTGTAAGTTTTCTAGCGGCTAGGACTGCAATATCGTGGTCGTGTTGTGCTTTCGCGGCTGCTCTCTCTCTTTCGTCATGTGCATCCTTTTGTTTTCTCGCGTTTTCTTTCTCAGCCATCAATAAATCATATTCGGCTTGACGTCTTGCTGCCGCTGCATCTGCCAAGGCCTCTATCCGGGCAGAAGTTGACGGTGCGCGAGATCGCATAGATCTACCCGAGTGCCCCGAAGCTGAACGTCCAGATCTCTTCGAAGACGTTTCTTTAGTCTCGCTATTAAGCTTTTTAGCCGCCTCCAATAATGTGGCTTCTGCTTGTTGAATATGGGTGTAACTTGTTCGCTCTACAACGGGCTCCACGTCAACAGTTTCTTTCCATCTATCTTGTTCGAACAGACGTTTAAGATTCCCGAGACTGATTTCAAATGTTTGTTTACTTTTCTCCAAAAGGGCTGTTGCGCTCTTCAACTTTGATGTTTCCGACTCACTCAATGCCGCGTGAACAGAGAGGATTGCCCTTTGTAATGCCTTTGTTTCTTTATTGAAGTCCGATGTCTTTTGTAACAGTGTGTTTTGAAACCCTTTCTGGGTTGGGATTCGTTGACGTTTAACAGCAGGTTCGACTGTAGCGGTTTCGGTGGCATTGTCATCCGAGATTTCCGACATTTTATTGATTATATGTCTTGTTGTTCACTAGTGCATAACTCGTAGACAGTTGTCCGGGCGTTGCGAAATCAAATACCAAACTTTTTCACTGTCGTGCCCCGAGCGTAAGTGGGGACGAAGTCTCAACCAGACGGGTATGAAGTATGATTTAATACCAATCGGTGAAAAACTACAAAACGATTTACAATAAACTAAAGTATTTACATATGAACCAGACAATACAACAGGCTGAATAATACAAATTGAGATACAAACAGCGAACACACACACGAAAAGACTTACGTTTATGCTCCGATTAAGCAAACTGCAGGTTTATAACAAGCTAGTGATTCTCCTATTCCCCAAGTAAATATTTCCCCTGTTCTCCAGATGAATGTGAACGAATTATAAAGTTATGATTATTAAGTTTTAGGCGGTTATATACTCGCCGCTTGTTCAGCCATGCGATATGCATGCATAATTATAATGATAATGTCAAGAGTCATCACACTAATTATCATGTAATCAACAGTCGTACAATTTAGGACTGAAATCGTTCAAATTAAATTTCTGACAACAAATCGCTTGGTGGTCGTGGAAAAAATGAGAGAGCTACAATTTTCCGTTAATCGAAAAGTGCAAAACATAACATGGAACCTGCAATTTTCATAAGTCTTTTTTCTTCTCTTACTTCTTCTATCCAGATTACAACATTCCGAATTCTGTTTCTGATTGTGGCTTTGTCTGTTTCGAAGCAACAGAATAGCAGATATTTCATCTCTATTCCAATAATTTGTAAATTGAAATATTTTAGATATCAATGAATGCAAAACCAAGCAGAACGGATGTGAATACAAAGCTGGATGTATAAATACGCAGGGAAGCTACAAGTGTAGTTGCTCTTCTGGCTTTAACTTGAACGAAGATCGACGAAGGTGCAAAGGTAAGAAAAAGGAAATAGTTATATTCTTTGAATTTGTACGTGTTTCAATAGCATTTTAGACAAAAGCAGCCTTTCCTATGTGCATGTACTCACGGTAATATTAACGGATAACTGGACTGAATTTTGTAATAATATTGCAAATGGTGCTTCATATTGGGCCATCTTACAGCGCATAATGTATAAGATGTGCGAATGAACCGCCTAGCAACGGTGTTTCTCTCGATTGGCTAATTTGACCGAGGCAAGAAAAAGTAAAGGTGCCGAAAGTCCAACAACAATCACAAGCGCGTGACTATAGTACATCCATGCATGGATGGATCTGCCACTGATTTTTAAAAAACTATGTATTAGGTCAGCGTTTGACATTTGGTGTTTTTCAAACAATATTTTCCAATGTAAATATGTATCGCGGCAAATGTTTGCTCGCGTTTTAAACGAGAAACACCTCTGAAAGCCTCATAAAATTATATTTTAAACGGGGTGTTTCAGTGCTGTCAAAAAACCCACAAACCAAAACAAGCGTACTAAGCTTCATCTTTTTTATCGTTTATCCATTTATCGCTTCAACAATGTAATCCCCGAGCTGACGGCGCGAAGCGCCGTGCGAGGTTACTAATTCCCCCAGGCTATTTACACCCGGGTGAAACGAAAGCATTAGCAAAGTCTAAAGTTCATCAATTATCGCGGGCGCTCACCAACGATGTTGAGTGCGTAGTCATCACTGATCTCAGAATATGGCTATTTGCCAGGAGTGAAGAAGGCAAAAAATATAAAAAAATACATGTAAGAAAGCTTGGAAAATCGTTTCACATAAGTCATAACAAATTGTAAGACCTTGTTGCAATTTTTAAACGTAAACATTGATAACAATTGATATTGTATGATAAATCCTAAAGTATAGGGTAGGGCAAGTTGTTTCAATTGTTTATGTATGACTTTGTATTTTATAATATAGACTTTGTTCTTGATGTTCAAGTCTTTCCTATGCATTGTTTGCAAAATTCTTAGTTAAATTAACTTTTGTAGAAGTTCATGATAAAAAGGAAAGCGATTTATTTTCATTACCATCCTGTACGAATTAAAGAAGAAGAAGTTTTATATAAATATCGGCAAAAAGCAGTTAATTATAATTCAGATTTAAAAACGTTGTACGTAAGTAGTATAGGAACTGCCGATTCGAGACCACTTCGACCCGTTGAAAACGGGTCAAAGTGATCCCGAATCAGCATTTCCAACGCTATTTCGATGTTCCATTTTTTTGTTATAAGTCTACTGAAACGACTGTTCTAGAGCCATTTTGAGCACGTTTTCGTTATACTTATCCTGGAGCATTGGGGTCGCTTTAGCGGTCACGCTGCTCCCATGTGAGCCTCGTATTAGCCATCGTACGTGTTAACCTACACTTCTCCAATATCGTCTAATTTCACTATTCCAGAGCCTCTTTGCCAACTTTCAACTTACCACTGTGGGAACACAAGGGGGTATGCCTTTGCTGTCTAAGTACATCGTTGACATCAACCTTTTCACCCTGTGTGGTTACTTCAACAACGACTTTGTATGTTCTTATTACCGTAAGCATAACTGGTGACTCTATCCTCCAACAAGTACCTTTTATCATCAAAGCAACTCAGAGTGACCTTCCTCATTTCATACGTTCCGATTGAATGTTTGGTGCTCCTGATAGTGTTCATATTGTGTCTCATCCTACCTCGACTACTGATTACATTCTTGAAGTTCTCATGAGTGAGCTTATTCCTGATGACATACTTTTTAACCCCTTTAGCTGTCATCCCACCCTTACCGTTCTCTTTCACGTATGAGTACATCTTCGACCTTAACCCCACAAACTCAGTTACCGGTACACCTCCAGTCTCATCCTTGAACTTACCAATAACCTTCTTGTTGTGAGTTGAATGGTAAGGACTATCTCTCGGGTAATCTGTATTATCCCAGCAATCTTCCTCATCACCGATCCTCTTGAAGTCCTCATAAACGTCATCCGTCTTCAGTTCGTACATGAGACTGGAGGTCTCAGTAAACAGTAACTTTGCCCTGTTGCCGTACTCCTTCTTGATTGTGTTATAGTGGAAATCATACATGAGCGTCTTTGAAAGATCAAGTATACTCATCCCCACATAGCACGGCTTATTGAGTGTCAGTACCTCTTTCATCCTTTTTACCACAATAATTTAGGGGGCTTCGGTGGCCAAGTTAGCGCACTTGCCTTTCACCTCTGAGGCTGCAGGTTCGAGTCTCACTAAGTACCTTCTCAGTGCGACTTGAACCCAGTCCCCATGTGAAAAGTGCAAAAGTCAACGCTCTGCCGAAAGCCGTGGGTTTTCCCCGGGTACTCCGGTTTCCTCCCACAGGGAAAGTTGACAGGGTGGGTTAGGTAAAAAAGGGCCCACAGTAATTGGCATATGCTGTTGCGGTGACCCTGCCCTAGTTGGCAAAGCTAAATAAATAAATAAATAAAGATTATCATTCATGATTCTGTGCGACTGGAAGCACGGTGAGGCCACCAATTTCACGAGATATTCTTTGGATGACATTAGCTTAACATCAACACGCTTACTGAGATTTTCCATTGTCTTACCATATATGGAGTTGTTCATCAACTTGAAGAAGTTCTTTTCGAATGTATTTTTAGCAGTTGATCGCATCTTCGTATTGAAGTCTATGTAGTTCTTAAGCCAACAGGACTGTTTGAATGTAACCGCTCTATGGACCCTAGTCAGTTTCATTCAAAGGTCAATGTACAGTTTCAGATTGCGTACATGTAACACGTACTTCTCCCTGGGCCCCAATGAGGTGATTAGTTTCCTTACACCTCCAATTGTCAACTTGAACTTCTCAGCAATATTCTTCGCATAGTCTGACAACATAGACTCATCTATTTCCTTTCTCTCTGGTGCTAGAGGATAACCGTTATGTAAGTCGTGAAGTTCTTCGGGATATTCGAGGTCCACCTCCAAAACCATCCCTCTCCCGTCGTCTCCCAAGTAGTCCTCCAGCCTTATGCTCTCAACGTCCTCAACCCGCTCGAACTCTCCATTAGGTAGTGGTTGTGACATTGCCCAGCCATATAAATTGTTGGCTTCTAGCTACATAAGGAACTTGCTCTCATCGTCTTCGTTGTACGTCTTGATGTACTTATTATTCGCTGTGGAGTGTCTATGAGCAATATAACTGGTGCCACCTCTCATACCCTTTCCAAAGAACTGGAACATGTCTATATCACTTACCAGCTCAATATGCTCACCTGACTTTTTCAGGAAAGCGTCCCAACTAAGACTAGGAGCTGACACGTAATGTGCTGGGTCAAGCTTGCAGTTATCCAGGCAAGTCCTCCTAAAGTTCTCAAATACATCAGCCAGCAGAAGAAGTTCAGTCTCCAGGTAGAGATCATGGTAATCTTTCATCGTCTTCATCTTGAAGTGATCCCACGCTTTCTGCGCTCTTTGATAGTCTTCATCCTTCACCCCAGACTCATACAGCGAAGAGTAGAACTTATCTTTGCTCGGCAGACCCTCCGTACTCAGTTTGCTAATATCATCTAGGAACTCGTAGGGGAACACTCCTTTTTGTGTCACCAGATTGCAATCCTCACCCTTCCACCTCTTACCTACTATCCTAAAGTTCTCTGCTGAAAGGTTGCTAACAAGGTCTTCCAACGAAGAAGCCATGAACTGTATAGAGTCTTTGAAGACTAAATTTCTACCCAGCGAGAATGATATGTATTTTTCCATATTATTCGGAATCACGTTGACGTCCATCTTAAACTTACCTATTTCCTGCATAATCAGATGGCTATCATAACCTCTCAGATTGTGGAAGACCACTTGCACTTTCCATGTAATTCTATACTTCAGGTTACATATATTGTGAGCCGCTCCACGGTACATTCCAGTCACATGATCATGGTCTCATACCCTGTCTTCACCCAACTCATTACTACATATGGAACAGTCTTTTGCCCCTTGGAATTCCACTTCCTGTTCAGGTCTAATTACCATCTTCCTTGTGAATATACTGTCAACCAGCTGTCTACATCTGAACGACTCTTTCAGGTCGGTCTTGAGAAAGACAAATGCAGCGTTATTTCCAACGTAGCTCTTATATTCACCAGAATACTTATCATCATAGTGGCACACTTTTTCTGAGACCGAAACTGCACGCCTGATGTGTCTGGTAACGGTTAGTATTACTCTCGTCCTCATCCTTCTCCTCATCCTTCTTCTCCTCAGGAAAAGTATTGATTCGAAGTCAGCATATATCACAAAGGGTACAGGCATGGAGTTCCTATGATTTTTGAACTTAATTTTTGTTCCCTCCTTAGGGAGCCTTGTAGCTTGAACTCCATTTACCTGTACGCACGTCTCCTTATGCTTTTCCAGTACATCTTCACTTGTACAGTTGTGCAGACAGTGTAGACAGAAGTGCTGCTTATGTCCATGTTTACTCACACTGTTCAGCATCTTATTCACATCCTTGATTAGCACATAATGTAAGTTACCTTCACCATCACCTAGTAGGAGCAGTTCCATGTGATCCTCATGTTCACTCTTAGAGATTCTTATGGGGTAGAACTGTTTTCTTCCCTTATAGCCGAACACAGAGATGTTTATCTTATTTTTCCTCTCAATTTTGTCAATATCACTAATCTTCACAGGGAACTCAATACCTTCATAATCAAGGCTTAACTCGAAGTCCCTGTCCTTTTGTGTAATAGTAGTTGCCCTTCTAGCTTTCGGTCTAAGGTGTCTTACGTGGCACCACACAAAGCACATATTATCATCGTTCCTCATGTTTAGCAAGCCACACTTGGAATTACTAATGTCATCAGGAAGTTTCATATATGAGCTTCCCGCCAGTGGTTTGTACATAGCAATGTTGACATAGTGGCTCGCAATATTCAATATAATCCAGTTGCTACCTAGGTTTTGGAAAGTCTCAATTCTAGAAAGAATGGTCAGTTGATTGGCAGCTGCTGTATTTTCAATATCTTCGAAGTTCGTCACAGTCCCCATCTTAGACTTGAAGTAGATCGAGTCTTTCTTTGTTTTCCCGTCACCGGCTTCCTTCGACATTCTCACCTTGATGGTCTCTGTGTACTTTAACCCACTCATTCTCTTCAACTCGTTAACAAGTATACTTCTCACTACCTGTCTACTTGCAGTCATCTGCTCCAGCGGATCCATGTACTGTGGAGTTAGCATGTACGTCACAGCGGCCCCGTTAGCTGCCGTCTCAATTTTCCTATGACCGGGCTTCTGGAGGTCAGTTCCAGATGGATCGATTTCATGTAACTCTGGAGTAATCACTCGAGGCTGCTCCTTAACTTCCTTCAAATGCTTTACAGGCTTACGGATCTTTGCTGGTTTTGTCTTCCTTGGTAAAGGTACAGGTCTTTCCTTAGGAAGCTTAGTTCTGGGTTTCGGTACAGGTCTTTCCCTTGGAAGTACCGTTCTAGGCTTAGGTGTGGGTTTCCATGAAGCTACACCTTTAGGTATCTTCGGAGCCTTTCTCGTCGGTCTTCCCCTGTTAAGATCCACAGCTATGTTGTACTTACCGGGACCCACCTTAGTCACAACACTATCAGCGGTTATTACAGGTCTCACAATCTTTTGAGCCATGAACCTTTCCGCTACAGTTTGCCTCTAGAGTCATAGGTGGAACTTCGGTTTTTGCCTTAGGATGCCGCCCTCTCTTCTTGGGTACTTTCACCTCCTCATCAGCCTTAGCCTTTGGTGGTCAACCTCTCTTCTTAAGCACCTTTGGTTTCCTCTCTGCTTTTATCTTCTCGACTTTCTTGTTGATGAGGTCATTGTCAGAATACCACAGACCTCCCGTTGTTTCGGGTAATCCTGGTGTTCCCTTCAGTCGTTCAAATGCTTCTTCAATCAAAGCTGCCTTTTCCTGTTGTCTCTTGGAGTACTTCCATTGTGGTGCCGTTCCTCTTTTTCCTGTATAGTTTTTAGGGATTCTTCTAGGTTTAGGTCTTATTACAATGGGCTCTTCCTCCGGCTTCTCACGTTCAAAGTAAGGATTCCCCTAGAACTTCTCAACATCCATTTCAAACTGCTCGTCGTCACTGGGAATGTTCCCTGAGAAGTACTCTCCAATTGCTATTAACTCTTCCATGCTGATGTTTGACATATTGGTGTTTTTCACTGGACTCATTTTCTGACTTTTCCTCTATACTATATACTATATATGTAAAAAAAGGAGGGTATTTAATTAATAATTAATTTAAAATTTATTACTAATTAATTTACCCCCATTTTTTTATTATTTATTTACTATTTAATTTAATTATATTTATTTAACTTATTGTTTATTATTTAATTTAATTAAATTTATTTAATTTATTATTTTTCCGATGGTCGTAATTTCTGACTCACCACTTATTAGGGTTACAGACAGAACTTTGACTCTATAGTTTTCACCGACTGTCACACGCTTATCAGTTGTAGCGAAGATGGTCACCGGACCGTTTTTCATCACAACGATCTTATCACTAATACGCATAACCTTTCCCCTCACAGTGTCTCCCTCCTCAGGTCTACATAGAGTGCACATGAAGTGGACAGTGTAGTACGCCGCTGCTCTGACGTCCTCTGCATGTATCTCCCCTCCAAAGAGTTTCCTAATTCAGTTCACCTTAATAACCACTCCATAATTACCGTAGAATTTTCCCTCAACATTTTCCCGTAGATTATTTAGTATATTTTTAATTATATTATTATTCATTTGACTCTGAGTAATTACTACAGTTTTTATTAAAACATTTTCGGTATACATTATTAATTTATTATATTTTTATTTCTTTAATTTCCTAATTTTCCAGTTATTATAATATGTACATTTTTCAGGCTTCCATCCAAGGTCAACGAATACTTTTCCATACAACCTGTCCACAAGCGCGTCCACTATTTTTTGAGTCCTAATGTCCTCTGGTGGGTCTCTCAGCTAAATGCCGTTCATACTAGCTAACCTGAGTAGGTAAAACTTGTATCTAACAATGTTGCGCCCCCTTTGCAGTCTAAGTCTTTGTATACGTCTTACGATGCTTCTAAACTGCTCCCGTATCTTGTCCCTGTCCCTGGCTGCAACATGTTGAAACAAATGTCTCTCGAACCAGCGAACCCTCTTATGGCAAGACTTCTTTTTAAGATAGTCGTCCTTGTTGTAGTTGTAGCTAACATAGCACGAGAAGTTGTTCATATCACAGGTACCACACATTGTACATGTATCTGACCCATCTATCATCACAATAGACTTACTTCCACACTCACTACATATTGGGTCATATATGTTTCTCCCCTTTATCCTCCTTATCACGTACTTCCTTACAGCTGCCTTTAGTTCTTTCATTGTATTTGTCCTTCTAACTACACGTACTATCTCCTCAGGTGTTGCTTCACATAACCAGTCCATTCCTCTATACTAATAGGTACGGGGAAAAATGTGGTGAATTTTTACAGAATTAAATAAGCCGCCCCACCTATTGCTCCACCTGCAAGTAAACCAAAGAGCGCCATGTATTCTTCCATCTCTCGGCTAGGTTTGTAGGTGTTACTCAGATGCGGCTTCCTTGGCATAGCCTTACGTGTTAATTCATTGATTCTCCTAACTAGTTCCAGTGATTGGTTCGTTGACTTGATATCACTATTTGCTTCAGCTAGTTCTGCCCTTAGTTGGGCTATTTTGTTTCTCCTATCTGTGACCTCTTCAAGGTACTTCTCTCTTTCAGCTGTGAGGACCTCCATAGCCATGTTATGTCTTTTGGCTTCCTCAGCGTATCCATTCTTGTCAAACATCTTAAATAGGAACCCAGGTCCCGCAAATGCAAATGCATTAAAGAGTCCTCCTGCTACTGCCCCTGCCATTGTATAGTTTTACCTAGGTTTTGAATGGATCATCTGGTATGTACTTCTTAATTTTCTTTCAGGTAAGAGATCAGTAGAGATGAAAGAGATACTGAAACAGCTAACTTTAACATTCCTTTTACATTATCTGGGGTACCTAAGGGTTCTTCCAATATCTTCTTCGATGCCATTGATGTACTTACTGCTCCTGCTGTAAGTAACACTGCGTTGTACACTTCATTGCCCATCTTTGATTCTTTACTCATCTTGCTATAATATATGGTATGTTTAATGTTTCACTCAAGTGTGTCTAGTTTGGATTCATCAGGTTGTTTCACTATTGTTACCGTTGGTGGTGTGTACTTAGGTTCAAGCGCTTTCTTTTCCCTCTGATGCGACTTATACGCTAGCACAAGAGATATCAATGCAATAGCTAGCCCTATGTAGGTGATTGTGTTGTTGTTACCGCTAGATGACTCGATTGATTCAGCTTGTTTCTTCTTCCTCTCCCTTGCTGCCTTACTCAGGACCGCTAGTCGTTTCCCTGCCTCTACTCTCCTAGGGTCCTTCTACTTTTCACTTGTTACAGGGACTTGCTTTGTGTTAGATTCGTCAGCCATCCTATATATGAATACCTTAGGTTTAACTACATAGATGTCTACATAGATGTCTACATAGATGTTTACATAGATGTCTACATAGATGACTACATAGATGTCTACATAGATGCTCACCCTGAGGGGATTGCTTAAAAAATGCCCGACAAATATTGCCGAGCATCTTTAATTTTGTTTTTTACCCTAATCCTGTAACCACACTAGTACTTATGTCCTGTGAACTTAGGTCGGTGGTATACCACTTCTTCTTCACTTAGTTTCTTCTTAAGCTTGTTACACTGTCTTTTCAGATTCGCCATTTCTTTCTTATGTTTCGCTGTGTTGTCAACTCTGAAGTACTCATCTATCCCTAGCACTATGTCTGTGTATTCATTGGAGATCAATGTCCGGTGCCCCTGTTTACGTAGCGACTTTAGCCAGACCACTTGATTGTCCCTAATCTCACCTGTACCCTTAGGGGTCTTGAGCTCAATTGCAAATCCATTGTAACTATTCATTGGATTCGTTATTATAAGATCTGGCTGACCACCAATATATCCCTTACGATATGCGTCGCATCTACGTTGGACAGTATCTTGGTACTCACCTAGCCCCGGTACAACTAGAGCGTTCGGATGGTGCTTCCTGATGTACCTAACAACTACATAATGAAGGTCAGTCTCATTGAGTAGCTTCAACTGTTTACCGTAGAGGGGATTTGGTTCTGGTAACTCATATGACCGCGTTTTACGTATCGATGGAAGTACATCTCTGAATACCCACCTTCTGAATTCCTTCGCACGCTTAATCTCAGATCCGAATATTAGCTGATACAAACCTTGCTCAGTAATGAGAACCGTATTTGGTTGACTCCCGCAAGGAGGTCGCGCTGGATGACCCCCTTGAATTTCCCCCAGTGTACACTTATCATCTTCCCACACATGTTTTTTAATAGCATCTCTTGCATTAGCGTATCCTAGCGATTCGGCTACGTCGTTTGCGTAGAACAGTACCTACTCACCCTTCCTCGCAGTTCTTACGCTTACGTTAAGTTCTTTGTTTTCAAATAATTGTTCCATCCCACCTTTACCCACGATCGAAGAAAACATCTTGTCACTTTCTCTATACTATATATGTCAAAACATTTTCATTGCATTTCGTTAAGATTTTTGTATATTTTTTCTACGGTCCTTATTGAGTCTTTTGAGAACGTTTCGAAGTCATACTTGAGCGCCCCGACAATCTTCTCCAGTTCTTCGATCCTTTCCCTGTTCTCCTTAGTCTTCCGAAACAATTAGTTAATTATGTCTTCAAATTCAGTTCCTTCCCAGGGATTTCCCCAGACGAACGGTTCTCCGATTTGGAGCATTCTGTATGTACTACCGTATGTTTAGACCACTTATGCTTAACCACATGTTTTTCCGTTGTGCATCCCCCAGATATGAGTCCTATGAAAGGGATACTGGGTGATATCGTTCTTGTGAGGAATGCCACGTCATCCATCAGGAGTTTGTCACATAGAAGTTCCTCTGACAGTTTCTCTGATGATTCCACTGCACCGATGTTTCCTAAGGCTGATGCAAACTTGGAGATAATGAGTGTTGATAGGAAGTCACCAGCATATGACATTCTTTCTTCCTCATAGTCATTGTAAAGTTTCTCTACAACACCCTTGTTTGCTTTCCTTATGAAGCTTGCGGGCTTCTTCACAGTGCCGTCCTTGGATAGTTCAATAAGTTTCTCCCTTTACTGTTCAGTTTGCGACTTACTTTCGGTGTGCTTCTTTTTTGGTGGCAACTTTGCGGCTTCTTCCACATCTCTCAATACAGCTTCGAATAGTTGGTCGTCAGATTCTGCGGTAGCCATCTATATGTTACGCGGCGTTTAGCGAAGAGTGTAAGTGTATGGGTGAACAAGTAGTATATTCAGTGCGGTGAACTTTTCATCTCTCAGTATCTTTGTCATCTCCTCTATTTTCTCCTGTGGTACGCCAATCAGGTAATCATCTGTTATGACCTTCATATCTTTGCGACTGGGGTTGTAGAATGTGACTAGCCTGGAAATGTTCTCTCTGAAGGGCTTCGCTACTGAGGACAATTTTTGTGTAAGTACAATGACAGATAGATTGTAATGTCTTGCGGAGAATGCTAAGCGCACCAGTTTGGAGAATCTTTTCTTTACAGCTTGACTTGCTGCGCAATCGTCCACTATGATGAGATTGTTGGTTTCGCGGAATATGGTGGACACCGCCTTGAGAACATGGTCGATCATCTCTTGTGAACAGGGAATTTCAATAACCCCGTGATCACTAAGGTGGCTCCAATTGATGTAAGTTGTGTTCCATTCTATTGTTGGGCATACAATGATAATGTAATCGAAAACTCTATTGTACCCTGTTTCTAACATGTCAAGGAGAAACTTGGTTTTACCACTCCCTGTCATTCCAACTATTAGCATGTTGAACGGCGGTTGAGGTTGCATCTCTATGTGTTACCATTAGTATTGAATACTTGAGAGATCTCTATTGGCAAAGTTGAGGAGAGCATTTGATACAACAAAGATGTTGCATTGAACGTCAGCTGTTGTGGCTCTCTTTTTGATTTCCAGGAGTACGCCTGACTGTGTGTTAACTATTTTCTTGCCTCCTCCAGTGGTATCATCTTGTGTTGACCTAAGATCGATCACTAGAGCGAAACCGTTGCTGAAGAACTTGCTGATGGACATAAACTCGTCAGCCATTAATTTCTCCCACATAGGGCAGAAGAATCGCTTTGCCTCTTCAAAGAACCTGTTTTTGGGAAGACCCTGGGAGAAGACAGCATTTGGCACACCCTCAATGGTTACGTTGACTTTATCAATGTCTGGATAAATGTACTCTTCAGAATCAGTTCTCACTTTGTTGGTAAATAGGAGGAGAATTGCTGACATGCTCTTTCTAGGGATGTTAATGTTCTCATTGATAATGGTAAGATATTAGTCCCAGTTACTCGTACGCATCAGTGTGACGTGTTTGTAGGACAGTGACCGGCCCGTTGAATACATCCTTGAGACCTCACTTGCAAGGGCGTCGTTTTCTATTGTCTCATACTCTAACTCGAGATTGTCCAGTTTGTAGCCGCCTACCTGCTGACCTCCTTGTGCAGTCATAATCTCGTCTGCCTGGAGGAGAGTAAGGATGTACATTGGATTGTTATTCATGTTGAACGGTACATAGAGCCCGTGATCTGCAACTATTTTGTCAATCGGTTTTCGCAGCTTAGAGTCGTATACACTATGTAGAAGTCCATCTGCTACTTTACCGGCATCACCTACCTTTACCCCTGAGTCGTCACCTGATATTAACTTTCGCAGGTTTTCGTTTGCAAGACCCTGTTCGGTCATCTTTTTCCTGTCGCCTAGTGTTAGACATAGGTCTTTGTACACTTCGAATAGACTTTCTCCTGAACAGTCATAGGCTGTCTCACCGGCTACCTTTATTAGGAGTCGTTTTGCTAGCAGCTTAGATAGATTGTTATTAAAGCAGCTCTTTTTGTTGGAATTCTTGAAGTCAAATAGGAGGGCAAGTGATCCGGGGACTAAACAGGAAGAAGGTTTGAGTTTTGGAATATAAATGTACAGCTCTTCCCCTGGACCAATAGTTGTTGGATTAAAGGTGACAACACTTCTGGTTCGAGGATCTTTGATGGTAGTCATGCGGCTCCTTCTGAAGCCAGGTTTGAGTTCCGTTTCTGTGGTATTCATGTTTGTATGTAATGTTTAGCGTTGTAAGTAGTCGTACACAAGTAGTGCAGCCGCTATAGCTAATACCCATAAATTTGATGCTAACCATGCAATACCCTTTGCGCCCCATAATAGAGCTGTTGCGATGGAATTGAGAACTGGTACAAGATTTGGAGCACCTTTTTTAGCTATGGTGGCTAATGCTTTTGCTACTTTACTTGTTGCTTTTGCTGTTCCTACAATTTCTCCCCTAGCGAGGATCAGTAAGGCTGTAATTAGACCGGCTGTTGATACTGCTATTCCTGTGAGTCCCATCTTTTCCTTCCCTAACCATTTCACAAATTTGCGGAATCTGGAAATGTCTTCTTCCTGTGCTTATCTACCTTCCTCTAGTTCTTTCTGCATGATTGTCCAATCCATTGCTTCCCTAAGAGCGATTATACTTTCTTCCAGTCTTATGAACTCCTCTGGGTCATCCGTTTCGTCCCTTAACTCCATCGTTTTATTGATCGTGTCCTAGAAGTATTCTACTTGTTTTTGGAACGCACCCTCATCTCCTATCCTTGATACCTGGTCCATTGTATCAGTTGGGTCAAGCACACCTCGGAGCTCTCTATTTTCTGTATGGGTTAGAGCTGGGATGTCGTCTCTGGTTACCCTCACATCTATGAGCTCAATGTCTTCAAATGTGCTGTCCTCATCACTGAAATCATTCAGGTCAGCTTCCCGGTTTACAACTGTGGACTCACTGCCTGTATCCTCCTCTGTTCTGAATTCAGTGTCAGTTGTCTGGTCCTCCCTGATTTTCCTCACTAGTTCCTTGTATTCTCTCAATGCAGGGGAATTCTTAGAGTAAGTTGGAACGGAGGTCTTTCCACGCTTCATTATCTGGTACCACTTTTGTTATTACCTTGTTCACTTCTAAACATTAACACCTCTGTGCCATCATTGAGTGTTCTAACAGATGATCGTTTGATGAGCTCCCTAACGTTTCTATTCCTAGGGTTGAGTACTATTTTCTCTTTTGCTTGAATAACTCTTGTGACAGCTTGTACACGTTCCACCTGGTTTTCAAAGTCTCTTTTCCTCTGCAGTGTTGTGAATTTTTTCACTTTATCCAGACGTTCCTCTATGTCGTCCCAATCAGTGTTAAATGATTCCTTAAATGCATCTAGCACATCTGGAAGTAAATTGTTTGGGTCTTACTCAAAGTCGACTCCTGGAACGGTTATACTTCCTGAGGGTTCTGAGATGTTTACAGTTCCTTCTTCTCCTTCAGTGAAAGTTGTCTCTGCCGTCCCACGTTCCTCCATGAGTTGCTTCACATATCTAAGTTCACTGTTAAGGTCAACGGCAGCCAATGGATCCGAACCATATCTTACCTCCCTATTTAACCTACTTGTTAGTTCCTCAAAGTTTGAGGTAAGGTCCTTGTAGTTCATGTCGTCATACTGAGAATAAGTTTTTTGTTCCTCCTCCAACTCAATTTCATCGTAGCCTTCGACGTTCTCCATAATACTGTAACTTATGTTAGGGACTTGATGTCTCCAGCTGGGATCCAACTGTTAAATTTGTCGTCGTAACCTAACCATTTAATGAGAGCCATCTTCTTACCCTTCACTGTTCTTCTTCTTAGTAATTTCTCTATTCTAAAATTAGGTTCTCTTCCTTCAGCGCTATACAGTTCTTGTTCATAAAATCTGCCAATTATTGGTTCACCAGCACTGTCTTTTATTGTGTATGTATTCGGATGCCCGAGACACACTTCCGTTACAATGAACAACTCCTCTGTGAAATTTGCTTCGTACCCTTTTGTGAACACTGATTTGTACTTTGAGATTCTAACACTTTCTCCGACAACAAACTTTGGTTCCGACGGCTTACCTAGATCGTTACTGAAAAGTGTCTGCCATACTTCAGTCCAGTTGGACTTATTAACACTATCCGGTGTTGTTTTAATTGACCTGTTCACTGAACTGTTGTAATTGTCGGTTAAGTCTTGAAGGACGTCTAACCATTTATATATGCTGGCACTGTAGAGGTACTTCCATTCCACATTAGTGCTTTAAGTGTTCTGTTGAATCTTTCCACAACTGCGGCCTTTTTGTCTGAGTAAGTGGAAAAAAACTCAATGTTATGTTTATTGAGCAATGACTTTACTTCTTTGTTGTAAAACTCTGTGCCTTGATCAAACTGAACAAATTTTGGGTATTTCCCAAAGTGATTCTTGAATTGCTCTAAACAGTTACTGACGGCATCCTTCATTGCTACAGCGTTTTTTCTGTACACTGGTAATCGTGAACGCGTACCTACTTAGTATTTCAATGGATGCGAGAATCCAGGGGTATCCCTTGTTCTTGTCGTCATATTTTATCATGTCAACTAAATCCATTTGTAACTGCTCACCTAAAGTTTGGACAAACGTCTGTCTGAACTTATGTTTCCTGAACACTTGTCTGTACCTGGTGTATGTGTCCTGCTTGTTTATCCATTTTTTAACCTGGTTTCTAGTTACTTCAAGTCCGTCCGATATTGCTCTAAGGTATAGTTTCTCTGGTGTTTGGAATCCAGTCTTAGGATTGTAGTAAATATCTCGTAGTCCCTGTTCTTTCATAATATCGTCGTCCATCATATACTAACCAATGTAAGCTCACTACTCAAGGTACATCTCGCTAAGCACTTCACCTATATCAATAGGTTTTCCGTTTTGGTCCTTTACATGGAACATCAGTTCTGAACATGAACCCTTAACGATCGAAGTCCTGCTTTCAGTGTCAATGTAACTAACCACTGATCCGAACAATGGTCTGTCTGTTGGAACTGTAACACTCGTTATCACATCGCTTGGCTTCCCCCAGTGGTTGATGTTGTAGCTCTTACTTACAAGGTTGCAATGAATGGTTACGAACCGTAGGCCGCTGTTGAAGTCAACTTTGCCGTCACCTGTTAAACGTCTCCCTTTTAGTAAAATCATTGGGTTAGAAAACCTGTTTAATCCTGACATGCTTAGTAAGTGTTTTTCTACAGTGATGTCGTGCTTTGTTGTCTCTTTTTGACACTTAGCTGTTTCCCTAAAGTACGTTAACATAACACCATGCCTTTCAAGTACAGCTTTAATATTTTCAAATGTGCAGTATCCCCTTTCAATGTTTACATCTGATTCTCCATCACTTGTCTTCACGGTGATTAAAGTTGTTTGTGTCGTTATATTGAAATACTCCCAGAAGACTGATACTTTCTTCACAAAGACTGAATTATAGTTGCTTGGTAACACTGAGTTCTGCAGTTGTATCACCGTGTGTGATCCTTTGACGAGTGCCGTGATGTTAATCTCTTAATAACCTACGTTATGTTATTAAAAATGATTCCAGGTGGTGGTCAAGTTGGTAAGTCGCCGTATCAGTCGTACCAGGAATATGAAAAAAAAGTATGGAAAGGATATTGAAATGAATGATAGTAAAAACTATGTTGATAACGTTGCTGGTAAAAAGGCTGAGGACGCGAAGAGAGCCAGTTTTCTGGCAAAGTATCCTTTTGCTGATATGAGAAGATTTAAGTTTGAAGCAAAAGCTACCAGTGGTGGTGGGATAGGAGTTGTTACCTGGTTTGTAGATCTCGATGGAATCACATCTTACGACATAAAATATGATGGATTTAAGGGGGACAGTGCATACACCTCATACCTTACATCAGTGAAGCCCCAGTTGGTGGCGCCACCTCCTCTGAAACATGAAACCCAGTCAAAGGGATGGCCGCTCCTTTGGAACAGCAACGGCAGCGTCCAGGAACTTAAACCTCTTGTCTTTCCAAAGGCTCCTACTTACAATTAGAGAAAGTTGGGTCTCAGCCGAGTTCTAATACATGATGACGGCTATCATATTAACACGTATCGTCCTCATGTAAGTCTTCCCTACAACTTTAACAACTTTAAGGTCTATGTGAATGAAAACAGTTATTTCATTTCACTTCCCCGATGCTGGTGTAAGTTGGGATGAAGGTCCGGATTTGACAAACAAGGATGTTAGAAAGGTTCCCTTCAATACGATACCATACACTAGAATGTTGTCGGGTGCCTATGTAGCTAGCTATCTTAGTGGGGTATCCTTGGAACACGTTCGCGAGAGTAATTCTGTTCCTAAAATAATAACATCCATTATGAGGTATCACCTTTACTACACAACTAGAAAGTTAACGGTGAGTAAGGATGCTATTGATAAACTCGCAGTTAACCTCGATATTGTAAAAAATCATATCCCGATTACTCAGTCCTATATTATTGACGTAAGTGGTGTTATAACTGGTGCGGGACCTTTGTCTGGTAGCGATTACCTCTCATTCATAGCTGGAAAAAGCAATGGCTTTACGTCTAAGTTGGCTGTTGAGATTATCCAGGAGAGTATTGAGTCCTATGTGTATGCTATGTTAGGATCCCGAGCTAACACTAGGTGGTCGATAGAAGGAAACGGTCCGAAGGTCCTCCAAACGCAACGTGACTTTAGAACTATTGTGAAGTCTACTATTTTACAAAGTAATACGGTGACAACAATTAGCTATATGAGGAAAGCTGTGAGGGACACCAATGTGATTTTGAATACTGCTCTATCCCCTGGAATATTTCTAATCCCGTCGAACTTTATTATTCTAAAAACTCCGATACTCGGTTATAATAACCTGCTACAGACAGCGAATAGTAGAATGAAATTTGGGTGAATCTGAAGGTAAATTATGTCGGTGTTAAGCAAGCTGATCCTCCAAAAGAAACAGCATCAAAATAGCACACCATTTCACCACCTTGATACTCTTAGTGGAAATACAAAAGTTCCGGGGAGTTCTGTAAGTGTTACACCCCTGGTTGTTTCTAAGACTAGCACACCAGTCGTACAGCGTAAGGTGGTTAGTACCGTGAGTCCTTAGGTGATGGTGCTTTAGCTGGACTTGGTATCGGGTCTGTTGCTGTGTTTCTTATATTGAGAACTGTTCTGTAAAACATTGTGTATGTTATAAAAATGGCTCTCTACCGGGGATATGTAAGAGGTAAAGACGATGCTGGTATACCAGATGAAAGGCTAATTGATAAAAATGGTTTTACTATGAAGGGTGACATTGAGATGGACGGAAATGAGATAAAGGGTTTGGGTGCACCAATTGATGACACATCCGCTGTTGGCAAAAATTGGGTTGATGACGAGATTGTAAAACAAGCTGCCATTACAATTCAACCATCTGGTTTTACAATGACGGGAGACATTAACATGGGAAATAATAAGACCACTAAGCTTACCACATGTAATGACTTTGAGGATGCCGCCAATGTTCAGTACGTACATACTCACGTTTGGAATAACTACCTGAGACTAAATGGTTTCAACAGCATGAACGGTGTGTTGAACATGAGCGATAACGAAATTCGCGGACTTCCTACTACAGCAAGCAAAAGTGAAAGTGCAGTTTCTCGGTTTTATTTACAGCAGTGGGCTCCCAGCAAGTTCCTCGCGTTGGACGGTTCTAGGTCAATGTCAAGTGATCTCAATATGTCAACCAATGAGATAAAAGCTTTGGGTGATCCCACTACTGGAAAGTCTGCTGTTAGCAAGGACTGGGTCGTTGGAATGCTAAACCGACCTATCACTGGACTTAACCTTGCTGGTGACATTGATATGAAGAACCATGAGATTAAAAATGTGGCTGATCCCTCTGATGATAAGTCTGTTGTTAGCAAGGGATGGGTCAATTCAAGATCATTCCTAGAGAAAAGTGGTGGGTTCCTGACTGGTGGTATCCATATGAATGGAAATCCAATTATAGGTTTGGGTGAGCCGACACGTGAAACATCTGCTGTATCCAAAATGTGGGTCAACAATATTGTTGGAGGTGGATCGTTTCGCAGTAACGGTTTCACAATGGCTGGAGACATTGACATGGGTGGAAATGAAGTGACAAAGCTGGGTACTCCTACTGATGACACATCTGCAGTGTCTAAAAAGTGGATCACTGATCATGTAAGTGGAAGTTCAATCAATAGTAGCGGTTTTACGATGGCAGGTGATATTGACATGGGAACTAATACAATCAAGAGCCTTTCACTGAATCCGCAGGAGCTTGATGCTGTAAATAGAAAATGGGTTGAAGCTAAGATTGCCGGTGGACGTAGCGGGCGTGAAACTTACAGCGGATTGACACTGAGTGATGACCTTGATATGGACGGTAATGAGATAATTAAGTTGGGCAACCCCACAACGGATAAGTCTGCTGTGTCTAAGAAGTGGGTTACTGATCATGTTAGTGGAAGTTCACTAAATAGTAGCGGCTTCGCTATGACAGGCAATATTGACATGGGAGGACACCGTATAACGGGACTTGCTAATGGTTCTGGGGGAGACACAGCTGCATTGTCAAGTAAGACGATAGACTCTTCGGGGTTACAATTTGTGAAGCGTAATGGTGGTACACTAGCAAGTTACCTTGATGCTAACGATTTTGAGATAACTAGGGTGGGTAACCCGACAACTGACGGTTCTGCTGTTTCCAAAAAGTGGGTCGGTGATAGGTACCTACAGAAGGCAGGTGGATTGGTTGAAGGAAACTTGGATATGGGTGATTCCAGTGATATTACTAATTTACGTGATCCAACGAACGCAAAGGATGCTGTGAACAAGCAATGGGTGGAAAATAAATTCCTAAAACCTTCCTCGGGTCTTGTCCAAGCGACAGCTGATAATAGATATGTTAGGAAAATTCACCACATTTATTCACAGTGGATCTGGGGATATCGCGGAGTATCAGTTGCAGCAGCAAGGTACTATGCTTACTGTCAAGATCAGATTCCACCTTCATGGAGAACAGACACTATTAACAATCTAACGAACATCAACCTTGAGTCAATTACTATTAAATCAGATTCCCCACTTCTTTCGATCATTACTGGAGTACCCCTAGAACTCATCCTGTGGGCTACTGTATGGGAAAAGCAGTCTAATGGAAAATTTACACAAGCTAAAAAGGAAATCGTCCTCGGCACAATCGACTTGAGTAAGCTATCACACACTTACTTCAACGGAACTTACTTAAGTAACGGTGGAAGTACAGCTTGCTATGTTTTCAAGAGTAATAGTGAGTATTACCTGGGAAACCAAGCTGAGTTGGTAGATAACACGCTAGCCTGGTGTGTCATCGTCAAACCAGAACACTCAATGCCTACTGGTATGAGTATGGACGTGTCTTTTTGTTGGTCACTGTTGTATTCAGGGTCAAGCGGTGGATAACATATCTAATATCATACAGGAATGTCGTGCCTAGGTTGTGTTAGTAAAGTCAATTCTGAAAACAATGAATATCAGTCATGTTTCCCGTGTCTAGGTAACATCTGTAAATGTCGTAAAAGGGTAAGCCTACCACCTAAAAAAAATAGTGATAAAGGTGGGATCAACTTCTCTGTATCCAACGAAATTAAGGTTGAAGTAACCACACAGAACGAAAAATATGACGCGAATAGGACACCTGAACAAAAGAGGCATACCCCCTTATGTACCCACAAGGGTAATTTGAAAGTTGGCGAAGAGGCTGCAGAATAGGGAAATTGGACGATATTGGAGAAGTGTAGGATTACCCGTACAATGGCTAATATGAGGCTCACATGGGAGCAGCGTGACCGCTAAAGTAATCCCACTGCTCCAGGATAAGTATAACGAAAACGTGCTCAGAATGGCTTTAGAACAGTCGTTTCAGTAGACTTATAACAAAAAAATTGGTACATCGAAATAGCGTTGGAAATGCTGATTCGGGATCACTTTGACCCGTTTTCAACGGGTCGAAGTGGTCTCGAATCGGCAGTTCCTATACTACTTACGTAGAGTTTAGTTTTGAATTTTACATTAAAATAAAGCCCATAGAAACTAAAATATTATACCTACTTTATATATTTTAGAAATTGATACTTCTGTATTTAAAAGTGTTCAAATTTCATCAATTTTTTCCCGGTGTCTAGTTTGTACCAAAAATTAAAAAAACAATTATCGGCTTTATCGTGTTGCCATGACTAATATGACGTGGCAACGCGAGCCTGCGTTCAGTGTTGGCACAATTACGAATACTTAATGTTGAAACAATGTTTGGAAAACATAGGCGAGGGGTTGTTGCATGCATGCATTTCTAGTTACTTGTTACAATGGTCCTCTAATTTCAATACGGGTGTAATTGTTTTTAAGTCACTTTTTTTATTTAATAAAAAGCCGTCTTGTGATTCAAAAATTCCACAATGCATTGTTACTTAATTTAAGAAAATTTTATTCCGAGGTCGACGTTCTTTGCCAAAGCGTTGAGCGAAGAGTATAGCCGTTTATGAAGAAAGATAAAATAAAGTTTTCTTTGTTATATCAAATTGTGTATTATTTTTTTTTTCGGGTCAGTTACTCTGTGAGCTTATTTTAGAAAATGGCTTAGTAATATCACCAATTAACTAACAATGAATTTACTCCTGTCTTTAGACATTGATGAGTGTTCTAACGGTCAAAATCTGTGTCGTCCAAATACTACATGTCTTAATAGCCCTGGCAGTTATAGCTGCCCCTGTATCACAGGTTATACCGTTACTCTTTCCAGAAATACATGCGAAGGTAAGGAAGTAACATTGTGAAGAGCTATTGGAAAAAATAAACGATGGAATGAGTTCACAATTTGTATAAATGTCCATGCATAACGCAGGAAATCCTTTCGAGTCAAGGGCTCTTATTAAGGCTATTATATTATGCGTACGTGGATCCACTAACTGAGCATCAGAAGACTTTTTACCTTTTCAAAACTTACATCAAACAGCAACGGACTGGCTTGCTGAAGAACCCCTGCCAGATATATTTTATTTTTGACAGATATTGATGAATGCAGTCCAAGCAGCGGTATCGCGCACGGCTGCCAGATGAAGTGTAATAATTTACCTGGAGGTTATAGCTGCAGTTGTTACAATGGATATTATATTACATCCAACGGAAGGGAATGTTCAGGTAAAAAATAAAACCAAATAACAACGAAGTTTTGTAAATATTTGCTAAGATCATTAGTTGATATATTGATATGTAGAAGATCAAAATGTTCAAAAGGTTCAATGTTAAAATACTGTGCAACTCAAAATGTGAAATTGGATTTTACACTTTAAATAATTGAGCTGGCTAAAAAGAGTAATTTATTGATTACTTCAAATTGATTGCGATCACACCACACGAAATTTGAATTGTGTCTATTGAATGTTTGTTTAAGAGTGAGTTTAAATTTAACCAACGAGTAAGATAAACATATGACATCAAGTGCATGTACCGAAAACGGGATTATAAGCAAATTATGAAATGGCGATTTTATAGGAAGGTTTAGGTAATTAAAAGTATAACACCCCAAATATATCACCAATATATGGATGAATGGTACCAACTATTATAAGTGAAACAATCATCATCGTTTACATTGACTGCATGTTCCTTTAAATTATAGCTGTTCGAAAGCATTCAAATTATAATCTTTTGAACAGTAGGTATTTAGTTTATCACCACCTACGAGAACCCATAATGGTCGAATTGAGAGGAACTTTTGCGGAAAACATGGGCAACCAAAGTATGAAAATGTTTCATTTTTCCACTTCGTAATCTAGAAAAGACAAGTTTTGTAGTCAATTGTACGATATGCAGAAGCAACGCAAGTAACCATTTTTAACTTTTAAATTAAGCTAGCATGACCTCAATGTGCGCTCAGCGATTTCCAGACATGTATTGTATTACTTTGCTGTGCGTCTTGGGTTAAACTGTTCATATTCTACTGGAATGCTTAAAATTGGTTAACCTTTTTTCGTAAGTTTATTTCCATACCTGCATGTGTACGTACAATGCAGGTATCTTGACATGGACTGTACCGTAGTTTTTTCTCATTAGATCATGATGAATGCGAAGGAAATGCACATGGCTGTGAGCAACGGTGCTTGAATTTACCTGGCGGTTACAAGTGTGCTTGTTCATTTGGGTACAAATTAAATGACAAAGATTTGAAGACATGTGATGGTAGTATAGAAATTGAATACTGATGATGATACCTATATATACCTAATATGAATACTGTTAATGATACCTATAAATATGTTGCCGATTTTAATTTAAATTAAACTGTGAAATGCAGTGAGCGTGCGCATAACGGCTAAAGACATTTATGTATATATTCCTGTAGTGTTCCGCATCCATAACGTTTTCTTCTATAGTTCAGCTTTTTCAGATGTGGAATCTCGTCGTTCGTTGCACTGTGCTGGCGAGCTCCCGAATGGACGAATCAACTGTGTTGCCGTTGCGCTACGTCACTGACATTTCTCAGTGTCCAAAAGGTTTTTATTCGAAATCTTTCGGTAAATGTAACTGTGTTCCCATTACAGATATCAATGAATGTTCCGAGAATATATCTGGATGCGCTCAAAATTGTGAAAACACGGTCGGTGGGTTGAAATGTTCCTGTAAACAAGGATATCGCCTAGGGAAGGATTTAAAATCTTGCTTTGGTAAGTTTGTAGGAAACAACAAAAGAAACTTTATTTACTGTCGTAACTTGTTTACGTAATGGATAAACCGTGGCATTCGTATGCAACTAGGGATCCTGATTCTATTTTCCATTCACATACCTGATCGATCTTGCCTTGAATAAAGAATATTGTAGATTACACTTTATTTATAATATGGTTTTTGGTAATATACCACATATATCATATTGTGTCTATGATGGTTTTGCTAATATACCATAAATATATCTATCCTATACACATTTTAAAAATGCAATTCGGTGGGAAAATTCATCTCTTTGAGTATAACATTTAATTACTACAGATAATACGGTATACATCACATTGTAATTAGTCGCCAAAAAATAGTGTGTTAATAACAAATATAATTTCTGTACAGTCGTTAATCTATATCAATTTTCCCTATTCCAAATATAAGCGTTCCTTAGGAGGCCCCGTTTACATGAGGCCGGAACGAAGTCAAACCGGGACCATTTCCTTTCGGTCATAGTATTGTCTAAAATAGATGTTTACATGAGACCGGGACGAAAATAACACAGACCGGTCTCAAATCATTCCGCCTGCTGAACCGAACCGACTGACGTGAGACCGGGATGAATGTAAACACAAATACATTTCAGACCGATCTCAGCTGTAACCTCGACATTGGAACAACATATGTTATACTAACAAAAACCATCTGAAAAAGAAAATTGCCTGGCAAGGGAAATAAATTGAAAATTTTGTGATTTTTGTACCGCGACCTCGTGTAAACATGTTGATAATTTCAATTTACATTTTGGATTGACTTCATTCCGGTCTCATGTAAACGGGGATTAAGTTGCAAAACTTGAGATATTTTCAAGCTATAGAAATTATATAAACGTTTTCAAAATGCGATGCAGTGAAATATTCACCACAAAACTGTATGATAATTTACCCAAAGCAATGTTAATATAAAAAATGTATATTATTATAATTTAGAATATTGAAGAGAAAAGTACAGTTTGTACCTGAGTGTACGGTTTGTACGAGTGCTGGTAGTACCAAAAATAAGAACGGTGCGGATTGAAAAAGGATATAGTTACAATCACTGACCACAACAAAAAGAACAAACAAATAAATACTGATTATGCATAATACTGAATATAATATTGACCACAATAACTACAACTGAGCACTTTTGATCCCTGAAATATAAAGTATTGATCATTGCATTACTTCTACGAACGTTATACGCAAAACCACAGTTATAGAGGCTAGTGCATGAAAATTAGGATTGTAAAGTTTCAAAAATGACGCTACGTTGATGGCCAAAGATTTATAGTAAAGAAGACTTTGTTGTAATAACTCTAATTAGAGAATTATAGCAGTGCATTGAGACATTAATTGTCTTTAGCCCTTTCATCTTATTTCTGGTGACGTAATTGTGAAACAGATCTTTTATGTTCACTAATGTAACTATAGCACTTCGTAAATATGTCAAATGTAACAAGATAAAAAGCTATAAATCTAAAATTTAAATTAGGGAAGTGAAGCTCTATGTCAAAGACTGAGCTCTTTCTGCAATATTTATTAACGTTCGTTTTCCACCATTATTGCACATTGTCAGGTCTTAAAACTATAGAACATCTTCGTCAACCGGGAAATATTATCTATGTTAGCCAAAGACACACCCTTGACAGCTTTTTCATGAAATTACATTGTTGACCTAGAACTGCTCTCAAACCCCCAAATATAATTATTGAAAGCAAATTTACCTATTTCTGGCAGACATTGACGAGTGCTCAAAACCAGTTGATTATTGTCACCACGAATGCTTGAACACCCCTGGTAGTTACAGATGTACGTGCAGGCAGGGATTTGATCTACATCTTGATGGAAAAAGTTGCATAGGTAATTATCACGTAATTTTTCATTAAAATAAAACGATTGCCTTTTGGAAGCAAGCGCAGAATGTTTGCAAAAGATGGTGCTTCTACCTAAATTATTTAATCAAATTTCGTCTCAGTGCACAGTATATTCCAGATACTATTATATCCTGAAGATCTGTTCAAGTCAAGGCAATAACGGAATGTCAGCATCTTCAGATAACAAGCCCATTAAAATATAATTGCCTATCCTTTCTTGCTTAACGCAACAACTAAAGCTTTTTCGTTCGTTTCAATACCATTTGAACCAGCGATCATCTATCCAGCGGGTTTTTGTGGTGAACGGTACAGTGTCAGAAAACAACAAAAAAGCTCTTAAATGTCGTCTTCATTGTTTTTTTTTATCATAGGTCGACCGTGTTTTCCGATATACAAACCTGTAAATGGAATGAAGAATTGTTCGGGTTATAGGACGGAAGATAGTTGTAATTTTGACTGCCTGCCTGGATACGGCTTAAGTGGTTCAATGGAAAGAACTTGTGGTCCAGACAAACAATGGACAGGAAATATGACGGAATGCAAAAGTAAATAGCATTAATAGTTGAATCACAAATGCTTTTAAATATAATACATTGTGACATACTAATTTTCATTTAAGTGGTGTAAATGATGTTGAAGATATTTCTCATTTTTAGTAATCCATTGTAGCAGTCCCAACAAACCGCCCAATGGTTTTGTTTTCTCGCCATGTTCCACTCACTATGGTTCGCAATGTTCAATTGGCTGTAATTATGGTTATTATGCCAATTCCAAAATGCTCACTTGTGATGCAAATGGTCTCTGGAAGCCAAGCAATGTTTCCTGCAAAGGTAAATTATCAAAATGTTGTTAATGTAATAAGTTAATATTAATATAATAAAATATTGTGTTAACTGGAGTAATATGAATAACACAAATGAAAACATTTAAACTGTTTTTATTGCAATAGAAATACCATTATTTTCATGCCGGGTATTTCACTTCATTCATAGCTAGAATTATTAGATTATTTTGTTATTCTATGTTGCAATTCCAAAAGTCTAATCGGCAAATATTAAAATCGACAAAATCATTCAATGTATGAAAATAAAAGTTTAAACGGAAATGGTGATTATTTAAGAAATCAAAAACGATTTGCATGCGTTTATGGTGTGATAATGTGGGGGATAACGTGGAGGGGGGATGTTATAGGGAAAAACAAGCGAAGCGTCAAAGACACGAGGAGGGGGGGGGGGGGTTATACGCTTCTCGAGTATTCGCGTAAATACTGACTTTTCCTGAGTGCATTATTCGCATTGCATACCCACGAGATCTTTTATATCTTTTATTATGTAAGTATAGAAGATATTATTTAAATAGTAAATAATTTTTCCCAAAAGATTGACATTGAAATTCTAGGACTCAGTTACGTCATGTGCATGCTTTTACTGTCACTCGGATTTGTAACCGGACGAAGGAGCAAATAATACAAAATCGGGTTGCCATTTAGACTAATTTTCTAATGTTTTTAGCATCTGCGCTGCTGGACTTTCCATAAAAAAGTTTAATGACTGAGATCATAAGTGTTGTCGTGTTACGCATTTTTAATTTTTAAAATTAGAAATGGGAGCAGTACCACAGACCTTCGTGTATTTTAGCGTCACTATGCACGCGCGCGTATTAGCCAATAAAATTATCCGTTAAATCCAACTTATATTATAAAATTGGAAATACTGTTGCAATTAGATTAGTTGTTGGTAAGTGTGGATAAATTTATCAAAATAATAGGCTGACATATTAGAAACTTTGATGTCGTTAAATTGCATAGTCCAATAATTTCTTCTTCATGTAGAAAAAAATAATAATTGAAATTAATAGACCAAAATCGGTGACAATCGATAATCCATTTTGTGTATTTTATTTGAGTTACAGATAGGCCCCACGGCGTACCGTCTTGTTCGGCAAACGCACCTTGTTGTGATAAGGTTTGAAAATCGAAAGCAGTATTAAAATATTCTGTTATGAGCAAATTTTATAACAAACATACTTTCAGGGAGGTTAGTCCGGGATTGGACGCACCGAGGGTCGCTGGAAATTTCCCGAACTCACTGAGTGAAGCGAGGTGAGTTCGTGAAACTTCCAGCCACCCGAGGTGCGTCCAATCCCGGACTCACCGAACCTGCAAGTATGTTTAGTTTTTATCACATGACATTTCGGTAAAATACTAAAAAGTACTGAAGAATTTTATACGCATTTTACTTTTTGGTGTATAATTTTGTTTTTGGATAACGAACATTATAGCCGCCATCATACTACACAAACAAACAAACTTAGGCTTAAATTAAAGCTAAAAATTCTCTACAATACTCTCTTATTCTTTAAAAGAGAAAATGAACACATTCTGCGAAAACAATGCGAAGATATATGTAAACCTGCCCGTGCCGAACAAATTTCGGCTACCATCTTTCTTTTTTTCCACTTTGAATACAGAATATTCCATTTTCATCACACACAATAAAGAAATAATAATTATAAAACAATTAAAAACAGTTAATTTTTTTATTTAAATTTTCGTCTGAAATGTGTTCAGCAGGTGGGTTCGAGATTGAACGCACCTTTTCGTAGCCAATAGGAAAGCCGCTAATACGCTAAGTATGAGATAAAACTTGACTGTGTTATGTATCTTTAAATTGTTTTTTAGAAATCAAAGTGTGTCAACCAAACCCTTGTCTTCGTGGTGGTATATGTACTGTAGTCAGTGAAGACCAATACACATGCGATTGCACCGACACTGGATATAAGGGAACTAATTGTGACATTGGATTCTTTAAACTTTCTGATTATCCATCAATGTCTCCCAATACTTTATCTCCACCCATAACCGTTGTTTCTTCACCACCAATTGACTATGTTATATTGAACCTAATGAGTCCAGTTTTAAAGTTTAGTCCTTCAAGGCTAATTTTTGATCGAAATTCTCCCCTGAATCAATCATTTAGAATTGCAGCTCAAGAAACAGGATATTACATCATAAGATATTCGTTGTCTGGACCGGACGTACAAGAATTTAATCCGCCTGAAGAGGATATCTTATTCGTAAATTTCAAGGAGGAATCATTAGAAGGAATATTGGCCTTATACTTCCCATTCGGCTGTCACAAGAAAATGATTGGAACATGTCCTGGATCAAACGTTTCCATCGTTGCCTCTTCAACATCTCCTTTTGTGTCTTTTGGTCCACTAACTGTAACGCAGGGCGTTGTTGCCATTGAGATCGGTAACTCTAAGAAAATACCTTTGTCTTTACTCGGTGTAAATTTACAAACTCCAAGCATATCATCATTTCAAGATTCTTGTAATGATAATGATGTTGTTTCTTATTCAACAGAATCGCTTTTAAAATCACGAACTTTGGTTAAATCGTTTACAAATCTCATAGCAGATAGTTTACCAACATGGATAAAAGTTACCTTGAGTGATAAAAATTTGGTTAAAAAGATTTCCTCTTCTGAAGTAAAGACTCACTTTTTAACTGGAATGGAACTTCGCGAAGCAGGTATTGGAGATGGCCAACCATTGGTGGATGACATGTATTATTCTCTACTTACGACTAGAAATGTGAACGTATCAATTCAAAATGATGTTGATATCTTTAAATCTAATGCTTTATCTCTGGCCGTGGAGCTTTGCGGAAAGTCGCCATTGAATATATTCCTACGTCCTTCCTCGCAAGAGCACAATGCTGCAATGTACAACATATCAATTTTAAAAGAGTTTGCCGAATATGGCTGGCACTTCAAGTTTTATTCTCTTCAATTTTCTAAGAGACACACAATACAGAGGCTCAAGAAAGGAACTTTCTGGGATGGGCAGCATTTCTTTGACGTTGAAGCTTCGTCCGACGGAACATTTGCATCAGTATCGTCGCTCAAGAAAAATTTCGGAAATACAGACTTTGCTGACATAAAAATGCAATTTGATGGAACTCTCATTGGCCATGTTAAAGACATAAACCAGGTAACGCAACGTTTTCTGATTAGTTTGTACATTTAGTAGCGACGTTAGAATGGGATAATGCATGGTACCGACGAGGGCGAAAAAAATTCGTTTAATTGATCGAAAGAAACTAGTCCTGTTACAACAATCGTACGAAGTTCAACGCAAACAGTTAAAGGCAAGTCTTTAATTATGCTTGATGCTAGTTCTACTTGAGTACCGCTTCGTGCTGCTTGATATGCTGTTGTTGTAGACAAAACGGCAAAACAGCGCTTTAAGCAGATTATACACGGAACGAAAGTAGCGCATTGACGGAAATTTGCTTTTCCTTTGGAGGGATACAAACTGCTGAATTTCAGCCAAGCAGTACAACTTTCACTCAAATTCGTCAGATTTTATCCTTTTTTTTAGTGAAAATTTTTAACATAATGCTTAATGCACCACACTTTTCCTCTTTGGTTGCGTCTAAAATTGCTTGGTGGAAAAGTTATTTCAGTTAAGGATCGAATTGTTACTGGTAGAAGTGACAACAAATTTATTTGTATTGTGATCTTACTGCCATAAGACATGAAAGAGTGAAGATGGAAAATGCTTAAGGTGTGTTGCAAGAGACGCGTCGTATGCGAGTTTTCATCAGGGGCGTGGCGAACGATTCCAGATGGGGGGGGGGGCGTACGTCATACCATAATGACCAGCTGTTTCAATGAAAATGACCAACTTTTTCGTCCTTGAGTTATACAGTTTTACTTCATTATTGGGGGTTAAACGACCGGACGTAATCGCCACAATATTGACGAACAACTGCAATGTACAGCTAACAATGAAAGTTTGACTGTGTAAGTATCAAGAAATATACTCAGTATATTCATTTGCGCAATAATTCTTTAAGACTTATTTATGGCACTTATCCGTATGCGTATTACAAAACCAATGCACTGAATCAATAATTCATGAAACTAATCATATAGAATTATCGCAAAATTTGACCCTTCAGCTCCAATGGTCAGTGGTCTGAAATTGCTGTACTTCGTTGCAGTATATACGTAATTGTAATCGGCGTTATGGATTTTTATAAAGATTTGAAGTTATTTTACAGCTGACTCAGCTGGCAGTAGTATTTTCTCAATATATTTTGACCAAAAGTATAACATTTCCTTTAATATCTAAATAACTCCTTTGACCGGGAAAAAAATTTGACCAACTTTTCAAAATTCAGAATTATTGGGGCGTCGCCCCCCCCCCCCCCTCAAGCCCCTCGGTCGCCACGCCCCTGGTTTTCATATTCACCCATGTGAAAAAATAGAAGGTAGCCTAAATAGCAGTAAAAAAAACATTATCCCCGAGAAAAAGTAACAAAAACATTATCCGCCGTTCGAGGGTACTAATTCCCCCCGGCCATTTACACCCGGGTAAACGATAGCATTAACGAAGTCTAAAGTTCATCAATCATCGCGGCCGTGGGTCACCAACGGTGTTCGATTGTTGGGTGTGTGGTCATCCTCACTGATCTCAAAAATATGGCGGACTGTCATGAATAGCGGACACTGATTGGTCCAATTAAAAGTTTGCATTATAACGACTGCATGACGACAGCGAAATAGCAAACATTTCTTGATTTGATGATTGATAAATTTGAAAGTAAAGTTATTTGCATGCGAGATATGTAATCATTTTATTGCAAGCTCAAAGTTTATCGATAAAGCCATTTAATTAAAGGCAGTTTAGTTTTATAAAGAACACTTTAAAACGTTTTGCGAAGCGTTTCTGGCTGAATTTTACCTTAAATTGAAGCTTAGATTACGTATAATAACATACCTAACATATATATGTTGGGAAATTGATAATTTTGTAATTAAAAGTGATTTTTTAGGCGATTTTCCATTTGTAAGAATATTATTATAAAATTATCGTGTTACTATGAGTCATGACAACTACTTTAGATACTCCATGTTCGGAAAATACAATGGTTTTGTCAGCAAGGCGAGGGTTTCTGCATGCATGTATTTTCTAGTATATAATAACTATCACTGTAGAGGTATGGCCATCGAGGAAGACTAAATTCAACAAATATTGCAAATTAGTGTGGTTATGTTACCAGGAAGTTTCATTGTAGTGGTAGTATGTTGCACTGGTAAAAATCTTTATTTACAGTTTAAAAAAAATGTAAAATATAAATTAAGCTTTCGGACTAAGCGTCCATCGTCAGGATTAAAATGGCAAAAATGATTAGTCGCTTAAATACTATTTACATGTTAATAACCTAACTAAAATATTAGGTTTTTTGAATAATTAGACTAAAAGACAAAAGAGTCATAATAGAGTCATATAAGCGTAATATACAGGGTGTCTCAAAAAAAACCAAAATCATTGAAATTGACGTATTGTTCGATATTCAATGCCCTAGCACTAAGTTAATCCCACGAGTGCATAAAAGATTGACATAACTGCTATAATGAATGGTAATACTCAGCGTAAACTTGTTATGTCAGGCATAAAGTACTAAACCCACGAATTTACGAAGCATTTTTAAATTCCCATGAGCAAACAAACGTTCACTTTAAAAAGATATTTTAATTTTTTAAAACAAATTAATCACCCTGTCAAAATCCTTTGTGTTACGGCATTGAAATTCGAACAATACGTTATTTCAATGATTTTGGTTTTTTTTGAGACACCCTGTAGAGTCAACAAAAGAGCCATAATAAGACACTGGATAAAAGAGTCATAATGGCATATTATAGCGTCAACAAAGCATTATTTAGTCTTTATCAATTAGCGTTCTAAAAACTTCCGGCAATGTTCTGCCATTGTCTCTATTGGCGTCCTTTACTCCATCCCTTGCCAGGATTGTGATGTTAAATATATTGGTGAAACGGGTCGTGCATTAGGAACAAGAATAAAAGAACATCATGCAAGTGTAAAGAATGGGAAGGTGAAAAACTCAGCTTTGGCAGAACATGTAGTTGACAATGATCATCGCATTGTATGGGATGATACCAAGGTAGTATGTAAGGAAAGTCGGTGGTCGCATAGAAATGGAAGGAAGCCTGGATTATGGAAAATGAGAAGAGTGCCATTGCCAATAGAGACAATGGCAGAACATTGCCGGAAGTTTTTAGAACGCTAATTGATAAAGACTAAATAATGCTTTGTTGACGCTATAATACGCTATTATGACTCTTTTATCCAGTGTCTTATTATGACTCTTTTGTTGACTCTATATTTCGCTTATATGACTCTATTATGACTCTTTTGTCTTTTAGTCTAATTATTCAAAAAACCTAATATTTTAGTTAGGTCATTAACATGTAAATAGTATTTAAGCGACTAATCATTTTTGCCATTTTAATCCTGACGATGGACGCTTAGTCCGAAAGCTTGATGTTGACTTGATTTACCAGTGCAACATACTACCACTACAAATATGACAACATTATCACTTCGCCAAAGTCTGCAAAATCTCAGTAGATCTACTACATTAAATATAGCGTGACAATGAGAACAAAAAGATAAAGTAAACGGTATTAGCGTACGTGTTTGGAACTGAGGCTCCCACAAAAGCAGTTAAATATATCTTAAGTATGCAGAATAATAAGGATTTAAAAATTCAGTTACTAGAGGACAATTAATTTGACATAGTAGTGGTTGATACGGCACGAATATCAATGTGTGCCAAAACGCCCAAAGCTAAAAACCTTGGGTTTGATTTTACGACTGCTGTAGGTTAAACTACTCCACGTACATCCAAGATTATTTTTATATCACGGCCATCGAAAACATGATTCGTCAAGGTACCATTGATGAACACTTCCTGGACGAAATTGCTATTAGTGTTGCAAAAACAGTTTTACAGCAGAACCAAAGAACGATGGTGGGATTCGGATTCCAAAGAATGGCGGGATAATAAACTAAACGTTGAATTCTGCAAATCGTTTTATTTCACATACTACTAATACATGCATGCAATAACTCCTCGCCAAAATTTTCCAAACATTAAATTAACATGAAGTATTCGGAAATGGCCAACACCGAACGCTGGCTCACGCTCAAGTGTTGCTATGACAACACAATATTCTTAAATTTTTAATTTTTTCATATTTTTGTACAAAACTGTAAATTAGTTGAAAGGTTCGTACTTTTAACTATAAAAAAAAATCCGAAATATATGCTGTAGGTATATTATTTTCCATTTTGCGAGCTTTGATTTAATGTAAAAGTAAACTGAACTAAACTACATTTGCCTATAAACTGTCTTACGTAATAAAACATAATAAGTGTAATACAAATAAAACAAATTGTTACTAGATAATTTCAGTTCAGTCTTCAAATCAATTTGTTCTCTTTTACACTTTAAGAATTTTTTTTTTCAAATTAATTTAAATGAACAGTAATTTATGAAACTTGGAGCTTCGTTGAAAAGAAAAACAGTTCATGTTTTTAGGCAAAAATTTAAAGCAACAAATTCGTAAACATTAAATATTCAAAGCAAACTTGGCGCATATTTCACGATTTCCCATAGCAAATCAGTTCTTCTCATTTCTTCAAACAAAATTGCTTCAACCTTGTTGTATATGAAACGATTTTCCAAATATATGTCTTTCAAAACTAAAATATTGCTTATCCCACTCCTGCAAGCAATCAGCCATATTTTTGAGGTCAGTGACGATGACCACCCACTCAAGATCGTTGGTCACGCCCGCGATCATCCACGAGCCGACGGCGCCAAGCGCCGTGCGAGGTACTAATTCCCCCCGGCTATTTACACCCGGGGAAACGAAAGCATTAGCGGAGTCTAAAGTTCATCAAATATCGCGGGCGTGACCAACGAACTTGAGTGGGTGGTCATCCTCACTGATCTCAAAAATATGGCTGATTGCTTGTGGGAGTGGAATAAGCAAGATTTCAATTTTAAAAGAAAAGAATTTGGAAAATCGTTTCATAAACAACAAGCTTGAAGCAATTTTGTTTGAAGAAATGAGAAGAATTGATTTACTATAGGAAATTGTGAAATATACGGCAAGTTTGCTTTCAATTTTGTTGCTTTAACTTTTTGCCTAAAAACATGAACTGTTTTCCTTTTGAACGAAGCTCTAAGTTTTATAAATTACCGTTTAATTTGAACAAATTGATTTGAAGACTGAACTAACCTAACAATTTGTTTTGTGTGTATATAAAACAGTTTATCGGCAAATGTAGTTTAGTTGAATACTTGAATGAGCGTTTCAAGTTAAATGTTACATTAAATCAAAGCTCACAAAATGCAAAATAATATACCTACAGTGTATATTTCGGAAATTTATTGTTGTATAGTTAGAAATACGAATCTTTCAACTATTTTGCAGTTTTGTACAAAAATATGAAAAAATTAAAAATTTAAGATATTGTGTTGTCATGGCAACATTTGAGCGCGAGTCTGCGTTCAGTGTCGGTCATTTCTGAATACTTCATGTTAATTTAATGTTTGGAAAATAGTGGCGAGGAGTTACTGCATGCATGTATTTCTAGTTGATAAACTTTAGTCTTCGCATAACGCTTTCGTTTCCCCGGGTGTAAATATCCGGGGGGAATTTGGACCCTCGCCCCGTTCTTACGCCCGGAAATGCGTTCCGAGCCTAATGATAATCTTATTTATTTATTTTTTCTTGCAATCTGAAATCATATTTTGCGCTTTTCTGCATGCAATCTGATTGGCTACGCGTGCGGTCCGTGTGAGCCCATACGGACCGCGCAAGATTTAAAGCCGTAGAGGCAATGTTTTTATTTTTGAAAATTTAAAGACGGGCTTGTTTAAGGCTAGTTTTTAACATTAGAATGTCTGCAGACGATGAAGAACGCAGTGAAAGTTAATTTTACTATCCCACAAAAGATAGTACTTTTCCTAGGGGCCAGTTGTATAAAAAAAGTGATTAAAGTTAACTATAGTTAGTGGAAACGTCATCCAATAAGAAGCGCGTATTTGAGAGTTAATCACTATTTAACTACAAAAAATAATAATGATTAAGAGAGTGATTAAGAGTTTTATACAACCGGCCCCAGGTGTTTGCCAAATCGAAGAAACGAGAGCTTGCCCAACAGCATGACAATAGAAACCGACCACAAGCTTGCCGAGTTGACGACGGTAGAGGAAGACAAGTTCTTCGAGTTGGGTTTGTTCGGAAAACGCGACCCAGAAGCTGTCCAGAGGACCGTTTGTTGGGACCTTTCCCTACATTCCGGCTTTCGAGCGCGTGTCGAGTCGAGAAAACCAAAGTGGGTAGCCATATCCATCAGTAAAGACCTATACGGCGAGTGGTCCCTCGGAGAAATGAGGGACAGCACACAACATAACACAACACAACACAACACAACACAACACAACACAACAAGAAACGAAATACGCGGACAGCACACAACACAACACAACACAACACAACACAACACAAGAAGAAACGAAATACGCCCATTTTTCGCTCGTGTCAAATTGGCTCTGCCTTTGCATAAACATTACTATAACCAATTAAATCTATCCAATAGGAAACCGTTAATGTCATGTTTATTTACAGGGTGTATAAAAAAAGGTTAATCGAACTTCAGCGCGTTATTGTACCAGAATTACTCGGCGTATGAACATTTTTTTCATATTCGTAAAGATGAGGCTTTTTGTTGTTGAATGACCAGTTTAAAAAATAAGCAAGTACGAGTCCGATAAAAATATTACAACGGTGACTCGTACTTGCTCATTTTTTATCCATTTGGCATAAAGAACATATCATTCAACAGCTAAAAGCCAAATCTTTCCGAAGATGAAAAAATCTCGTTCATGCGCAGTAATTCAAACACAATAGCGCGCTGACGTTCGATTACTTTTATTTTGACACACCCTGTATAAATTCAACATTCACTCTGGAAATTATTTATAGCATAATTACTACATATCAGATTTGATTGACAGGCGTATCGATTTCAACCGATGGGAATTTGCGTTGTGTGGGCAACGCGGTTTCATTTCTTGACTGTGTTGTCTGCAGTCCCTCCTTTCCTTTCTCGTACCCAGAAATATAAACCCGCGGAAAGGAGAGACCGCTCGCAGTTTAGTAAAGACCCGGAAACAGGCAGCGAATTGTTGTTGCGGAAAGCTGAACGAGGTTCAAAGATCAGGCACGGCAACGGGCAACATTAGAGAGCCTTTTATCCCGCAGCGCAAGCAACCCACAACGAACGTTGTTCTGTTAAGTTGTATCGTGCATTTTTCCAGCATCGACGAGGTGAAATGAAACAGTCGGACTCTTCATTCTTCCTGGCTATTAACCACCGTCGCCAGCAAGATTCTCAGATCTGGTATAACAAATCTAAACTGGGAAAAACGAATTTGGCAAGTTTCTTTCGAAAGCTGCGAAAGCTGTTAAATTGCGTGGTAACATCACAAACCACTCGGTAAGAAAAGCCTGTGTTTCCCGTTTAATGGATGCCGATATTGCCGAGAATTACGTTGCCCAACTGAGCGATCACAAGAATTTGAGAAACCACGATTGTTACAAATCCGCTTCGACAGCAGTTTTAAGTCGTTCAGGAGCCTCGTCTTCTGCCACAAACCAAGCGCCAATTCAACCATATGAATCACAATACAGTCTCCAAGAACAATACCTTTCCTACTGCAACCAGTCTGCAGTCGAAGGCATGTTTTCAGGGGCAACAATGCAAGAGATCGAAGGTTGTCATTTCAACTTCTTTCTCAACACGAGCAAAAGTCCGATCGGAGGTCCAAAAGCACCTTTTGCCAAAAAAGACGTGTTATCTTGAGCGATGACAGTGACTCGGACTAAATATAACCTTTTTCGAGATTTCTGTTAGATTTGATTCTTTTATAATAAACTCCATTAGTATTTATATATTTAAACGATTTTTGTCGCTTGAAAAAGGCATATTGTAAACATTGGACTGGACTAGGTTTGGACTGGACATTGGACTGGACTCTTGACTTAAACTTTTCTTTTTACATTAAGTTTTCGCATAAATCCCCATAATTATCGTTAGAAACAACGAAAGAGAGCTCGATAGGTCCAAAACAACAACTTACGTGATGTCTGCAATGCAATCCATGCCAATCTCGTTCCCAGAGCGTACCCGTTCGCAGGTTAAGATGGATTGTACGCATGCTCGGCAATTGTTGCAAAATATAAACAACGTATTTCGAAAATTTGAATTTCTCCTCGAAAATCTGATACTTTTTAAACTGAAATCAATTGAAAACAAATAAAAATTCTGGGGTGAATTTGCACGAAAACTCGGATTGATAGAGATAGAACTACCTGGAAAATACAAGGAGAACTTTGATGTTTCGAGCGAAGGCCTCTTGACTTGTACTGTTATTGTTAATGTTTGTACTCGTATCATGATAAATATAATCTCCTCAACAACGAGAGAATGTTTACTGTGAAGTGTGGACCTAACACTACGTATGCCATAAATTCTGACAGGATAGTATAAATTTAACGAAGTGACTATGTCCCAGACTATATGACCGACAGGCGGACAATACCTGCTGACCTAATAAAATTAATAATTTACGATAAGTAACCGTTTGTACATTATATTGCCTGTTAAATATGTTGTAATCTGGAGTCAAGCTGTATAACAGGCCATGCGTCCTATTGCTTGTCTGTTGTCAGCTCGTCCTTTGTTGCAGATGTCTAAAATATAATAATAGTGAAAAGGGTACGCACTTTGTAGAGAACTGTACGATATAGCGTGTGGACTGATAAGAAGGCAAGTGAACTACGAAATAGGAAATATGTATTGTTGGAAAACAGTATCTGAAGATCTGTTTGGCCCACTGCTATCCTTCAAGCACACAGCAATGACCCCGAAACAACCAATCCATTCCCAGCTGCATAGCTCAACCAAAGCTACTCACATTGTTTCGGCATCGGTGAATTATCGGGGGTCTGGAAGGTTGGAGGAATTAATCACATTTGAGAATAAATAAAACGTTTTTTTTCCGAATGATGAAGAAGTAATTTTTCATTTAATGTCTGAAGAAAAATAAAACGCCATTATTTAAATATTTCCGTCCCATTTTTGGCTTATATACCCAATAAGGGGATCGCTCGAACACGGCCGAAAATATATATCCCATAAAAATAGACCAAAATTGGCAATATCCAATATGAACTCCGGAAGTTACGAGTTTGCAATTGTAATTATAGATTGGTGAATATTCAAGTCCTCCCTGCTCCCATTGTGGCGTCTAGCGGTAGTTAAAGAGGCACTACGCGACTCCACTGGCAAACGTCTTCGTTTTGGAATATCAAAATTGATGCTCAATTGCCAAAATAATGTACCACAACTGTTTGAGGTTTCCTGTTAAGAAATCTAAACCCAAGTTTACTTGTTTTAACCTTGCAAGTTACATCAAAACCTCAGCTTTATTTTTCATGCATAACCCTGGTTATTCTACATCAATTTAATAATCGCTTGTGATTATTGATGCACATGATTCATGCAGGCGCACCATGAAAGAACCATACTTGTTCACAAACCCCGCTGACGTTTTCAGTGGTGCATGTTACTCTTTTTAAATTAATGGTCATTGTTATTTACCATTATTCTCTAATTTTCTTAATGCAGATTATAGATTCCCCTCTACATCAACAATGGAGCGTCGATTTGTATGGAAGGATTGGTTTAACCGTTGTGTTTAAAATGGAAGGGGAGTCTGTAGAGCTTTTTGTGAACGGACCAGAGTCAGTTGGCTACGCTAATTTCGGAGGTGCGCAATAATCGCTTGGCAGTATTTTATACAAATTTACAATATGCATGCATTGTCATTGCTTGTAAAATGATTGGATGCATAAAAATTTTGGATATTTATTTATATAGTTTGGTCGGACCTAGCTTTCTGAAAACTTATATTGGCAATACTTTGACTATCAAACGTATAGCATTTCAGACTTGGAACCGCCTTTTTTTAAATAGTGATATCAAAACTTACTGATTTTCTCTCCTAAAAAATGTTTTGCGAATGAAAAAACGAAACCACTGTTGTGCTCTATTAAATACAAACATTCAACTTAAAGTGAACATAGATTATTGAATGCCTTGAAGCAGCTTATGAAACGTGTTTTAACTACAACAGGACTGCTTTATTGTATTCTTAAACATCTGGATTTGGGACATATAACTATTTGTTGAAGGAGTTTTTCGATTTAAATTTCAACTGTAAATGTTATAATTTTTCAAACCTGCATAGCCTATAAATATCGGAATTTGGGTCGTCCCCCTTGATCACTTTACCCAAAAAATGCCCTAAGATGCACCTAAAACTGCCATCATCGTAAAATAATTATATTAATTTGCAACTTAATTAAAGCTCCATCACTGAACAGTCCTGTCAAGGAAATTATAGTTGTATTTTCGGTAGCTGCTTCTGGTTAAGTCTAACAATATATAATTTTCACTCCAACTTTTGGTCTCCAAATACTTTCACTGCATTTTTTGCATTTGTTGACCTTGAAACAACAGTTTTGAATAATTGCTGCAGGTAACAATGATGTATTATCGAAATAAACTTCAATTTACTCCATTTTGCTTGTATAGGTTACATTCAAAAACAATTTCTTTGGAGAAGGAGAGGATTTTATTTCAACGCAAACATGGATAAAGATCCCTTCGCTAACACATCTTTAAGAAACTTTGTTGATATGCATTCTGATAAAAATATCTCATGTTTTCTGAATATAACGTTATACAAAGAAAAGCATCGTTTTCACAATAATGAAATAACTGACAGCCTAAGCTGTGCATTTCGAGGTACTTTAAAGGTTGGCATTTTAAAGTTTCCCCCAACCATGGTAAATCTTCTAATGGGCAAACAACATATTGCGAATATTACGGCTAATAATAAAGCGAGGTCATCTGGAAACGCTATTGAGCTATATGGAACTTTTATTCACTTAAAAAATGGAACATTTGGGATATTTAAACGATTTCCAGAAAACTGTATGAACGTTCGATTTTCATTTGGTCAAAATACACCAAAATATGAAGGATCGTTTTGTGCTATTTGCAAAATGTTTGGCATGGAAAAATTAGTGAACGTTCGCATTTCTTACGAGGGGTTAAAATTTCATGTGTCTGGAAAACTGCATAATATGTACGATGCGAGCATGGATTGCTCATCCCGTTTATTGACCTGGGAAAATCAAGTCTTCGATGTCGAAGGTAAATTTGAAACAAACGGCGGAGGAACTGATTTCGTTACTGTACTGAAAAAGGAACTTGACAAGTACGTCATAGATTTTATCTTGCAAGCAACGAATCGTATAGAAGCGGCCGATCAAACGGTTAAACGTGCATATGAAAGATTGGAAAAAATAGTTATGTTGAAAAAACTGGCATTCGAAAAACTCCAACAGCTAAATAGTCAGTACACGTCAATAGCGAGAAAGTTCGAAACGGCTCGAAGTAAATTAAAATCTCTTGAAATTGAAGCGCAGAAATATTCAAAAGACGTGAAGAGATTGAAATCAGATTTAGATAGCTTGTGCCAGATTAAACAGTGTCCCAAAGTTTGTCATCAAGGTATATTCTGTTCAGCCTGTTATGAAGATATCATTGCAAACTCTATGGGAATATGTCCCGCAACGTGCTTTAGAACGGAACAACAGCTTATTCCACCCTATTCTGAAGTAGCATACTGCGAAAGAGAAAACTGCAAAAGAGTTCACAATACAAATGGATTTTTCAAAAGCGTTTTGGGTGAAAAACTTGCCAGCATTGTGAAAACTGGGCTTTCGTTTGGGATCACATTGGCAGCTAGAGCATTTCGTGCACCGCCGCCAGTTGCTGGTGCTATCGCCAGTGGAATCACAACTTTGTTAGATACAGGAAGAGTGGATGAAATATTTTGCTCCGTATTGTCTGGATTTTTAGGTGGAGCTATTGGTGGTAAGGGCTTATCATCGGTGTATAATTCGTTCTCTAAAGTTAGCAGAGAGCTAGCCTTAAAGAAAACTGGGCTTGCCTTAGTGAAGAAAATTATTGGTGGAACTGTTAAAAAAGCTATGTCATGCCAAAGAGATCAGAAAGATGGATACTGGAAATGCAATGTTAAGCAAATACCATGCCAGAAGGAAAGGTACGAATACGAATACATACATATTCCATACAAATGCAAACAATCTTGTGTAATCGAGACAATTAAAAAAACAATCGAAAAGAGTTGTTGTCTAAACGTGTCTTGCGCTTTACTCGTGGTGAACGTAACTTGTGTTGCGGAAAATGTCCTTTGTAAGAAGGCAAGAGTGGATGCCTTAGCAAAAATATCCAAAACCAAATCTCAAGCGGAAAATATTTTGAAGAACTTGGAGTACGCAAGATCGAATTTTTCTTATTGGAACCTGAACCAACAGAAAATGTACATTGTGCTAATGCGGCAACATCGATGGTTTAACACGACGCAAAAAACTGTCAGCAATCTTGAAAAAGCTTACAATAGCACGATTAAATCAAAAAAGGAGGTCGATAAGATATTTTCCACGCCTCTGAGGATAAAGTCGCTTTTAAACAAACAGCTAACATCAGTTGATGGAATAAAATTGAAAGAAATCCTTTTTGAAACAAAAGTTGACCTGCGAAATGACAACTCCTTGCTGCCACTACATATCGCATTTGAAGCAAACAGTACATTACGACACTTATCAACTGTGCTTGATTTTGAACAATTTAATACATCGCTAAAAAGTATATCTGAAGAAATATTGCTTGACATCATTGGTCATTTTTACAGCAATTCCAGAAAAAAACGTTCAGTGGATGCTCCTTCACCCACACCCAACCCATTGTTTTCCTCGTTAAAAAAATACCACAATTACTGCGCAAAGTTTACAAATAACCATGGCGTTTTACACAGCGTAGCATTGTCGCTTTACAATCTTACCTCGGAGGTTATGTCGCATCACAAAGTATTATCTCCAAGCGACCCATTGGTTTTTAATATTACTAATTTGATAGCAAATTCCAAGTTGGCCTTGAATCAAACAATGGCGCTCCACTTTTCACTAGAGGAAAGCCGTTATTCTCGCATGGAATATTATAAATATGATCTTGAGATGTCCAAAGCATTTGAACTTCGAGAAGAGCAACTGCGACCAAACTACGAAGTTCTCAATTCCACAAACGATTTTCTCGTATATAACTGGTTCGCATCTATGGAAGACATTTTTAACTCTTCACAATTGAACGATGAATGCAGCGGAATGAACGATTGCATGACACACATTCTTGTTAGTTTAGTGGAAATGTTGTCCTCGATTGAGGCCGAGAAAGCAGACCACATGCGACGACAAACCAAAAATCTTGAAGCTCAACTAAACCATTTGTCCAATACTTTTGATATAACCATTGCTAATGCATTGAAAATATCGTCAGGAATTTTGACTATCTTAAAAGAAATGAATGAGCTAAAGGTGTTTTGCGCTCAATCTCCAAATATAACGAAACATCCAAATCCAGTCACCGAGATGAGTATTGGAAACGTTTTGGTGTTGGAATGCAAAGCTACTGGGACTGCTTTAACATATTCTTGGAGTTTCAACGGGCAAGTTTTGCAAGATCAAAACTCCAACCTGCTGACAATCAATGGCACGACCATATCCAATAGCGGAAATTACACTTGCTTCGCATCAAACCATATTGCAAAGGAAAGATCAACACATGCAGTAGTTATTATACATCCTCCTCCTATCATTATTCATCACCCAGTAGAATATTTGACGATTGTTTTATCCGAGAATAACTTTCTACACTGCGAAGTTCAAGACACTGGCGTGAATATCTCCTATCAATGGTGGTTTAAATCAGAAAAGTTGTCGTCGACCTTTACTCAAATATATAATGAAACATTCTCTTATATAGATTTCTCTCCAATGACCACTGAGCAAGAAGGATGGTATTTCTGCCAAATTTCTAATTCATACGGTGTAACGTTTTCCCGCATAAGTTTTGTCAAGGCAATATCGTTTACCCTTCCAGTACCAATGGCAGTCTTGTCGTTTACCTTAAATAGAGAAACAAGACAAGTTAATTCAAGCGTTAATTCTTCAAACTCCACTGGTTATGATGTCATCAGTTCTCATATATTGAGACACATATGGTTTGAGAAAAATTCCAGTGGCGGAGTGCGGGTGAAAAATTTACATCCGATCAATTGTCAGTTAGCGAAGTCAAAAAGAGAGGCTGGCAGTAATGTTGGGATTTATTGCTCTTGGGAATTCCAGTACATTGGTAGAAACATGACCTCTAATCGTTCTGTTTACAACGATTTCATAGTCAATTCAGGCATGGTTATCAATGCTACTCAAGAGATAAGCGAAACAATTGGAAGGCTAGTTAAGGCTACAAAAAATGGTTCCTTTTCCTTCTCAATCGCTGGTGATCACTTTTTTGCTGAAAGAAATGACATAGCAGTTCACAAATTTTCATTGATGTGCCCTAGAAATCAGGTCTTGGTTCAAACGGATTTTAAATGTGGTAAGACACGTTCTTTTTCTTTATTAAGCAATAACACATTCCCCTAACTAGAGGGCACTCAGAGACTGCATACCTCCGCCCGTTACTCGGAAGTGAAACGCAACCTTGGAATTTCCTAAGAAATCCACTTTATAATTCTTAAGCATAAAAGATTTCAGGCCCCCGCGAATTGAAATCGAATTGCTAAAGATCATATTACTGTTGTTGTACTGTACAGTACTTGTAAAATAAAACTTATTAAGTGTCATTAAATAAATGCATAAATTTTGCTTTATGCACTCGCGCGTGCAGTAATTTTCACAGTTGTGCTATTTTAAATTCCCAGGCAGCTAAAATCTTTTGTCTTTAAAACAATGTCGATTTCTTGGGAAATTCCGAGGTTGCGTTCTTTTTATACACCCTGTATTGAAGTAATCTAATGTTGTTAGAATTTGAATGGACTGGCACTTTGCTGAACGTAATAATGCGTAACTCCGTAAGCCTTGTTTTAGACATTGAATTTCGGTCGCGTGAAATGCAACTAAGACAATAGATAATGAAGGCCGAAGCTTAATGAGGTTTATCATCTCATTATTGTCTTAGCACTGAGTGCATAAATTATACACGTCCTAATTACGCATTCAGTAATATTTTTTGTTAATTGACCGGGAAAAGCAAGACAAAATTTTGTTCATTTCTCGTTCAATTTTTAACCAAATTCAACCAAATTTTAATCAGTTCTTCCTTAGCCGATGGGAAATGCATTCAAAAAATTTCGTACGGATATGTTTGGTATTTCTTGAGTTATCGTGCTCACAGACAAACACACACACATACACACACACACACACACACACACACACACACACACACACACACACACACACACACACACACACACACACACACACACACACACACACACACACACACACACACACATACACACACACACACACACATACAAACCCAGATGATTACATAACCTCCTGGCGGAGGTAAAAACCCAGATGATTACATAACCTCCTGGCGGAGGTAATAAATTGTAAGAATTGTAACAATGTCCTGAAGTACCAAACATGGCATTTTGGTGTTTAAAAATGATGTCCTGGCCGGAATAATTAAAAACAAAACCTCACAATTTTCAATTATATTAATGAAGCACTGTTGTTAAGTTATCGAATACATTAGAACAATCTGTCTTGATATAATATTAGGGACATTCAACAGCGACTACAAATACGAAATTTGACCGCGTACGAGGAAGGGGAAGTGTTTTTCGTTCTAGTTGAAATGCATGTCGCTTTATCAATAAACAAACGAGAAATAGTGTTCTAAATAAATTTTGTGCAGGCTAAAATCCCATACATATCTAGCCTCTTCTATAAGGAACGATTCAAGAATTAAGTGCAAATATAAGCAGGATTAAAAACAAGTTCAATATTTTTGTATTATTTGTCATTTGCTTGAAACTTGAGGGTTAAAATTCTAAGACTACACCTCGCAAAAACGTTGATTTCAAAATTTGAATATTACTTTTACATTAAAAATTGTCGTTGTCTGAATAGAAGTATTGTATGTTTTGTACTTTCTCAAGTCGATTGTGCACCTGGATATCACGCTGCAGTGTTTGGTACGGACCAAATTACCACATGCATACCTTGCCCTCTGGGCTTCTATCAATCAGAAACTGGCAAAACAATCTGCAAGGAATGTCCAAAAGGATTTACCACATGGCACACAGGATCTCGTGGGCATGCTCATTGCAAAGGTATATAACAATATAGCTGTCAACAATCGAAGTCTAAAAATACATACGATATCATACGGAATCGTAAAATAACACATCAGAAAGGAAGTCGTCAGCATAAAATACGACGACATCATTTGATGCGATTTTATCATGGACCGCCTAATTGATTTGGTTCCCAGGCTTGAGAGCCTAGCTAGCGGCGTTCAAAGGAGTTACGCCACATTAAACATTCAGAATTTTGATTAAGTAGGTCTCTATAGTTTCTCAGAATTTTGTATTTTATTTTCTCACAGGTCTGATACATATCAATGAAAAACCGCATTTTAAGTTACAGTAGGCATCCTATGATTAGAGATTTCCACCTGTATGTGTACGGGAGAAAGAATCACAAAATGGCTCAAATTCCCCTTTCGTTTAAAGATGAAATTTAATTTCTCTCACATCCTAATGCAATTAATAAATAGGGCTTGTACGAAAATAAGCTGGGTTGGGATATTTTCAGCAATTGAATACTTCGATATCCAATATTTGAAACACAACCTCCCAAATTTCGATGTGAAGCAACGCATTTAATTTTGGTAACGTTTATTTTGCCTTGACCCTTAGTTATTTGCAAGCCGGGACACTATGGAAAAGTGATATTGGAAACTGGGTACTGTATTCCATGTCCTTTGAACGAGTACCAACCACACGAAGGACAATCTGGCTGTTTCGTTTGTCCTAGTAACCATGTTACCCAATTCGAAGGAGCAACGAACTCGAAACAATGTATTTTAGGTAAGATTTAAAAAGTATACGAAAGAAAAAATTGCATGTAGTACAAAGTCCTTAAAACGCGTTTTGCAAGAATTCAGTTCGAAGACTTTTTTATACTGGACAACTTTGTGAGAATTGTAATTCTTGTGTATTTAACAACCATAATTATGCTTTTAGTTTAGTCATTAATTCAATGCTATTAACGAATCTTCTGGCTACTGCCGCGAGAATTAGAAGCAAATTACCATGTGCCTAACGCTCTTTCTAATATTCATTTTGCAAATTCAAGAAGCCACAAAATTGTAGGCCGTTTTTCCACTTCTTGCAATTCCAGGTCAATTATATGATTTTTTACATTTATCGAATATAAACTTGGTTTTGGATAATGTTCAATTCCCCGTGTATTTTCAAATTTTGTGCAAATTGCAAGAAGTAACCACTAGCCAGAGATGGCCATACCGCAAGGCGAATTTCCTCAACACCTAACAAGCCCATCAGGGGTGTCATCATGAGGTTTGTTGTCGATCTTACCGTTGTTTCAACATAAACCGTAGTTTTTTCGCGTGATTGTGACAGACAGTTACCCAACTACAGTACTCATTTGCTTTGAAGTTAAAAGGTGACGTAAATAAGGCTCCTGATGCTGTCCATTTTTAAAAACTTGAGAAGGGGGGGGGGGTATGGATACGTCAAAAAATGCAAAGTTTGCTGAAATACAACAACTTTGCCACATTTTGTCATCGCCGTCCAGGGACATGCAGTCTCTAAACCAGGGCCTGCAAACCTCTGAGGCTCCGGGAAACAACAGCGAAAGTCGGGCTCTGATTTGTTGTTTTTCAAGCGCTTATTATTCAAACTACGAGGCGCATTTAGTAATTCAAACATCGTTTAAAATTAATATAAAGTTTATTTTTCCTTGCGTATTATGTTTAAACATGTCAATGAAACACACAGCATAATCTTACTAATCTTCCCTAGCTTCTCATATGAAATCATAGACTATTCCGATCAGATGTATGCCAATAACAAAATGTAATAACAACTGCAGTGCAGCATTACCGTATAATGTTATGATAAATCGTTGAAATAACAACACAATCTATAATTTACCGTAATTTTAAAAACAAGTAAAAATAAATCACTACCAGTATCTTACAACAATTCAAAACAATGGCAAGTGTTACTTGAAGAATTCAAGACGTAATAAGCTTAAACTACGGCATAATTCATGCTTCATGGCAGTGATGTCTATTTATAAACGTCAAGCGGAGTACCGGATCCAGATGCACTGATTTTCGTTCAAAATTCGCCAGTGCTTCCGGGAGCCTCAGCAAGTCTCTACAGACGATTGCGGGCTCTGGTTTAGAGATTGCGTTCAGGGACCCCTAGTTGACTTGGATCCCAGGCTTGAGAGCCTAGCGGTGTTCAAAGGAGTTACGACACATTAGACATTCATTTTCAAGCAAAACGAACCTCTAAAATTTTATTTTTAACAAATAATATGTTATATGAAATAACATATTAATAATCAGCTCAACATGTATTCAAATAATTTCAAGTCCGTAGGCTGCAATAGACTGTCTGCCATTCCTCACGGTCGAATATTAAACTTGTTTTCGAATTTTAACGAATTGTCAAGGTCCGTTTACACTTGAAATTTTCGCTGCAAATTCTAGCGCGCTTTCTTCTTCCTTTGATGTATGTGAATGAGTAGATGAGTAATAAAGGAATACCGAATGGTTTTCCGTGCAGGATTGCGTGATCCATGCACGCGAGATGTTGCGAGACTTTCGGAAAGCGTAAAAATACACGAGCCGTAGGCGAGTGTATTTTTACGCTTTCCGAACGTCGAGCAACATCCCAAGTGCATGGGTCATGCTATCTGCACGGAAAAATCATTCGGTAATTGTTTTATTATATTACTACAGTGAAACGACGCTTAAGGTGGCTCCCTACAGTTATAGTCCAGTTTAAAACATTTATATAGCTCAGGCGTAATCCTCGCGACTCGCGCGTGGAATCTTCGTGGTCCGGTAAAAATCTTGAAACAAGCCGCGGGAAGTTGTTTTTGTATTTTTATCTACAAAGAAAACGCCAGTTTTTATTATAATCCTAAACTTTTCAACATTCGAACAGTACGTATGTTGTTAGCTAGTTTTTTACCTACCTTCTGTGTGTTTTTTTTTTATATATTTAATACGTTTCAATACTGTATTTCATAATAATTCTCACAATGTTCAACAACAGTGTCACGGACTGAAAATTATTATATTTTATACTGTCTTCAAGGCACTCCTGAACTATCACTGAAACTTACGTAAATCCTGTCATTCAACTCAGTTCACATGTAGTTTTTTTATCTGTTGAATCCAATAAAACTATAATGCAGACAGTTACGAGTTGTTTTATAATATACGAAAAGTCAAACTCTACTTGAATGTTTTGAAAAGTTTTCACACCGATTTTCACAACAAAACTAAATTTAAGAAACGTTGTATTAAGTCAGTCCGTTATTGTGTTCTCAATGTTTTGTATTTTGAATATATATATCTTTTATTTTCATTTCAAACTATCATATGTGTGATACATATAAGCCAAAAACTCAAAGAGAAAATTGCTAAAAAAGCCAACTATAAACCGTACGCGTTTCGTGTTCCTCGCGCAAATAGTGATCATGTCGAATCGATATTTTGTCACGTCAACAGCTTCAACTGGATTTAGGGCTATTTTTCTCGCGTTTCCTTCGGTGAAAATTTTTTAAACTTTGCACGTTTGCTAAGCATGACGATTCGCCAAACATCAAAATTTCACGAAATTCTATAAGACAGATTTTTTGTAGTCGTTATTCATGAATATCTCAAAACCTGCCTTATAAACATCCCTTCAAATTTTAATATATCATTCCCCTTTCAACCAAAAATATTAATAAAAAAAATTCAGAAAAATTGACCGAAGGAAAAAAAAGATATTCCCGTTTGATTGTAAAATTAGACAATAAAAGTGCAAAAGATGAAACGTCATGGTTGCCATGGCAACACTAACACTGTTCCTATTTGTTCATATGTCGACAGCAGAAAACTTCTGAACTTTCCTGGAAATGATTATATTACCCTGTCTTAAGTGTGTTCAATATAAATTTGGTTCAAAACGAAGGTTACCTAAAATACTTAAAATTTTAAAAAACTGTAGGGAGCCACCTTAACTTGATTAAAATTAATGATGAAATGTGCAGTTCTGACAACATTCGTGAATTAACCAATCAGAGAATCGCTACTCCACGCTATTGAAAATAACAACATATGTGAACAGAATTTCATACAGGACTTTTTCGATAAAATATACGAAATTTAAAATGGAAAACCCGCTAAACAGAGAGCCAAAGTAGTTTTGAAGATTCTCGACCTGAATATGTGAAGATTGCGAAGCGTTTGGTCAACTTTGAAGCGAGAGATGTTGTACTTGCATGCCATGGTCTGATGAATTTCAACGCTACACGTTGCTACTTGCTGAATAGCAATGTATCGATCAGAAATTTATTCATACAACTGAACCAACGTGTCAGTAATTGGAAACTTACTTCAAAGTCGAAAGGTAACGTACAATGAATCTTTACAATTCGAGTATATTTGTAAAATTATGTGCAAGAATTTTTGTTCAGAATTTCCGGTGCAGGATTGTCTGATCCTGCACGGCTGTTGACCAATCAAATTGCGTGTTTCACTGTAGTTATTATATAATGAATGTTCTGAATATGTGTGCACTCATTTTAATATGCAAAACTCATCAACTCTTTTACATACATCAGAAGAAAAGAAATTCCACGTAAAAAGGCAAGTGTAATCCGTCCTTAAAATGATGTTACATTCAACTCAAATTTCGCCTAATATGACATCGTGATTTTAATTTATCTAGCATTGATATTTAAATTAATAAATTTAATTATAAACATTTCAAAGATAAGAACAGGAGGATCTCCTGCGTCCATGTAAGCTTTAGAGCTGCAAACTGGATTCAGGACTTGGCTCTCGAATTGACCATGCCACATACCACTTTAAATGTGACGAGACCATGTGGAATACCTTTAATTAATACTGGACTAACTGTTCTTTGTCACCTGATTCAGTCATATTTTTTTATTTTGCATCTAGCTGTAGAGGCAACAGAATCACCACACAGAACTGTAAAAACAACAGATGTAGCAAATGATGAGATCGACAGCAAAGGAAACGATAATTCGTACATGAACCTGATCTTTTGGATGTTGCTCGGCGTTTTATTTGTACTGTTCATTGGGATAGGTAATTGACGACGTAATTCTACTTTTTGTGAATAGCACAAAGTTGTGGTGGCTTTGATTAAGCGATGAGTTCGCTCTTACTGTACCTGATAAATTGAAGTGAATGAAACATTTCTTTTCTTAAACATTAGTACTCAAAATTTTTTAAAATTTTCCAGCTACACTTAACAGTCAAATATAGGGCAACTTATTGTGCAATGCTATACGTGCATGTACTATACATGGTTCTTGATCCAAGGTGTCGTTTCCATTGTAAACAAATCTCCGCTTGACGTAGGATTAAATTTCTCCACGTCAAAAATGCTTAGGTTAGCGTTGAGCTTGGAATGACAGCCCTGATGGAGAACCTTTTGGGATCAGAAAGTATTCGTTGGTTTTGTTATGAATCACAATTTGACATCCTTATATGCACTTATCCTTCGTATTATCAGAAAATAGAATAATTAACTTTTTTTCATTTTAGTTGTAGCCATTATAATCATACGGAAGAGACGGACATCTAAATATAGATTGTATGTCAAAAGAAAGAATCGGGTACGTTATAGTTTAACTTTTGTGTCGAAATATAAGCATGATATACTGGCTAGCTTAAATTAACCAAGGTATAAATTTATCGCAATATTACTCAGAGAAAACTGTCAAATATTATAGTATTTACGTTCTCACATGTCATCCGGACATGCGTCTGTCCTGTTTTAGGAACCGTGCGTATTAAAGGCGGAACGTAAGGGCGGCGGTGAAAAGGACGTTGTCATGAAATAAATTGTTCTGAAAAAAATTGTCCTATATATTATTCTATAATTTAACAAAGGTTTTGAAGGGGGGGGTTGCTAAAGTTTGCAAAGTGAATGTCAGGAGGGGGGTGCTAAAGTTTGCAAAGTGAATGTCAGTATTTTGTGCATTTCGTACGTACTAACAGTAATAGTTATAGGATTTTTTTGAAGATGGAATATTTGAACGAAAATGTATATAAATTTTTATACCAAACACGAACAGTTGTGAGAACATGTTAGTATATAAGCTTTCTGGCAGGAACGAAACCTGAGGGAATGGAGACTCGGCCGCAACGATTCCGCTTTGGCAACGCACTTGAATCACAGCTCAGTAAGTTCGATTCTTTGTAGAGGGCAAAAATAAATAGGGCGCAACCATCCTTTCTCCTTCTCCCCAAAAATAATAATTTTTGAATTAATAATGTTTATATAAAAATTTGGTAAACCGAAGACTACAAATATCCGTAAAAATAAAAGAAATCGTGCAAATATATTAAAGATACAAGTTGGAATCCAGATCCTCCACCACCAGTCGCCAACATATATTCCGGGTTGGATAGATGTTGGAAAATTTAATGAAGTAAGCCCCTTGCCCCCAAAATAAAAACTGTTCCACCACCACTGTAGAGATTTATTGTTGCAGTTGCTGCAAGTGCTCCTGCTTGGGACTTACGATGTTGTGTACGTCCGTTTTTTAACTATTTGTACTTCTGATACGTCAAATGAGTGGTAAACCGTGGCGGTCTTTGATTTGCTGCACCAAGCTCCATGCCTATATATTTGTGAGCAGTAATATGGGGGCCGTTTAGGCCTAATTTTTGAGGAGAAGTGAGGAGGATTGAGGAAGGCCGGGGGAAGGGCGAGGCATCATTAAAAATTAAGGGTTGTGCAGGGCTGCGCATCATTAGCATAGAGTGAGGTTGTGGATCTCATGTGGTGGTGGAGCATCATCGATCATTAGTGTACGTGATAATGAAATGCATGACGTCATGCGGGCAAGTTTAAACAAGACCGTGTGTAACTTGCTGACTAGGCATTTTAGAATCCCTCCGCGTGTATGATACAATAGAGCGATTGATGTTCGCTTACTAAAAAATATTACGGAAAAGTGACAACTCTTTAAAAACTTACCATTCTTTCATTCAAGCGTTGTCTCTTATATTCATTGATGATTGGCAATATGAATTTACATAACCAATAGCTGAAGTCAGCATTTTCATTTAAATTCGTTTGAGAATCATTTCGCTGTCAAAACCATACTATGGAGTGTCTGCATGGAAAAGCCACATCTTATAATTTAAAGTTTGTTCGTTCACTGCAACCAGGTATATCAATCATGTTTCGCTCGCTACTCTGGTCGAAACATGATCTTATAATTTATTGGGAGAAATGTATGCGAATGCAGTCGCACATGAAGTTCAAAGACTTGTGTGGAATCCTGCAATGGTTGTCAAATCGGTCATCCTAGTCAAAGGCAAAATGACTGCATCATGATGAACGAAAACGAGCGATGGCAAATGTATGGTTTACAAGCGATCGAACGAGCGAATGCTAAGCGTATGATTTCAACCGGAATGAATTCGCTGAGGCAATGAGAGTACTAAAACTGGCGGTTGACAAATGTCTGAAAGATGTACTCGAACATTTACAGCAACTGGAAATAGATCCAGATTCTACGTTTGTCGATTCATTAATGGAACTACATCAGAACACTGAGGACCACGAAGAACAATGTATACATAACTATTTGTTTCATTGGAGATTCGAGTCAGTAGCTGAAACGTTTTTTTTGTACCCACCTATTTACATGTATTATGCGAAGGCGACGGGTGAACGATTTAGAAGTTTTAAGCCAGATCATAAGAAAGCTTACAGACAAGAACTCATGGAGAAAAATCTTTTAGAATAGTTTAACAAACAAACAAATATTTCTTGACACTTTCGTCTGTCATTTCTATCAATAAACATGTTTTAAACTTTGCAAATGTTGCGTTGTTATGTGTTGCTAAGTCATTAGGATGCGTGTAGGTAATTAAGGGATTAAGCAAACAAAAATCTGCATAAGTAAGTATATCCCAATGGATAGATAAGGATTATTTATAATGCAGGTGTACATGTATGTCTTAAAATCGGGCGCGAGGCTTTGCAGGCAAAACTTTGCACAAGATTTGATTTTTAGAACACATTTATTTATTTAAGTACAACAACGTTAATAATTCTGTAAAGTATAAATATATTATCCAGTTAAGAGTTTTGTTCGGTTTTTGTTTCTAACTTTAACCGCTCCTTTTAGCCATCAGTCACTTCTGTATTGTCTACATTTTTTGCAGAATTTGTATTCGATTTTGTTCTCTTTCTGGAAAATTTTGGTTATTATTATTATTAAAGAATATTTTAACAGGATAAAAAATGCTTCAGTAATGAATTAGTGCTATCAACGCATGTCCTGTATTTCTAAACTACAATGTAATAAAGTTAATAAAGCATGCAGACTAAGATAAAACTAAAATCAGTACTGATTATAGCGTAGTCCAGAGAACACTAGTTACAAAAATACTATGTCTCATTTACCCTACAGATTAAAATGTTCTTTCAATCCTCTTTTAAATTGCATGAAACTGTCAGTAGCTCTAACATCAAACGGTAGTTTGTTAAATTGAATTGCCCCATTATAATAGAAAGCAGATTTTGTGCTTTCTAATCTTATTTTTGGGATTTTGAGGCTAAATCTGTTATTACGCGTGTTCTTCTCATGTTGTAGGCGCTCAAAGTAATTGTTAAAATTACTACAGGTGTTCATATCCATACACTGCTTCACAAGTAAACAGGTTTGAAATTTTGCGAGGTTCATCAAATCAGGTACTTTGAGATCTGCAGATTTACCAGATTTAATTGTTCTAGTGGTCGATCTTGGAGATTTTGAACTCTTGCAGATTGAGTAGCATTTAGATTTAAAGTAACAATACTTGAATATGTTAATAAGGTGACTATCATGCATTTATAAACAGATTGAGCAGCGTCCATTTTTAAACAATGTCTTATCTTCTTTAATAACCTCAGTCTACCAGATGCTTTCTTGAAAACAGAACAAAAATATTCATTCAAGTTCGCGGTTTGATCCACCAAAACTCCCAAATACTTATACTTGTTCGTAAAATTGATTAGCCGATTATTGAAATGGATATTTAAGGTTTTATTCCGGATTCTCCGATTTGTACCCAATAATATGGACTCAGTTTTTCCTTTGTTGAGATTTATTATAAGATCATTTTCATCCAACCACTGAGCAACCTTTTGCATTTCTTTAGTAAATTTCTCTTCAATTTCACCGACGTCCCGGCCAGCTAGAAACAAGACGGTATGATCAGCATATTTTATAATATTTGCACAATTTAGGCGATCGTCAATGTCATTTATGTACAATATGAATAAGAGAGGCCCCAAGATGGACCCCTGCGGGACCCCTGATGTCAGTTTGAATTTCTCGGACAAAGAACCGTTGTAGTTGACAACTTGTGACCGATTGAACAGGTAGTTGGCAAACCATTCCATCTCAACTGATTGTACGCCAAACCCCTGCAGTTTGTTCGGTAGATTGGAGTGGGACACCGTATCAGTTAATAAACCCTTGTCCATATTTGCGCGCACATTGTCCAGAAATAATGTCACAGCTAGTTGTGTGGAACGCTTCTGTCGAAAACCAAATTGTGAATCATTTATCAGATTATTTTATTCTAAATAATCCATAAACTGGTCATGAACCATCCGTTCAGCGATCTTAGAGATGGCAGGTAGTACAGAGATAGGCCGGTAATTATCCAAATCATTGGTAGATCCTTTTTTATGGATTGGAATAACATTAGCTTCTTTCCATTCTTTGGGTATTTCTCCAGTAAATAAACTCATGTTAATTATATGGGCTAGGGGCTTTCCTACAACGGATGAACAATCCTTGAGAATTCCTGGTGGGATATTATCAATACCAGCAGCTTTTGATCTTTAAAGCTGTTTCAACTTCTTTTCCACAAGTTGCTCAGTAACCGGTTTAAAATTAAAAGTCAAGTCATTCCGTGCACAAGATTAATCTCGATATCTCCATACAAAATTGACCAGTGGAAAAATTTCCTTGAGAAATTTCCTTGAGATTGTAAACAGTGGACGAGAAGAACGACCCAAATGCATTTGCAACATGCTTATTGTCCGTAGTTGGCTTGTCGTCAATTTAAAATGAGCAGCCGGAGCAATTTAGAGGCTGGCTTGGAAATACTTCTTTGATTGTTCTCTAAAACTTCTTAGGATTTCTGGAGTTCTCGATTAGCAAGTTCTTATAATATCGGTTTTTGTTCCTCTTAACCAGATTGTTTACACGATTTCGCTGTCGCCTCTATTTACTCCAATCATTCTCCGTATTTGTTTTTCTTGCCCTGTTCAGGAGCCGATCCCGGTCAGTCATTTCACGCTTCGTTTCGTTTTGCAACCACGGACAGGGTTGACCGCGGATTCTCTTTGTGATCGGGGGTGCATATTTATCAACAGCTGGATTACAGATGTTCTTAAAGTTTTCCCCAACCTCGTTCCCAGGGTCTTTCTTAGAACGGCGCGAGGCGAAGGAAAGACCCTGGTTTCGGCTGGTCACGTGTCACCCAGATTCTGGGTGATAAATTAAAATGATACTATGGGCAGGGTGGGAGAGGAGCGTGTTTGTCGCGTTTGTAACAATATTTGCAATTCTGTGCGATGAAATTTAAATTTGCAACAAGAAATCGTGAAGAGAACTGCAATTAAAAATTAATATTTATCGTGATGTGACTTTCTACTCTATAATCTAGTGTCGAGTTACAATTCAAGCAACTTGGATCAGATTTCAACTTACAAAGAAAGCACGCCTGGGCGGCGAGCGGCGTGGCAATATTAAGCCTACAAGAAAATTCATATCTCTAGACCGACCAATGTGGTTTATATTTATTTAACTGTTAGTATTAAAGTATATCCTGATACTCGGACCAAAAGAATATATCTATTGATGAGATGTGGAATTGGAACGAAATAGCGAGATCTTTTGATTTCCGAAATATCGCCAAGACGCCAACTGTATCGAGATTATTGATTATTAAAAGGCCTTATCACAAAACTTAAATCCCGTCAAAAGACTATAAAATTTCCTGCAAGATCTCAACGATCATGGTATATGTCAAAGTCTAGCTGTCTGTTGAAAATCTACGGTATATTACAGTAAAGTTATACATCAAAGTTATACATCAAAGATAAGTCAAACGACAATATATTTGTCTTACTGTTTACTACTGTGTTTATACCACATTTATAAATTTTATAAACAGCTTTCGTTTTGACACAAGCTTTAATTTTCTGCTTTATATATATTCTTAATAATACAAGTGAGATTTAAATTTTTTGCTTTGTGAAATAGAATACCGTTATTTTTTAATGGACAGCTTGTATCGTCTCTATCATATCCAGGATTGCTTGTGTGTAAATAACCTACATGTATCACCACTATATATGCCACTATCAAATAAATATAGAAATATAAATGAACTTATTGAACTAGAAATAAACAGATGATTGAGACACAATGAAAACTGTTAGTAGCCTTAGTAGAAGTAGAAAACTCGAAAATTTATGTGTATTCGTATGGCAGTCTGTGGGCGTCTGACACTGTAAATTTGTGATGTAGATTATAGCCTAGTTGTGTGCATATTAGGAAAACATTATCTGACCAAGAAAAAGGCTAAAGCCTTACTATAATTAATGAATACGAATTATGTACTAAATCCAAAATTTTAAAGATAAATCACTGACAGACATTTCTCTGTTTGGCTAGTATCAAATGTTTACATTTGCTGATATTGGGCTCTGCTCTCTAGTCCTAGACAATACAAATTATACAATACTGTTTCTTTTAAAAATCTTATAAACAAGACGTGCAAAGCATGCCATAGCAACGTTTACAAAAAAGGACAAATCTAATGCTTGTTTTAAAAACATTAGATATGTAGAAATGGTGACCCCTGAAAGGCCCATAAACCGATAAACGTTTGTTATAAAACCGCGCTCGAGTGTGAAGAGAGCATTAAATAAAACAACACGAGAGAGCACTGCAAGTAACGATTTGGCTTGGTTTCTTGACTTGAGTGTTGGTAAAAATGTAAGAATGTTCTTGTAAATTCAATGCAAATAAAATAAACGTATTTTGAACTTACTGGTAATAGTTCGCAAAATTTATGTTTTTAACTGTTTGTAATTTGATACTTTCACCACACACCCCTCGGGCAATCATTTTGGACGAGGCACGTGACCAGCCGATACCAGGGTCTTTCCTAAAGACCCTGGGAACGAGGTTGAGTTTTCCCAAGATGATTCAACTGTTATTGAGGAATATACAGATTCGAAACCCGATTGACGCAGATCAAAACATAAATCCTCTTGGCTATAATTCTTGTAATCACGTGTTTTTATAGTACGAGGTTAAAAGAGTGGCTATATTTAGGCAGCGTTTACACTGTACCGTTTTCGTAGCGTTCTCGTATTGTTCTTAATCCTCAAGGGAACGCAAGACAACAGTCTAGTTCTCTCGAACAATACGAGAACGCTACGAAAACGGTACAGTGTAAACGCTGCCTTAGTTTACGCACACAGCCGATCAACTCATGGTTACTCAAACATGCAGGAATCACGTCAACTCTAGTTATGTTTTGGGGTTTGTTTGTGCAGATGACATCAATTAGCGTTGAGGACTCTCTAGTAATTCTCGTGGGATCTTTTACCATTTGCTTTAGGCCATTTACATCTATTATAGATTTTATGTCTGCATCACTGCTTTTTTTTTATACAATTACAATTCAAATCACCCATTAGGATCAATTCCTTGTTCTCAGCAGCCACAGTGGATAACATATCATCAAAATAGTCCGGGAAATCCTTTGATAGAAATTTAGATCCGGCAGGGGGCTTATAGATAGTCCCAACTAATATACTTTTCGCATTCTTGATTAAAACTTCTATCCATAGGCATTCCAGCTCAGGATGTTCTAAGTCGTGTCTCCTTATCCACTGTACTCGATCAGATATAAAAGCCGCGACGCCCCCCAAAGTTCCGTTAGGTCTATTTCTATACGCTAATTTAAATTCCGAGATATCTGCTAATATATAATGACTATTCTCTTCGTTTAAATGGGTTTCACTTAGGGTAAACATGTGAATTTCTTTGAAGTTCATTAAAATATGTTCAATGTGCGAAATTTTAGCAACCAAACCACAGATATTTTGGTTGCAATAACTTCATGCCCTTCGTATTAGTAATGTTAGACAAACCGTGTAAAATTGGTAAATCAAGCAAACCTCGTCCAGTCTGAGTATCGAATTCCGTGGATGCCATGTTGCAGCGAAGACATACACCGTCTTTATTGCTCTCCCCAAAACATTTGAGATGGAATTCCCTTTGACAATCATTGCACTTGATACTGCTCTGGGTTCTCCTGATAGATTTTTCGCAGGACGAGCATCTGATAGGCCCCGGACAAGTTTCAATATCACCACACATTAGTATCAAGAGAAGGCTTAAAGCCTTCACCCTATCTTCTCGATTCCGCGTGCTAAAGTTTGCACGAATATTCCATAACGATGAGTACATAAACGTTTCCCCTGTATGCACAATTACACTGGGATCATTTATCATTATTCCAATCGAGTCGCTGCCAACGAATTGTACTTTATTAATAGAGAAAATCGCAATAACGACTAGAGCACATAACAGCACATCCACACCTATATATTTTATCTCGTTTTTATTACACTTTTACTGCTTTTACTTTTCCCAATTAATCTGTACAACTCTGCTGAAACATTTTCTAAATCAAAAGCTGTTGGCTTAGCAGGAATATCTAAGATAAGGTTGTCTTATTTGGGACGAAGTTCATGGACGTCTGCCAAATGGCTTGCCAATCTTTTTAAAGCTCACTTGCCGCCGATGGGAAAACCTTTACACTTCCGAAGCATAATGTCAAATGAGAAATATCAAATGATTTCCTAACATTAAATAGTTGTGGCCCCAAAGGCCTTTTTGAAGGTTTGCCGGGACTTGGGAGAGGATTAGACAAATGGGTTAGGGGAAAATAGCCACCACACAGAATCGTATTTTATTTTTATAAATCAAACACAGACAACCATTAAGGGTCAATGTCACTAGGATACCGTGTGTTTCTGAAAAGTCTTTTCAAAAGAAATTTTCCCTTGTCAATAGCTGCCTCTAACACTTGCCAGTGGTATCATCGTTGACACAGACATCACTGGTTTTCATAGTCTTTTTGTGTATTGGATCTCTCTTTAGTTGTCTAATCCATAGTAGACGTTCCAAATAAATATTCTACAAATCTTTACGAAGTTTTGGTAGGATAAGTAAGTAAGTATACCTTGTCTTTAGCTTTGTTTTCGTCAAAACCCTCTGCAGTAAAATTCTGCGTTAGTTCTTCGAATTCCGATAAACTTTATTGGGCCGCTTCAGCTTTTAAAGGAGCCCTGGATTGCTTTCGTATTTATCACCTACTTCGCTACTAGTATCATCTACATTATCAGAATCACTTTCTGACGCAGAGTCAATTTTCACTTCGTTGTCAGTGTTATAAGAATTCTCAACATCACTCTCTGATGTAGCACTATCAGAGTCTGCAACCGTTCTCATTCTTTTCGTCTTCACACTGAAATCTGTAGTAGGTTTCCAACAGTACTGTATTTCCTTCGTATATTGTTAGGTTGAAACAACTCCAACCACAACCAACCGGCGAATGATCAATTTTTTGAACAACATTACTTTTTATTAAGGGACTTTTCTATGGCCTTGCAGGCCGATTATGTAGAACCCTCTTGTTAAGAAGTATCCCAGCCAATCGGACCACAGAGCCGTAGAACAGGCCCTTAAGGCCACTTTTTGCATTGGCCCCAAGGACCTTTCTATGGCCTTGTGGCCCGATTCTCTAGAATTCTCTTGCTGGGAAGTATCCCAACCAAGCGGGCCACAAGGCCATAAAAAAGCCCTTGAGGCCAATGCGAAAAGTGGCCTTAAAAGGCACTTTTCTACGATTTTGTGGCCCGATTGGCTGTGATACTTCCTAACAAGAGGGTTCTTGTGAATCGGGCCACAAGACCATAGCAACGTCCGTTAATAAAATGTAATGTTATTAAAAAAATTGATCATTCATCACCTGGTTGTGGTGGGAGTTGTTTAAACCTAACAAATATACGAAGGAAATACAGTACTGTTGGAAACCTACTACAGATTTCAGTGTGAAGACGAAAAGAATGAGAACAGTTGCAGACTCGGATAGTGCTACATCAAAAAATGATGTTGAGAATTCTTATACCACTGACAACGAAGTGGAAACTGATTCTGCGTCAGAAAGTGATTCTGATATTGTAGATGATACTAGTAGTGAAGTAGGTGATGAATACGAAAGCCATCCATGGGCTTCTTAAAAACTGAAGCGGCCCAACGAAGTTTATCGGAATTCAAAGAACTAACGCAGAATTTCACTGTAGAAGGTCTTGACAAAAACGAAGCTCAGGACAAAGCATACTTACTTATCCTACCAAAACTTCGTAAAGATTTGCAGAATATTTATTTGGAACGTCTATATCACAGAATAAGGTACACAGAAGGTCGACTCGAGTAACGCTGCCACGCCATGATTCATCATCAAAATGCTGACGCCATGGTCCTAGCCAGTGCGGGTTTGAGAGGCATTCCCCCCCTGGACATCCGCCATTTTGAATAATATCAGGGGGGTGAATGCCTCTCAAGCGCGCACTGGCTAGGACCATGGCGTCAGCATTTGATGACGAATTACGGGTTACGCTAAAATCATAGCAAAATCATAGGAAAAACAAAGAAGTCGGCCTTCTGTGTACCTTATTCTGTGCCCTAACATTCTAATATGTCTTCAAATTTAGTCTATACAGAAAATTTACAATCTTTGGACATTCATGAGGGCGTGGGTTACTGCGTATTTCCAGTGGCAATTGCAGTCAAATGTCAACAGGAGGTGAGCAAAGGTAATACCCTGTGTACGAGGTTGGTCAAAGGTATGCCACTGAAATTTGCCTGACTGGAAATACAACAATAACTGACACAATTTTCAAAACGCCGTAACCTGCGCCATGAATGTGCAAACATCATGACAATTTTCGTGTAGACTAATTTGAGCATGAGGATTTCAATTCTGGGGTCTATTTCTGCTATATATGAAGACGAAATCGATAACACGAACTCGGATCGGAGAATAGAATTAGCCATTCCGAAGTGGATGAGTGGACTGGGGACGAGTGTTAAAAAGTGCCCAAATTACGAAATGAACCAAATCACTAAAAAGAGCACCTCAAAATTAGTAAGTATATAAAGTTTGAAGACGTTTGCATGAATATCTTTCGAATAATAAGCTTTCGAAAATCCGATATTTACTATGAAATGTATTGCAATTTTTGTTTTTGGGACGCGCGTCCCAAAAACAATCTTTTAATCAGTAATTTCATAATTTTCGAAAGCTTATTATTCGAAGGGCATTCATGTAAACGTCTTCAAACTTTGTATACTTACTAATAGTGAGGTGGTCTTTTTAATGATTCAGTTCATTTCTTAATTTGTGCACTTTTTAACACTCGTCCCCAGTCCACTCATCAACTTCGAAATGGCTAATTATTTTTTGTCTTTGTACTTACATGTAACATCCATCCCAAGATCCTGAAGTAAATAAAGGCCGCGAATAAGCAAACAAGAGTAGCAATGGCTGAAAACGCGACCATGACAGTATAGATAACAGTGACTTTTTTCATCTCATCACATTCGACTGGATACGAATTAAGATCTAAATAAAATTACGATTGAAAATTGATCAGTGATCAGCCTGACTTTAAATGAGAAGAAGTCTTTCCATTTAAAGTCAGGCTGCACGCAGGCTAATAATAGACACTCCACGACAAGCTCTTGTGGTGGTGTGGTGGTCTTTATTCTGTGGTCACCACGCTTGCCTTTCAAGTTGGGAGACCCAGCTTCAATCCTTGGACCTCTATTCAAGGTCTTAAAATAACTGAGGAGAAAGAGCTATGACCCAGGCCTTTAAACACTGATATCAGTAAATGGTTAGACGTTCGCGTCTTCTCGGATAAGGACGTTAAATGCTAGGTACCTCGGATCCCCTGGGCAATAAGGGACTGGTCATAATTTAGCAGGAGGGGTGGGGAGGTGTAAACAGTGGGGGGTCACATATTTTTTAGCAAGGAAAAAGGGGGGTTCATAAAATATTAGACAGTTTATGAAGGTGGGGAGGGGGTCTGCTGTTTTAGTCAATTAATTGTTTTATACATGCCTTCTCACATTTTGTTCTTCTCACATAAGAGAGGGGGGGGGCATTATTTTTCTGGGTTATGGCAAAGCAGGGTCACAAAATATCATTCCTTAAAATTTTGAATTACACCTCCCCCCCCTCCCTGATAAATTATGACCAGTCCCTAACCAATTTGGCAATACCCTGTTGGGAAATCCTCTCACCGATGAGTGAGAAAGTCAATCAACTCAAATAGACAAAGTTATAAGTGTACCTTTTATAGGACAAAGACATCTTCCACCGAAGTCCTTGCAGTCATTTTCACTAATAATAATGGCAGCTTTTAGAGACCCTCGCCAAACAGGACCTTCTAAAATCACAGCAAAAATTGATAGTACTAACACCAAGGATGCTGTCACTAAACCCAAAACCATCTAGAAAAATAGAGTACGTAAGCGTTATTATAGGTGCTTGCAAATGTATAAGATGAAAGATCTCTCACAATTTTACTGATAGTATAGGAAAAAAAATAATGTGCAATGCAACTGACAGTATGTTTGCTTATTTTATAATGGTATGAAGAGTTTATTATTTCATTTCTCATTAAAAAAGCAACGAGAACAACAGCGACAACAGTGAAACAACAACAACAACAACAACAACAACAACAACAACAACAACAACAGTACTGATGCGGATAATATAGCCTTGCGAAGTTTGCCGTTTTTCAGTCATTTTGTATTACAAATGGGAAATTGGTAATCAGTTTGATCATCTGATTATCAATTTCCCGTTTGTAATGCAAAATGACTGAAAAACGGCAAAATTCGCAAGGCTATATTATCCGCATTTTACAACATTTCGCAACGAAACTTCGCAATATTACTAATTTTGTGATGCTCTTTCAAGCTGTGATGAAATTTTTGTCCAGGCATATCTAGATCAAAATTTCACACATAACGGGAAAGGTCTATTGTATGGGGGGAAACGCGAGGGCGGGGGAGAGGCGGTTCGCACGTTTTGCCCATGAAGTTGCATTTCCGTTCATATAGACAAAAGTTAAGCAAAAAACAAAAGCAAATATAATTGTTGTATTCTACTGTACACTAAGTGTATTATTACAAGAAATCGAGTAATTAAGTGGAGGGGTATGTCAGTTATGCCCTAATTATAGAGATTTATTACAAGTGAAATTCATACAGCAAAATGCTTATATGCCATAGTAACATGATAACGCCGAAGTAATTATGACTGTACAATCTTGAACATAACACTTGAGACCGTTCCAACCAATATTGCAAAGTTAATGAACATTCACAAAACAAAACTTAATTGTCACCCCCTCTCCTCCAGTTCAATGCTGTAAACAGCGCCGAAACAACTTTTGGTTATTTACAATGACCCAAGCTCAAAATTGAGTTGGGAGAGCGGGGGCTTAAGAGGCTCGACATTATTGAACATGCATCATGAATATATAAAGGTATGCGGATTTTATATAGAGGGAAAGGTAATCTAAACCAGCCGATCCAAGATTGTAGGGTTTATCAACTCCTCTGGTTTTCCCCAGATTCTCCTCCAGTCCTCCTGAAGTTACCATTCTTCGACAGTTCGAACCGAGAGAGCTGTCTTGCAGTTTTATGACTAAGTAACATTTGAATTTATTTTTTTAATTACAGACATTAGTCATGTCAGTTTATAGCTTTTGGTCTGGTATATCGATATTGGTCTATGACTCCATGCTCTCAAGAGACCATTATACATATTAAATCGTTAAATAATTAAGTGTTTATTGACATTAAGTCAGTTTCCTCAAACATCTTACAAATTCTTCAAAACGTAGAATTTACCAATGCAAGATTTCTACTTTGATCACAGAAACTTTGATAGTGTAAAAACTATTTATTAAACCTAAATTTTTCACAATTTTGTTTTCAACAGAAGTCATTATATGTTGTTCATGAACAATTTTCAGAACTCGGTTGATGTTGTGAAATACTTTGCTTCCGGCGTATTTTTCGCGGAGTATCATAAAAGATGATACGACATCGGCTCCGACCGCATGTAGTATCTATTATTAACATAGCTACAACTATTTAAAGGATTTTTTACCCAAATAAGACAACCTACGGCAGTTGATATGAAAACAAAAACACAAAATATTTGAACTTACTGGAATTCCAAGCCAGTATTGCGTGTGAGTAAAATAAGTGTTTTCAGGCTTCGAGAACTCGTCGTAAGGATCCAGAAAATCATTTAGAAATCCAGCGACGGTTATCCCCGAACCCAGGAACAGCATCGTCACACCACAGAAGATGAGACCACATTTATGTTGTCCAGATGAGCGAACCATACTGGGGATTGTAATATTTCGTTGTTGTTTCCTTCGTGTGTGCTGTTATTCTGTCGTTTGAGTCGAGGCTTTCTTTGACAGTTCTGGAGTGTTTACGCAGCTTTATGAGTTTCGAAAAGAAAGAGGTTTTAAGACTATAAACATGAATATTAATAATGGTACATTCTGATGCAAAATGCATGCATACAACAAAATTCCGGATATGACGGGAAGCGTGGGTTTTTACGATGTGAAAACCAAGCACACTCCGTATAGTACTGTAATGGGAAGTTTTGTAATTTAGATCTATTTATTTAAAATGAAACTAAAACAAAAATAACTTATTTTACACTGGTTTACTGGACCGCTCAGGTATTTTAAAATCTTCCTTTACAGACTTTAGAATTTGAGGTCTAGAAAAGTCTTTTCTATATATAGACCTCTAAATCTATGGAAAATACACTTTTATTGATCCATACATGGAATCAGAAGGAAACTAAACTAAAATAACTCTTATATATGGGATGGTTGCATGTTGGCCCTGCTTAAATTCTGGAGAAACCCGCCGAGTGAAACCTCCTGTAGTCCTGTGTTACAAGTGAAGTAAACTGGCAGCATTCATCTCACTTGCAACTGATATATTCAGGAATTAAACCCCGTTATTGAAAGCTTGTTAATTTTTTCCAATGCACACCAGAATGGATGAAAATGTAGGTATGCTTTTGTATGTGCGATTCAATGTTAGCATGGCGAGTCGAACAATATAGGGGATCAGAGATCAAACTATAGCTCAAAAATATAACAAGAATTGTCTCGAAAGACAAATTCCTTGCTATTCAGGTAATTCATCCCATCTATGTTCGCCTTTTCGCCTGCAAATAAATGCCCTCTAAAGGTCCATACAGACCGAACGCGATTCGACAACGCGACGCGAATTTTCAGTTTTTAAAAACAAATAAAACCGTCAACGGATAAAAAATTTACAAGATATGCAGACCAAATAGCTAAAATTGCTCAAGTTGTTCCGAATATTTGAAAAACATGGAAAAATATTGAAGTTAAATGTTATTGAAAATTGAAAATTCGCGTCGCGTTGCCAAAGCGCGTCCGGTCTGTATGGACCTTAAAGCCATCTACCCGGTATATGTATGTACATAAGTCATAAGAAACAAAATTATTTTCAAGCTTAACTTACTTTTCTTGGCTAAATGGCTACGAATTTCGAACCATATTTTCATCCATCAACGGCATTGCTCCATATTTAAGTTCTAGTATTTATAAGTACATCCTTCGGTACAAGATAGACGTATCGTCTTATAATAACACGGCAATAATCGTAATATCGTTCAGCAATAACTTTAATAGCAAGAGTTGTTATCGACTCAAAAAATGTATTATAACGATTAACGCAATAACGGTATTAAGACATTTATTAAGATTGCATGAAAGCCAATATTTTTATATTATATGGAATTTTCGACATGCAAGGCCAAGGGAAAATCAGCCATACATGCATATGCAGTCTTAATATCTAAGTATACATAAACATTTTCAAACATCTGTCTGGCTGTTTGCTGTTTTCAGTAAATAACATATAGCTGCACAATATTTTTATCTTTACATGGTCAATTGTAATTTAAATTATTAAAACTGACTGATTGTTAAGGAGAAAGTTCCGTATACCTCCGGCGCCGGTCAAACGAGAATGTAAGTTGAAGAGAGTTGCATGTTCGCAACCTTGTAGTAACTTGATAAAATACAGCATTGTTACAACTTGCTGAAAAGCTTGCTACAAGCCTGTTGCGAACACATCTTGTTGACAATTTGTACATGTGAGATTTTTAGGGTGTGTAGACAACTCTCGTGTAAAGGAAATATTATTATATTGACTGTTCATTCAGCAAGACATGCTGAGATGTTTCATGAATGTTCTCATCATCATAATGGACCTAAAAAAATCGATAAAATCGTTTATGAATCTATTTATTTCAGACACGTTTGAAGGAGGGTGTGGTATTGGGTGGGGGCTTAATAGAGAGCTGGTGACTTACCTATTGGACAGGGGACTTATTGGGAGGGGGATTCATTTGAGAGGGGGCTTAATAGAAAGGTGACTTACCAATTGGACAGGGGACTTATTGGACAGGGGATTCATTGGAGAGGGGCCTAATAGAGAGGAGGACTTATTGGAGAGGGGGTTCATTGGGGAGTGGGCTTAATGGAAAGCGGGATATTAGGGAGGGGGACGACACGACCCAACTACATTGGAAAGGTTGACACACATACCGGCTCCAACCAGCGCAATATTTTAACATACACAAAACATGTCGCCTGGCAAGCAAGAAAAGCGAAAACGGATAAGATGACCAAAGCGCTGACGATGGCAGGAAAATTTTTCACCTCAGAACACGTCATGAGGCTTAGCACTGCACAAAATAGAAAAACATGATATGAGAGAAGATACGACGATTCCTAATTGTGGGTACTTGTAGCGTCAAATCTTATGACCTACAGCGAAAGAATAGGCATACGCTAATTATGAGTAAATTACAAACATCGATGAAAATTTCTAACTAAAATGACGCCTCTTGGGGATTTATTAGAGAAGAAGCCAACTTATTTGAGACAGGGCGGGCTATATAGCACACACGTAAAAATCTCAGAACTTGTCAACAAGATGTGTTCGCAACAGACAAGCTGGGAACAAGCAGTTCGAACACATCCTGTTGACAAGTTGTTGGAACAGCATTGCTACAAGTCTGCTGCAGCATCTTGACATTGTAGGGAATAGACTGTATTGGCTAGGTCAAGTGAAACATACCACACCGCGCTCTGTAAACCAAGAGCGCAGAGTGATGCGACCATAAGAAAGCAGCACAGTATGACGCCAATGAGATACTGTTAGAATTAGAAAAAATAAGGCTAATTATAACTGAAATACAATTTTACAACATAAAACCTAAAGCCTGCCTCACACGAGAGAAACTTGCTGAGCTGACCCCCTCGCATGGCGACGAACTCAGCATGTTTCTTTCGTCTCGAGGAAAATATCTATCGTGTTTGATATCACCTCGCGAAGAAAGTCTCGAGCTGTTTGAAATAACTAGCTAATGAGAACCCATAGTTTCTTCAATTTTCTGAACGTGTGCGATAAAAATGTCACCAAAAGAATAGTGGATCTTTTATGCGGAATGTTACTACACTTACTCACCAAAATTGACGATGAATAGAAACGCGTTATCAAAATGAAGAATGCCAAAAGCAATAGCTGTAAAAGACAAAATTATTCTAATTTAGCATGCCGTTGGCATTGCTTGAAGGCAAATAGTAGGGGTTAACTATTAACGCCCGAAACGGTTCGTTTCCTTGGCGCAAGACAGAGTAAAATACAATGTAGGGAGCCTGGCGGTACATTAGGGTTCATTGTGTCTTAATGGGTTAATGCTTGCCCTGACCTGTTTAATGCTAATAATACCGAATTACTTTGTAATATTTACATTGTTCATTGTTTTCAATGCGTAAGGATTATTTTAATGCCTTTTAGCCCCCTACAATGTGCTGACAATGAACGATAATGGATTTAAAAGCTTTTAATGTACACCTTAATTTCTATATGCGATAAGTATAGGTTTTATGGCACGTTATCAGTTTAATCTTCTTATACAAAGATGTGGTTATAATACAAGCTTATGGATGGCCAAGTGCAGCCAAGTGGTTCAGATTTTTTCTTCACTAATTGGATGACTAATTTTTAATCAGCGTAAGCGATAATTACCCCAAAGCCAGGCTATTAGGTTTGCATTGTAAACACGGCATGACACACCTTAATAGTTTAAATACATTATTAAGGCTGGTTCACCAATGGAGCGTTGATATTAACAGCAGGAAAACAGCATGCAACACCTGTTATTAGAGTGGCAATTGTGCATATTTATATAAAAATACATTGTTGTTTTGAAAACATAAATTATTACATATATCCAATGAGACGATTATCTCGTGCACATCCCAAATACGTAATTGGATTATGTATTCGTGTGTATGCCGACAGTAGTTAAAGGCTGGTTTTACACTATCAAAGTTCTGTGATCACAGTAGAATTTTTTTGCATTAAGGTAAATTGTAAGTTTTGAAGGATTTCATAAGAAATGTTTGCCAGGGAACGCTGTTTTAAGACCAAGTCAGGTCCTCAAACATTTCTTATACAAATACTTTCTTCAAAACTTGCAGAATTTATCTATGCAAAATTCCTACTGTGATCACAGAAACTTTGACAGTCTTTACAGACCTGCTTGTAAAACGAGGATTTCTCTGCCTTCAAAACGTAAAGTACTGCGAATGGGTTTTGAAAAAAAATCTCACCAAACTTTTTCTCACCACCCGATTCCTCAGTGAGATGCCTGCTTTAATTTGTGTTCTCATTAATTTATATCACAAAAATAGCTTGAGAACTCAGACTCAGTCAAGTCTAGCTGCCCTAAAGAATAGAAAATTGTACTCTCAAGACGATGGAATGAAGATTTTATTTCTAGTATAAAATAGACTCTTCCGGAAAGTCTCAGTCTTGGCTAAAGAGCCTCGCTTTCGTGATATTGGGTTAAGAGCCCGTTGTCTTGTAACAGTGACACATTTACGAAATCATACAGTTTTGTCAGTGAATATGAAAGATCTGTTTATATGATGTCATCAACAGCAGGAATTAAGGGGCTCTAAAACCAATATCCCAATCAAGGAAAGATGCTCTCATGCTCTATAGCCACGGCTAAGTTCCTTCCATTGGGAAACACAAGAAGAAATTATGCCAGCTTCACAAATATATTATACGAATAAATAAAAATTCCACCTTTCCTACTTACATTTGGAACGATGAAGACAGCTTGTACTTCGTGTTATAGGATAAAATTATAATTAGGTTAATCCATAAATCCCCGATATTATCTCGCTAACATATGATTAATTAATGTGAATTCTTCTAACTATTTACATGAAATATATAGGACATAATAATTTGTCTAAACTAGTACTTGGCATATTTTCCATACAATCCTTACTTAGTTCGACGGTTTCTAATATTACCAATTACACGTCTGAATCACTCGCTTGACTTTCGTCGTCTGAAAAAAAAAAGGAAATCGATCGTATTATATACTGTACTTTTACCTCAATTAAAAGCCATTCCTTTTATTTTTCATCCCTTAATTACTAGTATGTTATGTAAAGAAAGTGTCGGCAAAGTAGAGTCATGGCCATATTTTGAGGGGAGGTGTGGGGAGCTGGGGCACGCTCCTGAGATCGTTTTGCACCTCCGCTTGAGAAAGTTTCAATGATAGATCAAATTGAAAATTTGACATTTTTTGGTTGCTTAGGGTCCACACTTCGTAAGAAAGTTTTTCTGTAAAATTGAAACAGTGATAGCCATTCATCTCTGTGTCAAGTACCCTTTAAGTGCAATGTTTCGAAAGAAACTTTGTAGTAATTGTAATGTATAGGGTAAAATTAGATGAGTTGTACAGTCATAATTCATTAATACACTGATACATATGCACACTACTGTACATGCATACATCACGTCGTCGCGACTACTCCACTATCCCCCACTAAATATTTCCACCAAATGCCAGCCTTGAGTAGAATGTGGGCCACAAGCTCACAGACGGCTGCCTATCAGAAATATTTAATGCTTTATTAAGATCCATCACTTACTTTGCTGTGTGATGAAGGCTGGGATCAATTTGGCCAGGTCGACCTTCAATACCAAAAGCGCACTAAAACACAGTTTTAAGATGTTATTGTTAAACACCGGGCAAGCATTCTAGCATGACATGTATAGTGAATTTCTCACCCTGGTTTCAACATCTGTCCAACTAGAGGCAGTGTCATCATCATCCATAGCTTCAATCTTCACCTCTCCTCTTCAGGATAACTTCGTTTTCTGCAATAAGAGAATAAGTTGATTCAAACTTTTTCGTATGAGATAACCTGGTCGTTACACGCAGAACAGTTTAAATGTACAACTTAGTTTTTCTTCATTTGACCAAAATAAGCAACCATCATCAAGGACTCACTGTTTAATTAAAATAAACACACACACACAAATGGTTTTCTTTTTTAAAGATAAACATCCGCGATTGAACAACTAGGTGTTGCTGGGAGTTTTAAAAAATACAAAACAATGGACACTCCGTGGATTACTCAGTAATAACCGTAACTTCTGCTTGGAGTTGGTCAGGGGTGGAAAAAATAGGCGAGCACGCGTGCACTGCTCGCAGGAAATGTTTGAATGAAGATTTGCTATTGAAAATTTTGAAGGAAACCTTAACACCCATGTCCCACTATGGGCGCAACAACATATCTATAATAGAGACCTTACGATTTTAGGACGGCAACGGCTACCAATACAATAAATCATTGAAAAGAATTGAATAATTACAATATATGAATAATTTAGACATTGTCCTTCGCTCTGTTTAAAACGCCAAATCATAGATTTTCACGTCTTGATACAACGGCTGCATTTCAAGCAGCAACAAGTGCAACTTCAAACTGGGTTCAGCAGAACTCTTCCCAAACATAAAACCCATGACTTCAACTTCTAAGACTGTATTAAATTCATACTATTGATAATATACGACGAATTATCTTTACTACCATTTATTTGAAGGAGTTTGTTTTGGCCGTCGTCGTCGCGTTGCCGTCCTAAAATCGTAAGGTCTCTAATGTGCATATGTCAAAATGGTAATCGTCGTTCTGGTAATAACGACATTCTGGTATTTTTGGAAATTCTTTTTGAAAACATTGCGTCCAGTACCTTTTTAGCGACAGGTGGCGGCGATCGAGATCTGAAGAATCCTTTTCCACGAGTTGACGATTTCACAATTTTCTTATCACCCTTATTAAAGTAATTAGATCATTACACAGAGACGTTTTGCTCCATAGCAGCCTCTCGCCAGATATCTTATATACACTAGATAGTGCATCTATAATTATTCTGCAATTCAACAATTGAAGCCATGATTGCAGACTCAGGATATTCCCATGAAATGAGAAGACTCGTATGTTTTCTATTTCTTAAACAGGGAACTTAAACATTAAGTTAAACCTATTCCGCAAATACATTTTCAAACTATTCAAATGATGAAAGTTGTTGTTGTTTTTTAAGCGTTTATTAGCGAGTGGGAAACTCCAACATGGCCGCCATCTATTCAAATGGGGGTAACCACTGGAACTGATATTCTTGGCTTCAATTTTACTATTAAAAAGAGATGCGCTATCTAGTCTATATAAGATATCTATGCTCTCCCCGAGCTATTAATTGTACTGAATCACAACTTACACATTCCTTTTGCCATTTGTCTCTCTCCTGTGTGACCACCCCTTTCAAACTCTGGTAAAGACAGACAGAGGTTTTAAAATGCATAAAACAACTGCACCAATAGGCAACTTGCATGTTAGACTAATTTTTTATTTGGGCAAAAAAAAGTAAATTCCCGTGTAGAACTTATTAAAATTAGTAAAATTGCAAAATTTAGCTACAAAATGTTGTAAAATACAGAAAATATAGCCTTGCTAAGTTTGCATATTTTCAGTATGTTTGTATTACGTGCGGAAATTGCTACCATTTTTGAGCCGAAAATGGTAACAATTTCCGCACGTAATACAAATATACTGAAAATATGCAAACTTCGCAAGGCTATATTTTTTGTATTTTACAACATTTCGTAACCAAATTTTGCAATTTTACTAATTTCATTATGTTCTTTTTAATTATTGTTGTATTTAATTCCCTTCTCCTTACTTAGATTAAAATTTAGTCTAACATGCAAGTTGTCAATTACAACTGGATCCATATATGGTCGTAAAGATTGAGTCACGATCTTTCTCATCAGCCGAAATACAACATTTTAGAACTGGAAATACGCGGAGTGGTTATAACTAGAGAATACTTATAATTTATATGTGGTTGACAGGTATAAACTATTATAAACTGGCCGTTCAGAAAGATCGTGACTCTATTTTACGACCATATGGAAACCAGGCTTAAGGGCAGTTATAAGTTTTCTTTCATTGCTATATCTATGGTTTCATTTAAATACCTCCGTATGCAATTCTTTTGTGTTCTCTTGATACTGTTGATTTGTTTTCTGCAAAGCATCGTTCTCAGAAACATATTACAGTGAGATTTACATGTGTTTATACACGGCTCTATTTTACATTCGACTTATCCAAACCAATATACATCTAACATTTGTAAGAGGAGAATCTTCTGTATGTTACGTAACACGCGTTCAAAACTAACGAATGTACTTTTCCACTTGCATGTTATGACTGTATTCAAGGTTTTTAATTTTTGATATACGTGGCAAACAAACTTGTTTTAGTACTTTTTAAAAGGTAGTTCTGCATGGCATTTGAAAACGGAGTTCTGGCATTTGAAAAAGAAGTTCTGGCTTTTGAAAACGGAGATCTGACAAATAGACAGGAAAACAAACAGACAGACAGACAGGATTACGCGACATTAAAAAATATTGCCGTTTTCCAACAGGGGTGCACCCCCTGTCCAACCCTCCCCCCTATAAATCCATTAGCTACTGATGTCCATAATAAGGTAACGATCTCAACAAACCTTTTGAGACATCATCTTTAACTTTCTTTCCAGTTTCTGTATTTCTCTAAAGGTAAATAGAACGTATAATTGATGATAAGGAAAATGAGTGTTTTGATCTAGAAATAAAAAAAAACTAGTTAGATAATATATATCACTAAACAAATTTGCAAACTCATATAACTACGTCTTTCTGATAATTATTTATTTGACTATAAAATTCTGCGAAAAGATACACTTGCTTAATGAAATGGCGTTTCACGTCTTGAGAAAATGCCAGAACAAGTTCGATTGTCTTGTCTACGTATTTTATTGCAGAAGTTTATAGTCAAATGTTTAGAAACCGTTACTAATTCAATTATTTATTACCAATAATTTAAATTCAACATATTAAGATTATCAATCATTGCCTGTAATTTCTGAACAAACTCACCATGTCCTTCTCTGAACTTTGACTGTCAAGTTTTACGAGTTCCTGTCGAAACGTCGTTCCTATAACAAGAAAACGCTGTACGTAAAAAGCTGAAAACAAAATGGTGCAGAGATGTCATTTGTCGGCAAGGCCTCCATTTGGTTCAATTAGCCATTCCGAAGTTATGCAAAGTTTGAAGACGTTTACATGAATATCCTTCGAATAATAAGCTTTCGAAAATCACGCTATTTAATATATGAAATGTACTGTAATTTTTGTTTTGGGGGACGTGCGTCCCAAAAACAGTCCTTTAATCAGTAATTTCACAATTTTCCAGGTGCTCTTTTTAGTGATTTGGTATTCATTTGGATGCTGGTACAATCTTTATAACCGGGAGATTCAGAGTTTGAATCCCAATATACTGCTAGTATCATTAACCAATCGGATCCTAGCCTGCGAACAGGCTCTCAAGCTGAATTGAGAGCCTGCATCGATGACTAATGAATTTGAATATCTGCGTCTCAAATCGTGACGCGAAATTCTCATTGGTCAGCTGATGCTATAATTTATATGTTTCCGTAGAGCTCTATATATGTCAACTGCTGAAGCACTATGCATAAAAAACACATTAACTGATCAAATTGGTCTTGGCCGTCTTATCTCAAAGCACGAAATGTTCTGTTTTGAGAAAACAGTGTTTAAAACATTTGAACTTTTAAATTTAGTTTGCACGAAAGTTGTAAACAACACCATATAAGGATAGACATTCCATATTTGGAAAAACGAACGTTACGGGGCAGATATTCAAATTCATTAGTCATCGATGCAGGCTCTCAATTCAACTTGAGAGCCTGTTCGCAGGCTAATCGGATCCGTATTAGCGATTGAGTAATATGGTGGAAATCAACTGAACTTCTCTAGTCTAAAAGCCCTGCGATTTTCTGCTTCTGATGGATGTGAACGAGTGGGTGAGTCATGAATGTTCAGATCAATGTTCATACACGCAGAACATTCATGACTTATCTGCTCCTTCCCATACATCAGAAGAACATCGCATTAAAAATTGCAAGTGTTAACGTAGCCCGCGTGGCAGGCCCTCAATTTTATGGGGGGCCTGATTTGGTGTTAACGGGCCTTGATAATCGCAAGAAAATCTTGCATATACAAATCCTTCAAAACTTAGAATTTACCCATGCAGAATAGACCTTTCCCCTTATAACCAAAATTTTGATCTACGCAAGTCTAGACAAATATTTCATCACAGTTTGAAAGAGCATCACAAAATTAGTAATATCCCAAAGTTTCGTTGCGAAATGTTGTAAAATGAGGAAAATAGAGCCTTGCGAAGTTTGCAATTTTTAGTCATTTTGCATTACAAACGGGAAATTGCAGCCCCAACACCCAAATCGGATGTCAATTTCCCTGTAATACAAAATGACTGAAAAACGGCAAACTTCGCAAGGCTATATTATCCGCATTTTACAAGATTTTGCAACAAAACTTTGGAATATTACTAATTTTGTGATGCTCTTTCAAGCTGTGATGAAATTTTTGTCTAGATCGAAATTTTAGTTATAAGGGGAAAGGTCCATTGAATTAGTTGTATAAGGTACGTTTACACACAACGATTAATCAGGTTTTGCCGATGTCGTCAGATGACGACAGACGTTGACAGCGTATTTTTCAAATATCGTTTACTTATAAAGCTGATTAATCGTTGTGTGTAAACGTCCTTCTATATACAATTAATAAATGATCTTCACTGATTTCAATGCTCTTAAAACAAAAAGTTAAACATTCTCCTAAATCAGAACTTTCAAATGTTTTCACAAAATGATTTCCTTAAGTTAAGCTTGTTCACACTATTAAAGTTTCACAGTAAAAATTTTGCATCGATAAATTCTACGTTTTGAAGGATTT